AAGCAACCGACCCAAAGCGCCTTAGCCCGCTCCGGGTCCCTTGTTTCGTGACAATGTAACAATAGTTGGAATCGGCACGGACATAGTCCACTTGGGCCTGGGTGAGTTAAACTCTTATCAGGTTTCAACGGAGGGATCAATCACCTCCCTTGTCCCCAGGAGCTCCGCTGAGGCGACACTTCTCACTCGGTAGCTGGTGATGACTAAGTTGGATACTTTGTGCCTACCGAGGTATATGCTCTTTGAGATCGGCGGCCATGCAGAGCAAGAGTGCCATGGCGCTAACCCCATGACATCAGCACTGTTTACGTCGATTTTCGTACCTGCCACCGATAGACCCTTGTTCCCGGTCATGATCTTAGCCAATGCATTCGCCTGGTACGTCAGCAACACTCATCAAGTATGAAGCGTATTGCTGGAGCCCCCGGATGCAGTGCTGGTCCAAGCGGCGGGATTCCTTGAGTGACTTGAACACCCGCTCCACCGACCAGCGTTTAGCGTACTGCTTGTCACTCATCCCTTCCCATCACTCCCCCGCGGGTCGTGCCACCGAACACCCCAGGTTGTTTAATGGGTCTCGACTATCACGGTATCGCAGTGCGTCGTGGCCCTGGTGCCCTCCGTCTCAGCTGGCACCCGACGACCTGGCAGCGGTATATCCGTCCGCCCTCCCCTCCTCTCCGACGTACTTCCATGGCAGGTTACCCAGGCACAGCGGCAGGGAATCAGCGTTGTAGATCCCGTCATACAGGCCGTCAGCAGCGGTGGGCCGACGGATATGGATTATAGGGTCGATACCGTGCTTCAGGTAGAGATACTCGAATTAGCTTTGGAGTCGTACCACGATCACCCAGCAACGTCCGTGGCCGAACCAAGCGAACTGGGCGATGGCTCGGTCGATTACATCAGGGAGCTCCGGGGAATCGTTCCGTTCCGGGTGTCACCTGAGGCAATGGGCAGGTCATGGGTGCCGTCGACCACCATGTGCACCTTGTAGCCAAAGTAAAACACCTTGCCGTCCTTGTCCTTAGCCCTCACCGAGTGGGCTAACGGCACCGCGTCCTCAGGGGTCGCTGGGCAGGCCCGTGACCTTGCTCTTCTTGTACGGATTGGAGTGGCTATGCACGTCAGTAGAGTCTATGGCTACCACGTTCGCCGAACCCTGGTAGCAAGTCGCGGAGTCGGTCGGTAAGGGAGTGGAAGACCCGCTATCAGGTCCTGGTGGTCGGCAGGGCGACGAGATAAACCGGTTAAAAGTCCTGCGGCGGGGTAGCCGTCAGCCTATCAGCGAAGCCACAGGCCCCTGCGAGCCCGAATCGTCCTGTAACCGCCGGATCAAGGCGTTGGTATGGGGCAAGTCCAGGTAGAGATGCAATAAGCGCTCCAGAGTGCTCGCAGAGACAGCCGGGGCGTCCGGTGTGGCGGTAGTCTTGGAGCCGTTCCAGGAGTGCGGTGTCGTCCAGGACAGCGAGGAGTTCTTGTAAGTCGGTGTAGGGGCCATGGGGAATGATGTCATCAGGGTCCGTCCTTCCTGAGGCTGTAAGCGGTCACCGGCGGGACAGTCCCCATGGCACCGAGCTCTCAGTGTTCTAGCGTTGTGTTCCTGTTCAGTGGGCAATCCCTCCTACAGCTATGTGTTGGTAATCTTGTCGCCAGGTTTAGCTTGTCGCGTCCACGGGCAACCTCGCAGGGCCGCTACCAGATCGGGTGCGGCCACGGCTGCCGTCTCCAGTGGAGTCCCCCCGGTAACGTAGGTGCCTTTGCTCACCTTCTCGAAGAGCTCCGGTGTCCGACAAAGCCCGATCCACTTCGTCCGCAAGTTCCTCGATTTCCCCTTGGATTGGCCGTGGTTCAGCAGGTACTGTGCGACCTTCGTGGTGTTCAACAGCTTGTGTGGGCGGCCCGGGCGATGCGGACGATCCGCTCTAACTAGTTGGCACCGCGGGTGAAGTCTGCCACTATAGATTATTACTAATAGTCATTCAGGTCCTCCGGGTCAGCGTTCACCATGGGCGCGCGAGCAGTCCGCAGCCTCCAAAAGCGTGTCCGCGCCGGATCGCAAAATCGTGAAGCCTGACAGAATAGCACAGTCGTACTCGGCCTGGGTCAACAAGGTCTGCCGCTAGAGATAGGTATCAGCCCGGAGTTCTCGTGTATCCATTCCTTACTCCGTTAGGTGGCGCTGGCCAGAGTGTTTTTCTGCTTTTTCTTAGGTTGGGTTGTTTCTTTCGATTATCATACAATATTACCCTACAATAGTCAAGTATGTTTAGGGTGATATGGGGTAATAATATTGCTAACAGACAACATCCAGTCGCATAACACAATAATAAGCCCCAACTTGTGGTTAGGGGCTACTGAATTAGTACAGATATTCGGTTTCTGGCTAATGTCAGATTTTGACCTCGCCCAGGCTTTGATGCTACGTTCTTGCCTTGAAGTAGTTTCAATTGAAGATGTGAACATTTAATCAACCATTGACATGCTTCGCCTTAGTGTATATATTGCTGAGGTTTGTGCTTCCAGCCCACATATGAGGCGGCGGCTATGGTTTTGGCTGAGTTCATTTAGCCTGTGACAATGTCCCTATCTTTGATTGAGGAGGTGGGTTGCCTATCAAATAGGTCAATGGACTAGTCCCTGCTGGTTTTATAACTGGAACTCGGACTTAATGTACCCTGAAAAATTTGGAGGAATTTCAAGATGCCCAACCACTGGTTAAGAAATCCTAAGGCGCTTTTATTTGCGCCCATCGTTGCGGTAATGGCGTTAGCTGCCGTAGCATGCGGCGCTGCAGCTACTGCCACTCCGGTGCCTACTGCTGCCCCAACCGCTGCGCCGGAAGTTATGGCAGAACCTACTGCAGTTCCTGAAGCTATGGCTGAGCCCGCAAAAGAAATGATGGACAAGCCCGAAACCATGGACATGATGGAGATGTCTGACGTTGTGCCCATTCCCGCCCATGTTGCCGACTTTTACGGTGACGTCACTTACGGCGGAACTCTTCGCGTAAACTACGAAGACCCCCTTGAACATGCCAACGCGTGGGGCGCGGGTTCAGGCGTAACCGACCGTTATCGGATGCCTACCGGCGCGTTGCTGGTAATGGAAAACCCCTATGACTCCGGCGCCCCGATCATTCCCGACCTGGCTGAAAGCTGGGAACTGGCTGATGGGCTGGACGGAATTACATTCAATTTCCGTAAAGGGGTTACCTGGCATAACGGGGAACCCTTTACCTGTGAAGATGCACGGTTCTCTTTTGATACCATGAAGACCGGCACTGGCATCACCGCCAGCTACATGCAGAGCCGTCTTGCCAACGTCCAGGAAGGAGCCGCGGGGTTTTCCTGCGTTGACGACAACACTTTCCATATAAACTTTACCGGCCCCAGCGGCGAGTCAGTTCTGTTGCTTCCCCTTGCCAACCGCCGTGCTCAAATTTTCAACAAGGCCTGGTTTGAGGCCGGTGGCGAAGAGGCCATGTTCCAGGACGTTTCCGTAGGCTTGGGTCCCTTCATGTGGGAAGAAGGCCAGAGCGTAGGCGTTGATGAACAGCGCTTCGAAAAGAATCCCAACTACTACTTCCCGGGCTTGCCTTACGTGGACAATTTGGTCATCTTCGGAATTCTGGACGAGTCCGCCCAGCAGGCTACCCAGCTGGCTCACCAGACCGATTGGCACTGGGTCCGCAACTGGGGCCAGTACCAAGCCTACGTTGATCACCCTCAGATTACCACCGTGATTCGTGCGACCCGCGGCAACTTCCGCCTGTGGGTTAATGCCCGTAATGCGCCCTTTGACAATGCCAAGGTTCGCCAGGCCATCATGATGGGGATTGACCGCAAGGCCGCCATCCTGGTACTGCAGGACGGTCATGGCGCTGCCGGCGGTTTCGGCTATGCCCCGGGCAGCCCCTGGGAACTGCCGCAGGACCAGGTCTGCTCCGTACCCGGCTGGTGCGTAGCTGATGACATGGAAGCCGTTCGCGCCGAGGCCAAGGCTATTCTGGCCGGGGAAGGCTTCGACTTTGAAAAGACTTACCTGTTCACCGTAGAGTCGGACGCTCAGGTGCAGGCGCGTGCCACGTTCCTGCAGGAGCAACTGCGGTTGATCGACGTAAAGACCGATTTTGACCTGGTGGAGACCATTGCCTATCGCACCCTGGAATCCCAGGGTACCTGGGGCGACTTCAAGCCTGGTAACAGCACGGTAACCGCTGACGACCCGAACGCCGGCGTTGCAGGCTTCCTGCGCTGCGACTCTTCAGGCAACCATTGGACCCCCAACGGTCCTTGCGAACAGAGCATCGTTGACTTGCTGGACCAGGCCCAGACTGAGCTGGACCCGGGCAAGCGTCTAGACCTGGCTCACCAGATCGAGCTGGCGGCCATGAAGCAGTACAGTTCCTTCCCAGTGTACTGGGAGCAGGAAGCTGTGTCCTTCTGGCCGGAAGTTAACGGTTTCTCCCACTTCCCGGCCCCGAACGGTTCCTTCCTCAAGTTTATGCATCTCTGGATAGACGGAGGGGACATGGACAATTCGGACAACGCCGGTCAGATCTCCGGAGTTCCTGGCGGAGCCTAGTTCGGTTAGGACTCTGTCAAAACTGGATACGGATCAAAGTTTTAAAGCGGGCCGCCCACTGTTCCGGTGGGTGGCCCTCGTCGCACAAGGTATTCCGGGCTAAAGGGGTTTTTATGAAAGGGTGTTATCGCTTATCGTAATATTGCGGTAGCAAAAGTATTGAAAATCGGGAGAGTTTTGGTTATTTCATCAAAAACCCTTGAAAGTAGCACTATTTCTAATATAATTTCGTGAAACCTATAGTTCCTAAAGCTCGTACAACTAGGAAATGATAACTGCCAATTTCATTTGGTAGACTGGCACAAGACCTTCAGAATCTCCGGTGAGGTGTTTACGGTATGAGAACATACCTGATCAAGCGATTGTTGCTGTTTGTACCGACGGCGTTTGGAGTATCGATTTTTATATTCGTGATGCTGCACACCATACCCGGAGATTACGCCACTGCCCTGTTGCTTGGCGGAGAGCCGGGTGAGGCCTATGACGCCAGCGCCGAGCAGTTTGAGAAGATCAGGGAGCAGTTGGGGTTACAGGGCTCTTTGCCTCAACAATATGCCCGGTGGCTCGGCAACTTTTTCCAGGGTGACTTCGGGACTTCCTGGACCAACAGAAAGCCGGTATGGGACAGGATGGCCCCCAGAATATTCCTGAGCTTTGAGTTGGGGGTTCTTGCGGTAAGTTTAGCGATGGTTCTGGGCACAGTGGGCGGGGTGATCTCCGCCGTGCGCCAGGATACATGGGTCGATTACTTATTGCGGGGCACCAGCATGACAATGCAGGCAATGCCTGGCTTCTGGGTCGCGTTGATGGTCATCGCGGCGCTGGTAGCCATCTGGGGTTGGAAACCTCCGATTGAATATCGTCACCTGTGGGATGATCCGGTTCGCAACATATCGGTGTTGCTCCTGCCGGCTTTCCTGGTGGGACTGCGCAGTTCGGCGGAGATTTTAAGGATGACCCGGTCGTCGGTTCTGGAAGTCCTGCGTGAAGACTATGTCAGGACCGCCGAGGCCAAGGGCCTTTACCGCTCCAAGATATTGGGCCAACACGTGCTAAGGAATGCACTGCTTCCCGTGAGCACTTTGGCCGGGTTCGAAGTGGTGTTCCTGATGAGCGGCCAGGTCATTATCGAGCAGGTCTTTAATCTGCACGGAATTGGAAAATTGTTCATCCAGGGAGTGGCTGCCAGGGATTACCCTGTAGTTCAAGCCATTGTAATGTTCGTTGCCTTGGTGGTGCTCTTGGCCAACCTGGTGGTTGACGTGATGTATGCGTGGCTGGACCCGAGAATCCGCTACAACTAAGAAACTTGATTGAGTGAAATACGAGTGGACCAAGGGTTTTAACCAGTTTCGCTAGAGGAATAGATATGACTACTCAGAACGATACGTCCGGCGCGGAGAGAGTACGCGAAAGCTTGATGGCTGCGGAACCACCCCGCCGGCCAGGGATGCTCAAATACTCGGTCTATTACTTCAAGCACAAGTTTCTGGGCACAGTGGGACTGTTCATCGTAATAGTGATGATTTTAACTGCTGTCTTTGCGGATGTGTTAGCCCCCTTTGCATATCAGCAGCAGAATTATGAGGACGTGCTGGTAGCTCCCAATTTTACATTCTTCTTTGGTACCGACAATTTTGGCAGGGATATATTCTCCCGAATAGTTCATGGGGCCAGAATTTCCATGCTGGTCGGGTTCCTGTCGGTGTTGGTAGGGACCGGCATAGGGGCCGTCGTTGGCCTGATATCCGGATTCTTCATGGGTAAGGTCGATGCCCTGGTGCAGCGCGTGGTGGATATGTGGATGTCTTTCCCTGACCTTATTTTGGCGCTAACCATCGTGGCTGTTTTCGGGAATACTTTGCCTAACGTGATTCTTGCCATCGCGGCGACCATCTTGCCCCGAGGGGTGAGGATCATTAGGTCGGCCACCATATCGATCCGGGAAATGGACTATACAATGGCAGCCCGGTCCATTGGCGCTTCCGATTTGCGGACCATGCTTCGCCATATTATGCCCAACACCGTGGCGCCTTTCCTGATTATCATGTCGTCCATGTTCGGCACCGCCATTCTGACCGAGGCCGGTCTCAGTTACCTCGGTCTGGGCATTTCCGAACCCACCCCCTCTTGGGGACGGATGCTGACCGGCCAGGCAGCGCAATATGCGCCCAGGGCCCCCTGGATCATCGCGTTCCCCGGCATTTTTATCACTGTCACCGTGATGGGCTTTGCCTTCTTTGGGGATGCCTTGAGGGACTTGTTTGACCCGAGGCAGCGGGGCCGTTAATATCCGTTGCACAGTTCATCCGAGCTTGGTAGGCTTCGCAATCTCCCCCAGAACGGGGGAGATTGCTTTGTTGAGCAGGTCGGTTGATAAGCAACCAGGTTTAGCTTTGGTATCAATTGCAAGTTGTATCCCATATAATAAGCCCGCAATTCTAGTGGACCTTTTTCGGAGGTTAAGGTGCGTAGCATAGACATTCACGCCCACGTGACACCCCAGTCCTACATGAGCGCTATGAGGGAAGGCCGTGTCTGGCATGGCCTGAATCCGGAACCCCTGGACACTGAACCTCAGCTTGAGTGGACGCCGGAACAGCGCATTCAGGACATGAACTCCCTCGGAGTGGATGTCCAGGTGGCCTCGACAGGCGCCCAGTTCTATTACTATGGTCGTGATGCCCAGGCCGTTGCAGCGATGCACCGGGAGTGCAACGATGAAGTGCACCAGATGACCATTGATTTCCCCGATCGCTTTAAAGGCCTGGCTCAGATTCCCATGCAAGACGTTGATCTGGCCATCGCCGAACTGGACAGGTGCGTTAACCAACTAGGCATGGTCGGCGCCATGATCGATGACAAGGTCAATGGAAAGACATTTGATGAGCCGGAGTTTCTGCCCCTGTGGAAGGCAGCCGAGCAGATGGGCGCCGTCTTTCTTATACACCAGGGCGGCAGCACTCTGGTTCGCCCGCGTACCAGCAAATATCACTTGCCCAACACCGTGGGAAACCTGGTTGATCGAGCAGTGACCTTTGCCTCCTTTGTTATGGGCGGGGTCATGGACGCGTGCCCTGACCTGAAGATCTGCCTGGCTCATGGGGGCGGTTACGCCTGCTATGGAGTTGGCCGGATGGATCGCAGTTGGGATGTGGGTCGACTGCCCCAGATTCCCCAGCCGCCCAGCGCTTACCTCAGTCGGTTCTACTACGATTGCCTGACCCATAGCGAGACGGCCCTTCGTATGCTCATCGACATGGCAGGCATCGACAAGATAGTTTTTGGCACAGACTGGCCCTTCGACATGCAGATAGACTGGCCTGTTTCCTGGGTGCTAAGCCTGGAAAGCCTGACCCAGGAAGAGAAGGAAGCTATTCTGTGGAAGAACATGGAGAAGCTTCTGGGCATCAGCAGCGCCTGACGGGTGTCAGACGCAACCGTTTCCCTGCCTGGACTACCTTCGGCCCTGTCGAGGTGCCGAGAAGAACTTATTCGGAGGCAACAGTGCGCAGTATCGATATTCACGCTCATCTTACTCCCCAGTGCTTTATCCGCGCTGACCGGGAAGGCAGGGAATGGCACGGAATAAAACCCGGGGAGATGCGAGTGGGCCCCCGCAACTCCTGGACGCCGGAGCAGCGGATAGCCGACATGGACTCGTTGGGAGTCGACGTGCACGTGGTTTCCACCTTCAGCTTTTACTATTATTACGAACGCGACCCTCAGGTCATCCTGCCCATGCATAGGGAGTGCAACGACGAGGTCTACCAAATGACGGTGGACCATCCGGACCGCTTCAAGGGCATGGCGATCATCCCTATGCAAGACGTCAAATTGGCTGTGCAGGAATTAGACCGATGCGTTAACGGGATGGGTTTCGTCGGGGCCATGATTGACGACCACGTAAACGGCAAGACCTACGACGATCCCGAATTCCTGCCCCTCTGGAAGGCCGCGGAAGAAATGGGCGCCGTGATGCTGGTGCACCAGCAGGGAGGACAGACCCTGGTGCGGGACCGCAACCCTAACTATCACCTGCACAACACCATCGGTAACCTGGTGGACCGGGCTGTTACATTCGCGTCTTTCGTATTTGGCGGCGTCATGGATGCCTGTCCTGACCTAAGGGTATGCCTCTGCCACGGGGGTGGCTACACTTGCTTCGGCGCAGGCCGAATGGATCGGGGTTGGCAGGTACGTTCCGAGGCACGTGTGAATATTAACCAGCCGCCCAGCTCGTACCTCGACAGGTTCTACTACGATTGTTTGACTCACAGCGAGCCGGCCCTGCGAATGCTTATCGACGCGGTGGGCATCGACAAGGTCTTATTCGGCACCGATTGGCCTGCTGACATGGCCATTGACTGGCCCGTTTCCTGGGTTTTGGGGCTTGAAAGCCTGACCATGGAGGAAAAGGAAGCCATCCTCTACAAGAACATGGAACGATTGCTCGGCATTTAACTGGTCTAATTTTAATTGCGGTTGTTTTCTCTTCCTGAATTACGAAAGGAACAATAATGCGAAGCATAGACATTCACGCTCATTCGACGCCCCAGTGTTTCCAGCGGGCAGTTCTGGCCGGTAACGATTGGCACGGCATGACCTCCGCTGACGGTGAGTTGTTTAATCCCCGAAACGCCTGGACTCCCGAACAGCGCCTCGCCGACATGGATTCCCTGGGCGTTGACATACAGGTTGTGTCAACCAATGCGGGGTTTTACCAATATGACAAGGATGCGGCAGTAACTACTGCCATAGCTAAGGATTGCAACGACGAAATCTACCAGATGACAATGGATTACCCAGACCGACTGGCTGGACTGGCCACTATTCCCATGCAGGATGCCACTGCGGCAATTGCCGAATTGGATCGTGTGGTCAATCAGCTAGGCATGAAGGGAACGATGATTGGCGACCATGTTAATGGGAAGACCTTTGATGAGCCTGAGTTCCTGCCAATTTGGAAGGCTGCGGAGCAGATGGGGGCGGTAATCTTTATCCACCAGGGCGGACAGACGATCGGCTCGGAGCGTCAGCCTCGGTACCATGTTCGCAATACAATTGGCAACCCGTCTGAACGAGCGGTAACCTTCGCTGCGTTTACCTTCGGCGGCGTAATGGACAAGTGCCCTGACTTAAAGGTCATCCTGGCCCACGGAGGCGGTTACGCCTGTTTCGGCATAGGCCGGATGGACCGCGGCTGGCAGGTTCGCTCGGAAGCGCGGGTTAACATTGAACAGCCGCCCAGCAATTATCTTGACAAGTTCTACTATGATTGCCTCACTCATAGTGAGCCGGCCCTTCGGATGTTGATTGACTATGTGGGTATAGATCGGGTGGTGCTCGGTACGGACTGGCCTGCAGATATGCGAATTGACTGGCCCGTTTCGTGGGTGATGGGCCTGGGGAGCCTGAATTTGGAAGAAAAGGAAGCCATTCTGTGGAAGAACCTGGAGAGCATGCTGGGTCTCTAGCCACAATTAAATTCGAAGCAGCAAAGCAGGAGCATCGGATACTTATGCGATCTATCGATATACATGCCCATATCAGTCCTGAGGGGTACATCAGGGCTGTGGAGAAAGAGGAGGACTGGTACGGAGTGGGCGGCCTTTCCCACCGGTTTCACCGGGCTGTTCCCCGTACTATGTGGACGCCTGAACAGCGGTTGACGGACATGGACTCCCTGGGTGTAGATGTGCACGTCCTTTCTACCAACGCAGTTTTCTACTGCTATGATGCGGATGCCGCCAAGGTCGCTGCCATGGACTGGGAGTGCAACGACTACGTTTCCCAGCTGACAAAGGACCATCCCGACCGGTTTGCTGGCTTGGCCAATCTGCCTATGCAGGATGTTGCCGCGGCGGCCACTGAACTTGAACGGGCCATGACCCAATTGGGGCTGAAGGGGGCAATGATTGACGATCACGTCAATGGCATTACCTACGACGACCCGCAATTTTTCCCTCTGTGGGAGGTTGCCGAGCAGACGGCGCCGTAATTTTGATTCACCAAGCTCTTGAGACCCTCGTCACGCCCCGGCTCAACCGCTACCACCTGCCCAACACCATTGGCAATCTGGTGGACCGCGCCGTTACCTTTGCCTCCTTCGTATTTGGCGGGGTGATGGACAAGTTCCCCGACCTGCGAATCTGCTTGTCCCATGGCGGCGTGATCACACTTGCCTTTGGCGCCCTGGGCGAGCATGGATCAGCATGCAGGTGTCGCATCCGAAGCCCGAGTTAACATAAACTCGCCGCCCAGCACCTATTTGAACCGTTTCTACTACGACTGCCTGACCCACAGCGAACCTGCCCTGCGTATGTTGATCGACTCTGTCGGTATAGACAAAGTGGTGTTCGGAACCGACTGGCCCTTTGATATGTGCACCGATTGGCCGGTGTCCTGGGTGTGCGTGGGCCGTTGGATGAGCCTGACCCCGGAAGAAACGATGGCAGATCCGCTCTACAAGAAAAACGCTGGAAGCAAACTGCTAGGTATTTAAGGGCCCCTTTATTTGGCGCCCAACCTAAACAGGAGACTTGCAATGCGCAGCAATCGACATACACGCCCATATAGCTCCGGCCGTGGCCTCCCATTTGCCGGAGGGGCAAACCTGGCACGGCTTTACCCGCCAGGAGATGAACGGCAGGCAGTTCTTGGTGCAGGGTTCAAAACGACAGTGGCTACACCCTGCTTACTCTCTTACGGCTGACGAACGTATAGCATATATGGACTCGGTGAACGTAGATGTTCACGTTCTGACTACTTGGGTTGGCCTTTATAACTACGACCTGCCAGTGGATATCGGCGCCGCCGCCGCCCGAGACTGCAATGACTATATTGCCGAATTGACCCGTTCTCACCCTGACCGCTTTTCTGGAATGGCGACTTTGCCGATGCAGGACGTGAATACCGCCATTGCAGAATTGGAACGCTCCGTGAATGAACTGGGCCTCAAGGGGGCGCAGATCGCCGACCACGTCAACAACAAGACGCTTGACCACGAGGACTTTGTTCCATTTTGGGCTGCCGCAGAACAATTGGGGGCCCTGATTTTCTTCCACCAGGAAGGCGACGACACCATCGTAAAGCCACGTGACACCAAGGGTTATGCCATAGACAATTCTATTGGCAACCTGGCCGACCGGGCCGTCACGTTTGCCACCTTAGTATTCGGCGGTGTTCTGGACCGGTTCCCAGATCTAAAGGTCTGTCTGGCCCACGGTGGCGGTTTTGCCTGTTTCGGGGCCGGTCGCATGGATCGAGGTTGGCAAGTTCGGTCCGAAGCTCGAGAGCTGGGAGCCGGCATTCCCAGTACCTACCTTGACAAGGTCTATTACGATTGCCTGACCCACAGTGAGGCCGTGCTGCGCTACATGATTGACTCAGCCGGCATAGAACGCATCTTCCTCGGTAGCGACTACCCCTATGACATGGGTATAGACTCTCCGGTGGAATGGGTCAACAGCCTGGAGAGTCTGACCCAGGACGAGAAAGAGGCAATTCTCTGGAAGAATCTGGAGCGCGTGCTGGGAATTTGACCTTCAATTGGAAGGTTGGTTCTATGTGTACCGTAGGATAAATAACTGCTGCTCAGGGTGAGCCGGTGGCTCTAACTTTGCTTCGGTGAATTTGGTGTACCCTTCAATTGCTGGTATTATAGGCCTGCTTGTACCAGATGAAAAATCCGAAATATGAGGAGGAACCAATGCTAGCAGATAACATCAAGCTAAAGAATATCAACCACATTACTTACAACGTAAAGGACAAGGATGCTGCTCTTCAGTGGTACCAGGATGTTCTGGGAGTGAAGCAGATTCCCAAAATGGTGAATAGCGACCACCTGTACTGGTTGCAGCTTCCCAGCGGCGCCATGGTCCACATCATTGAGAACCCCGACGCTCCCTCTGCCCCGTCCCATCACACTGCTTTTGAGGTGGACGATATTGAGGCGTCGCAAAAGTACTTCCTGGACAAGGGCGTAGAAACTACCGACATTCAGACACGCAACGACGGGCAGCGAGCTTTCTACATCAATGACCCCGACGGCAACCGGATTGAGCTCTGCACTGTTTCGGGTTTTGGTGTATTGGTCTAAGAACTGTTTTAGGCTGGGTCGCTACCAACTCTTTCAGGAGGATAAAGTATGAAGCTGGCATTCTTCGACGATTTCAAGTTGGGAGTAGTTAAGGGTGACAACGTGGTAGACGTTTCTTCCGTCGTCAGCGGTGTCCCTCACACTTCTCCCCATGACCTGATCAACCGGGTGATAACCGGGTTTGACGACCACCGGGCCAATATTGAAGCACTGGTTGCGGCGGAAAGCGGTGTGCCTGTCAGTTCCGTCAGGATCCGCCCTCCTCTGCCCAAGCCTTATTCCATCGTTTGCATGGCAGTAAACTACATGGAGGATGGCACCAGGGACGAGCCGGCGCCTATCAACGCCTTTCTCAAGTCTCCCCACTGCATTGTCGGCCCCGGAGACACGGTAAACCTGCCAGACATTCCGGCTACAATTTTCGAATTTGAGGCGGAAATGGCCTTCGTCATCGGAAAGCGGGCCGAGTTCGTAAAGCCGGAAGAGGCATACGATTACATCTTTGGCTACTTGAACTTCATCGACGGTTCGGCCCGTGGCGTCTTGCCACCGGGTAACACCTTCTACCAGATGAAGTCTCGCGCCACGTTTGCCCCCATCGGGCCCTATGTAGTGACTGCAGACGAGTTTACCGACCCGCTGAACCGGCAGGTTGTTCTCAAAGTCAATGGAGAGGTCATGCAGAACTACAACACCAGTGACATGGCTCACAAGATTCCCAGGATCATGGAGTGGGTAACGTCCATCCACCCGCTGGAGCCAGGTGATATTGTAGCCACTGGAACCAACCACCGTGGCCTGAGCGCGTTGATGGATGGTGATGTGTTGGATCTTGAGGTCGAGGGTCTTGGCAACCTGAATCTTAACTTTAAGGACCCCCTGCAGCGAACCTGGGAAAGGGAGACTCGTCTTGACCGCCAGAGTCAAGGTTTTGACACCACTACGCCTCAATTGACAGGTAAATATTCTTAGCAAGTGTGGTGGGCAACCACTCTAAGTCTTCGCGTTTAACGGGAGGCCTCCGGCAATCGTCTGGAGGCCTTTCCACTTAGGCAATGCGGGGTAATTTGTTATAATTGGAAAGGGTCTGCCGAGGATAACGGGCTTAGCCTGAAAAAGCCGGAGTAGTTCGGACCACATCTTGTAAAGGGTTCGAAAAGAGGCAGATGGGTTGGGTTCAGTGGCTTGCGGGAAGTGTGGCGTCCCAGGCAGGATTCGAACCCGCGACCCGCTGCTTAGAAGGCAGCCGCTCTATCCTCTGAGCTACTGGGACTTACTGAGTTGTACCCCAATATCCTGAAGGGCAAAGGATACTTTTAATCTTAAGAAGAGCGGAAGTTGGTGTCAAGGCAGGGGCAAGATGTGTAATCCAGCGGGAAACCGCGTAGCTTGGTCCTGCTCTCTCTGAATGGGGAATAATGACATGGCACAGGACAACCGGCCTGTCCGGGTATTGGTTGCGAAGCCAGGATTGGACGGCCACGACAGGGGCGCAAAGGTGATTGCCCGCGCATTGCGGGACGCCGGCATGGAAGTTATTTATACGGGGATTCGTCAAACCCCGGAAATGATAGTTCAGGCTGCTGCCCAGGAAGATGTTGAGGTTCTGGGATTGAGTATTCTTTCCGGCGCACACATGGAATTAATGCCGGAAGTAATGCGTCTTCTCAGAGAACAGGAAATGGAGGACGTTCTCGTTGTGTTGGGCGGGATTATTCCGGAAGAAGATCGCCAACCGCTGGCCGACATCGGTATTGACGCAGTGTTTGGGCCAGGCGCCTCAACGCAGCAAATCATTGACTATATCCGCAGTAGCACCGATAGAGCGGCGGTTGGCGGGTAGGGGTTTCAGGTACCTAAGGGGAAAGGTTACCTGTAGACCGGTAATTAAAGGTGAGCTAAGTTCGCTGCAAGCAACCCTGAAACGGGATGCGACCGGACTTTCATGCTTTTTCGCTATTCACACTTGACATCTGCATACTCCTCCCACGTATAATCATGTCCAATTTGCTGGGCCAGCGAGTATGGTGGTCTCAGTTAGCCGTTGCTTTGATGGGGCGGTGCCCCGTACGGGTTCCTTAAAAGTAGATGCAATATAACGTAGCGCAATTGTTGAATGAACCCACCGGATCCACTCGCAGAGTACAATTGGAGACTGGGCCTGGGTACTCCGGCGACTTGGCAGTTGCTTACGGTGGCAGTCTGGAATTCCTGAGAACTCATCAGGGTTTGCTGGTCCGAGGAAATGTACAAGCCAGTGTGGTGTTGACCTGTGGCAGGTGCCTAAACGAGTTTTCGAGTCCCAACCAGTTGGAAGTTGAAGAAGAGTTCTACTCCCTGGTTGACGTCAATACAGGCGAAAGGATGGATAGTGTCTGGGACTTCGAAGGGACAGTTATAGACTTCGATCATGTACTGGATATGTCTGAGGTGCTGCGGCAGTACACCATAGCCGCCCAGCCAATCAAGCCACTGTGCAGGACGGACTGTGGGGGCCTTTGCCAAGAATGTGGGGTCGACCTGAATCAGGAAAGTTGTAAGTGCAGTGAGGATGCCATAGACCCGAGGTGGAAAGACTTGGCAGCCTTGCTGGATCAGTCGGAAACTTAAGAGGTTCTTGAATTATGGGTGCTTTACCAAAAAAGAAGGTTACGCGGGCCAGGAGAGGTAGAAGGCTTACTTCCTATAAGTTAAAGCCACTTTACCCTGCTCGTTGTCAGCGTTGCAATACCGCCAAATTAGCTCACGCCGCCTGTCCTCAATGTGGCTATTATCGGGGACGCCAGGTAGTAGGAGTCGGAATGTAGGCCCCTAATCCTTTTGTTGCGAGCCTAATCGGGAAAGACAAGTGTCTGAAGGGCTTGCAACTTTTCCTTCTGGGCGTTTCTGTCCAAGTAGGGTGAATAGGGTTGAGGGTAGTGGCTATGACGATTACAAGAGAAAGTAAGGGCTTTTCCTACGTATTTCCTGGCCAGGGTTCCCAAAGTGTGGGAATGGGGCAGGAGCTTTATCAGTCTTCTCCTGCGGCCAGGGAAGTTTTTGAAGAAGCTGATGACAGCTTGGGCTTTTCACTGTCCAAGCTTATTTTTGAGGGACCTTCCCGGGAACTCCAGGATACAATGAACTCCCAACCGGCAATAATGATTGTCAGCATTGCCTGTTGGAAGGCTTGGGAAGAATTTTTGGGGTCCCAATCTCCAACACCGGTGTCCTTGGCCGGCCACAGCTTGGGCGAATACAGTTCCCTGGTAGTCGCCGGTGCGATCGATTTCGGTGACTGTGTAAGGCTCGTAAGGGAGCGCGGCAGGCTGATGCACGAGGCATCGGAAGTCCGGCCAGGTGGCATGGCCGCCATAATAGGCTTGGACGAATTGGCTTTTGAGCACATCTGTGCAGAGACTGGCGTAGAGTTGGCCAATGTCAATAGCGACGACCAGGTGGTCATCAGTGGCGACAAGATTGCCGTGGCAAGGGCCATGGACCTGGCAACAGCCCGGGGAGCCAAGAAAACCGTACCGTTGAAGGTAAGCGGCGCTTTCCATTCTTCGCTGATGGGCTATGCCCAGGAAGGATTGATTGAAGCTATTGCCGACTTGGAAGTGCGGGACCCGCAGGTGCCCGTCGTAGCAAATTCGGTGGCTGTCTCGGTAACGACGGCGGAGGAAGTTCGAACCGAATTGGTTGAGGGCTTGTGCCACTGTGTGAAATGGAAGCAGTCGGTGCGTTACATGGTGGATTCCGGCGCCTCACACTTTGTGGAATTTGGTCCGACCCGCGTCCTTTCCAGCTTGATTAAGAGAATCGACAAGGATGTCGACGCCTTTACCTTATCGGATCCTGCTTCTATCGAGAAGGCAACTCAGGAAATTTAGCGCTGGGTTTCATACCGTGAGGTAGAAGCCCATTTTTGGTGACTATGCCGAAGGTATTACCCAGAGACCCTAGAAGTTTGGCGCGAGTGGTAGTGTTGCAGGCCGGATTTGCCAGTGACCTGCGAGGGGGTCTCGAACAGCCCAGACTAGAATGGCTGATTGAAGAAAATCTGGTTCGCGCCAGAGATGCCAAAAACGTGCTGGCAGCTTCTCAACCCCTGTTGCGGGGACTCCTTGAGAATCGCCAGGAATTGGACAAACTGATTCAGACTTACGCGCCCGCATGGCCTGTCCATTTGTTGGCGCCAATTGACCGCAATATACTGCGGATTGCCCTTTACGAATTGCTCTACCACACAGATACTCCCGCCAAGACAGCAATCAACGAAGCCGTTGAACTGGCCAAGGTTTTCGGTAGCGAAAGCTCGGCGCGTTTTGTTAACGGTGTTCTCGGTACGGTTATGACGGCCTTGTCGCGGGGCGAATTGAATTAAGAAGAACTTGCTTCCGAAGGGAGATGACTTTTTGGCCACCGTTATTGAGCGAGTACGAACAATAGTAGTAGACAAACTGGGAGTCGAAGAAGGAGATGTCGAAGAAACGTCTTCATTTGTGGATGATCTGAACGCCGATTCCCTGGACCTCGTAGAACTTATTATGGCATTTGAGGAGGAGTTTTCGACCGATGATAGTCAGGTTGAGATTTCCGATGATGATGCCGCCAACATTCGAACAGTAGGAGATGCAGTCACTTATCTGGTTGATCACGGCGTCTCCGAAAGCTAGCTGCGAATTCCGTGACTCCTCCCCGGCGTAGGACATGGCGACTTCCCTGCCGACGATAATCAAGAGTCTCTGGGAAGTCGTTCATTTGGTGTTTTACCCGACCTTTGGGGGAACCCCAGTCTCCGAATCAATGTATGAACAGCCTGGAAGAAATCTCACTTCTTGTTTCCCGTTGTACCGAATGCGACCTTCACCAAGGTCGGACTAACGCTGTGCCAGGTGAGGGTGCAGCCAACGCCGAGTTAATGTTCATCGGTGAAGGGCCCGGTGCTCAGGAAGATCGACAAGGTCGACCTTTCGTGGGACCTGCCGGGCAGTTTCTTGAAGAGCTTCTCGCCTCCATCGGTCTTCGCCGGCAGCAGGTGTACATCGCAAATATGGTAAAGTGCCGGCCGCCCCAGAACAGGGACCCGCTTCCAGCCGAAATTTCGACTTGCAGCAAGTATCTTAACCGGCAAATAGAGCTAATCGACCCCAAGTTGATCGTAACGCTCGGCCGTTTTTCATTGGCCCGCTTTTTCCCGGGTGAAAGTATCAGCAGAGCTAGAGGCAGGGTTCGAGAAAGGGACGGCAGACGTATTTACCCGATAATGCACCCCGCCGCAGCGTTATATCGGCGGGAGATGCGTAGTTCTATCATTGAGGACTTTAGTCGAATACCTGACATCCTGGCACAAGCCGGGGAGCGGCCTGCGCCGCTCGAGGAGTCGGGTGAAGTCCAGACCCCACCGCCAGAACAATTGTCGTTGTTTTAGTTTGAACCACAGGATATGTAACCAAATTGAACCATAATTTGCGCGTAATTCCCCTAGGTGGTCTTGGTGAAATTGGCAAGAACATGATGGCCCCTGGAGTGCGGCGACGACATTGTAGTCGTTGACTGCGGGGTGCAATTTCCCTCCGAGGATATGTTGGGAGTCGACCTGATTATTCCCGATGTTTCCTATCTCGTGGAGCGGTCCGATCGAGTGCGGGGCATTTTGATAACCCACGGTCACGAAGACCATATCGGCGCTCTCCCTCACATTCTGCCTCAGCTTAACGTGCCCGTCTTTGCGCCCAAGTTGGCCCACGGCTTGATTGCTGTAAAGCTGCACGAAAATCGGGCCACACGGGGGATCTCTGCCCAACCGATTGAGCCGGGCGTTGATTACCAACTCGGTGCGAACTTTACTGCCCGCTGGTTTCGAGTCTGCCACAGCATTCCGGACGCCATGGGTATTGCCATTTACGCCCCTGGGTACAGTGATACATACTGGAGACTTCAAAATCGACCATACGCCGGTGGACGGCCATACCATTGACCTGAACACACTGGCCCACTACGGAAATGAAGGCGTATTGTTGCTTTGTTCCGACTCCACTTACGCTGAAATACCCGGGTACACTGCTTCCGAGCAGATTCTTGGTGGTGCCCTGGACCGGGCTATCGGCGACGCTCCGGGAAGGGTAATGGTGGCTACCTTCGCATCACTGATCTCTCGGGTGCAGCAGGTGATTGATGCTGCTGCCAGTCACAACCGAAAGGTTGCCATCGTGGGCCGCAGCATGGCCGACAACGTCAGCATGGCCGCGGAAATGGGGTACCTTGACTTGCCTCCGGACACCCTGGTTAGTCTGAACGAAATCCGTGGCTATTCCCCTGAGCGAACAGTCTTAATTACTACCGGCAGCCAGGGGGAGCCGACTTCGGCCCTGGTTCGAATAGCCAATAAGGACCACCGTGATGTTTCTGTCATGGAGGGGGATACGGTGGTCATCTCTGCTACGCCTATCCCAGGCAATGAGCTTCTGGTAAGCCGGACCATTGATAACCTGCTGCGGCAGGGCGCGAGAGTCTTGTACGACAGGATAGCCCTGGTACACGTTCACGGCCATGCGAGCCAGGAAGAGCTTAAGATGATGCTCAGTCTCACCCGCCCTCGCTACTTTGTTCCGGTACATGGCGAGTACCGGCACCTAATGGCTCACGCCAAGCTGGCATGGGATATGGGATTGGCTGAGTCAGGTATTTTTGTTCTTGAAGATGGAGACGTACTGGAACTGAGTGAGGATGGTGGTCGTGTTGTGGAGTCCGTCTCCGCTGGCCCAATCTTCATTGACGGGCCCGTTACCAGGGACGTGCGAAGTGAAGTGCTGCGCGAACGAAAGGCCCTGGCCAGGGATGGCGTCGTAGTCTTGGTGGTGTCGGTGGATGGTCAAACTGGCCAGCCGGCCAGCCCTACGAAGGTCTTGGCCAGCGGGTTTATGGATGACTCCGAGACCGATGACTTGTTCCCCAGGCTATCCGTGCTTATTGACGACCTCGTAAAGGACCGTCAGGAGTTTGCCGAAGAACCCGAACGGGTAAAGAACCTGGTTAGAGAGGCTGCTGGCCGTTTCCTGCAAACGGAAGCGCGCCGCCGCCCGACGATAGTTACCGTGCTCCTGGAATCGTGATTTTCCCCTCATAGGCATTAGTTGTGTGGCCCTCGAACCGGAAAGTTCCAAACTCCCCAAAACTTACTTCGGCACAACTTCGGACTTCCAAGAACTTACAGTTACCATAGAGGTATTCTTTTCTCCATTCTTTTATCGATTTGGGGGGACTCTATGGTGGATACAGCGCGTCCCATGCGCCGGTCCCCTGCGCCTTCGGGCAGCACGAAAATAAAATTTAGATTCTTTCTGTTCCTGGATATATTCGTCCTGCTGTTAGTCGTGGCAGCGGGATCGGCTGCGTTCTGGCTATATCCGGAATCTTTGGAGACGGCTCTGACCGGTCTCGGCTATGGCTGGTTTCCTACATTGCTCTGGTCTGCCGCTGTTCTCTTGGCCCTCCGCTATCGTACCGGCTGGTTGTTCCGCTTCTGGAACCTTTGGCTCGGTGGGGCTTGTGCCGTTTTTCTGACTATCGGAATTCTCTCCTTTTTCGATGGTGGTTATGGCCCGTTAGCCTTTGTCGGTCTTGGAGGACGCTGGGGCAGAATCGCTGTTGGCGAATCGCACCTCCTGGGCGTCGCCCGCCTGTTGCCGCTGGCCCTGGTAATTCCCCTCTTGGTCCGCCCTAACGAAGCCAGCAAAGGTTACTGGTTCGTTATATTTAATGCGGGCAAGGGCCTGTGGTACGGCGCGGTTTATGTTGTTCAGGGAATAGCCAGCGTGGGCAGCGCTGTTGGACGCGGCGTGGCGTCTATCTTTAGTGCGGAGACCCGCCCTGCCTGGATGACGTCCCTGACGAAAAGCCCGGGACGTGTCTTTGCATCTTCTTCCCATGGCAAGTCTCGAAATGGGCAAAGAGAGGTACCCGCTCTTCAACTAGAGGAATCGGAGGGAGAACCGGCCAGCAACAGTGAACCACCTGAAGCAATTGTTGCCCCTGCGGCTCAGCCCTTGACGGCTCCTGGTTCCAAGTGGAAGTTGCCCTCACTGGAGTTGCTGGCGCCTGCCGAAGTCCGTACGACAGACGATAAGCCACTAAGGAAGATGGCCGAAGAAATTCAAGGTGCCTTGGGTGATCATGGCGTAAGCGTGGAAGTCGCTGATATCAAGTCGGTCCTCGCATTGTTCGATTCGGTCTGCTGCCAGGCTGGGTGGAGAAGAGAGGTGCAGGAAAGGACGGTTCCGACACCCCCGAACGCAGCCGGGTCAGGGTTCACAGCATTCTCGCCAGGGAAAAAGATCTGGCTCTGGCTATCAGTACACCCAGCTTGCGGTTCGAGCCTGTGCCTGGAGAAGCTCTCCTGGGACTGGAAGTTCCTACTCCTACCCCCAGCAAAGTTACTATGCGGGAGGTAATGGACTCTCAGGACTTCAGAAAGATTGCTACTAAGGGCGGCCTGCCCATTGCGCTGGGCGCAGATGCGGGCGGTGATTCGGTGGCTATGGACCTGTCTGGCCTGCCTCATATGATGATTGCTGGCGCTACGGGGAGCGGCAAAAGCGTCTGCATCAACTCCATAGTTGCTTCTATGCTGCTAACCAAACCACCGGACCAATTACGAATGTTGATGGTTGACCCCAAACAGGTGGAGCTTACTCCCTTCAACGGAATACCCCACCTGGTAGTTCCCGTCATAACTGACGTCGATGATGTCAGTCCGATGCTCCGGGGTCTTATCCGTGAGATGACGCGGCGTTATAAGGCAATGGCTGACCTGGGGACTCGTAACATCAGCGGATACAACGCCAAGTCCAAAGACTCTATGCCATTCCTGGTCTTGATTGTCGACGAACTTGCCGACCTGATGCTGGTTGGCGGGTTCGAAATCGAGCAGTCCCTGGTTCGCCTGGCTCAACTGGGGCGGGCGGCCGGGATACATTTGGTGTTGGCGACCCAACGCCCTTCCGTAAAGGTAGTTACCGGTCTGTTGAAGGCGAACATACCTGCTCGGGTGGCCTTCGCGGTTGCTTCCCAGGTTGATGCGCGAGTCATTCTTGATTCCGTCGGCGCCGAAAAATTGCTGGGAAAGGGCGACATGCTGCTGGTCTGCAACGATTCACCCAAGGCGCGCCGGGTTCAGGGGACGCTGGTCTTGGATGATGAGATTGAAAAACTGGTGAGTTTCTGGCTGGATCAGAAGGGTCCGCCGCTGCCCCCGATCAACCTCGAAGATGACGAAGAAGATGCCGAATTTGGGGATAGCGTAGACGAGAGTCTTGTAGACAAAGCTCGGGAACTGGCGCTAAGGAACCCACATTTGACACCGTCCCTGCTGGAACGCCGCCTGAAAATTGGCGGAAGCCGAGCTGAGCAAATAGTGGAAGTTCTAGAAGATGAAGGCTTGTTGATCCCTCGTTAGCTCAACCAGGCTGAAGTACGCCGAGAAAGGATCAATAACAATTGTGGTATTATGGGACTGCCGACCAGACTGGGTCGGCAGACCCACTTCATACCCGGGGCAATTGACTTCCGTTGCTTATAGACCTGCACACCCATAGCTACCCTAAATCCGACGACAGCTTCGTCAGCGTAGATGATTTGATAGACCGGACTAAAACTCTCGGTCTGGATGGTATCTGTTTAACTGACCATGACGAATTCTGGTCTGCTGAAGACGTTAAGATCCTGTCTGTAAAGCATAACTTCCTGGTGTTGTCAGGAAGCGAAATCAATACTGATGCGGGTCATATTCTCGTATTTGGCCTCAGTGAGTACGTTTTCGGATTGCACAAGCCCGCGTTTTTGCGCCAGATGGTCAACAAGCATCATGGTGTAATGATTGCGGCCCACCCCTATCGCCGCCGCTTTTTGGCTGACCCGGGCAAGGACCCAGATGCCAGGGCGGAGATGCTGGAACGTGCCCTGGCAGACGATGTTTTCCGGATGTGTGACGCCATTGAAGGGTTTAACGGTCGTGGAAAAACTGACGAAAACTCTTTTTCTCAGGACGTTGGCAATGCCTTTATGCTGAAGGCTACTGGAGGCAGCGACTCCCACCGCCTGGAGCAGTTAGGAACAGTGGCGACCAGGTTTGACCGCCGGATAAAAGACCTCGATGGCTTCATAGCCGAAATCAAGGCTGGCAGGTTTAGCGTAGAGTCTCTTCGCTGAAGTTTCGACCTACGTTTTGAAGAAGGTTTGGTTGACAGGTAAGGCTTCTGGCTGCCGCGAACAAAACGTTGAGGGCTGAACAAATGACCGAAGTTCTCAAAGTAGAAGATCTGCGGGTAGAATTTGAAACCACCAATGGGCAAGTGAAGGCACTTAACGGGGTGACTTTTTCGCAAGAAGAAGGTCAGGTCTATTGCGTTGTGGGTGAAAGCGGGGCGGGGAAGAGCACCCTGGCCCTGGCAATCATGGGGCTGCTGCCAAGCTCAGCCACTTTGGTGGAGGGCAGTGTTTTTTTCAACGGCATTGACTTGATGCGGGCAAGTCCCGAATACATGCGAAGTATCCGTGGGAAAGAAATAACCATGGTGTTTCAGGACGCACAGACGGCGCTGAATCCGGTGCAGACTGTGGGGAGCCAATTGGAAGAGGTGATCCTGAACCACACCAACATGTCTGCCCGAGAGGCGAGCCGATTGGGTCAGGAAGTGCTGCGGGAATTGGGCCTGCCCGACCCGCGCCGGATACTGGGAGAGTACCCCTTTAACCTCAGCGGCGGCATGTGCCAGCGAGTTATGATCGCCATAGCCCTGGTATTGCAGCCCAAGTTGCTCATCGCCGATGAGGCCACATCTGGTCTGGATGTCACGTTGCAGGCAGAGATACTTGAACGCCTGAAGCGCCTGTGCCGCGACCTGAACTCGGCCATATTGCTGATTACCCATGACCTTGGCATAGTCGCCCACATGGGCAACCGGGTGGGGGTAATGTACGCCGGGAAGATGGCGGAAACCGCCGATGTCATTCCTCTCTTTAAGGAACCCCGACACCCTTATACCTGGTCCCTTATTCAGTCGCTGCCTCGCTTGGACGACGTCGGTCGCAGGTTGCAACCCTTGAGTGGCAGCCCCCCAGACATGCTCCAACTTCCAGAAGAATGCGCCTTCCTGCCCCGGTGTCACAAGGCCTTGAGTCGGTGCCGAGTCGATCCTAGCCCACCTCTCAGCGAGGTCGACGAAAGGCACCATGTGGCCTGTTATAATCCCATGCTACCCTGACTCCCCGGCTGGCTCCTGATGTTTTCCGTTGTTTCCTGTTGGGCTAGGTTCGCCGCGGGCTGCGGCCTGCCGGGCGCGGGGAAGCTACAGCCAGGTCAGCAACCAGCAACTCCATGGCCAGGTCTTCAGATTCGATCTTGCCCGTTTTCAAGGCCAAGTCGGTTTCCAATATGCTTTGGAAACAATTGTCAAGATTCTCCCATGAGTTGCGGCGCGCCTGGTCAGCGGTCTTCCTTGCCACGAAGGGCGGGACTCCCAGCTTCCCTGGCAACTCCGCTGGCGGCACCCGCTGCTCCGTCCAATAGCGGGCGAGGGCGACCAATCTCAGTTGTCGTTCCACCATGCTTACGATGTAGGGAAGGCCTGCCCCGTCCTGTCGCAGTTTTTGCAACAGGCGCAGGGCTATCTCGGGACGGCCGTCGATCATGGCATCCACTGCATTGAATATACTGGCTTCCCTAACCAGCGCCACCAACTCCTGAACATCCTCTTCTTCAATGTTCCGCCCGAAAGCGTAAAGTGAGAGCTTCTCCAACTCCCGGTCCAAAGTCCACAGGTCGTTTCCTACCAGGTCGGTTAGTGTCCTGATGGCGGCGGGGTTGATCCCGCATCCTTTTCCCTGCGCCGCGTCTTTGACGAAGCGAGCCAGGGCCTCACCCGAAGGAGCAGGCAGATGTTGGGTTTGGGCTATGTTTCTGAGACTGCGCAGGAGCGGATTACTGTCAGAGACTCCGTGATCCACCAGGAACAGGCGGGTTGTATCAGGCATTAGCGGGATAGCGGTAGACAATCCTTCCCATTCCCCAAGGGCACGGCTGCTATTTCCGCGGCCTCTGCCGCCGCGGCCTTCCAGAGTGCCCAGCAACCCATTCACTGTGACCAGGCGGCAGGTGTCCATAAAGGGCAAGGCGTTGCAAACTGAAAGCAGTTCCGGCAAGTTGAACTGGCCGCCCATCATCTGGTGGCGGTTGGCTTCCAGCAGGTCGTCGGCGCCAGTTTCCGAGTAGAGTCTCTTCAGCTGTTCCGATACGAGGAAACTGTCACCGTAGAGAAGATGAGCCGGCAAGTTGCCTCCGATTGAAATGCCATTAACCCATTGGTGAAAATGGTCCTGAACAGACGAGGACTCGGGAATGAACCGGAATGTAAAGTGGGAAGGATTCTATGTCTCTAAAATATCTGGGCGAGGCGAGCAGCGACTTAGGATACTGATTCGTTGGGCCGTTCCACCAACTCGGTCAATATGCCAAAAACCGACCTGGGATGGATGAAAGCTATGTCGCCCGACAGACCCTCCCGAGGTTCATGGTCAATCAGTTGCAGCCCCAGTTCATCCACGATCTGAATCTTTCCCGGCAGGTCTGAAACGTAGAATGCCAGATGGTGTAGGCCCTCACCCCGCCTTTCTATAAACCGTCCGATGGTTGTGTCAGCCGCAGTCGGTTCCATCAACTCGAGTCGAGTCTGCCCCACCTGCACTAACGCACCCCTGATGCCCTGGTCGCCCAACCGCTTAACCTCTGCCATCGGCGCCCCAAAAACCTGGTGAAACAGTTCCAGGGCGGCATCAATGTCCTTGACTGCGATGCCCACGTGGTCAATATAGTCAACGGTGCAAACTGGGGAATCGTTCAAAGTGTTGTCCTCGTCAAATGGATGGTTATCCAAAACTTATGCTTCCGCCAGGTTCCCCGAGCTATTTGTCCCGGTATTCGGCAATCGGCAGTGCATTCCGCTAAATTGGATATTGGGCAAGGGTCTGGCGGGCAATGAGAAGCCGCTGGACCTCTGAAGTGCCTTCGTAGATTGTCGTGACCCTCGCGTCGCGGAACAGTCTCTCGACCGCCGTATCCTTGAAGTATCCGTACCCTCCGTGTACCTGAACGGCCTTCGAGGATACTTCGACGCACATTTCCGAAGCCATCAGTTTGGCTATGGAGGCCTCATTGATGTAGGGCTGCCCATCGTCTTTGAGTGAAGCTGCCAGCATCGTGCACGTGCGGGCGGCATGAACTGAGGTAGCCATGTCTGCCAGCATAAACTGGACAGCCTGGTGCTGGGCGATAGGCCGTCCGAAGGACTCCCGCTGCTGGGCGTAGCGAACCGCTTCTTCCATAGCTGCCTGCCCTATCCCGACACATTGAGCGGCGATCATTATCCGGCTGGAATCGAGGATCTCCATGGCGTACCGAAAACCTCGCCCCTCTTCGCCCAGGAGATTCCCCGAAGGTACTGGCGTGTTCTGGAATACGATCTCGTTGGTGCTGGAACCCCGCATGCCCATTTTCCCGTGCATGGGCGTGACGGACAGCCCCGGCGCCCCCTGGGGCACCACAAAGGCGCTAATGCCCCGGTAACCCTGGGAGCGGTCCTGGGAGGCGAATACAACCATCGACTCGGCTACGTCGGCGTTGGTTATAAACATCTTGCTACCGTTGAGGAACCATGTCCCGTCCCGGCTTTCCGCAGACGTTTGCAGGGCGGCAGCGTCGGAACCGCCGCCGGGCTCCGTCAGCGCCCAGGCCGCCACACCTTTCCCTGACGCCAAGCTGGGAATAAACCGGTGCTTTTGTTCCTCGTTGCCAAAGCGATAAATAGTGCTGGTGCCCAGAGACAGATGAGCAATAAGACCGGTGCTGGCCGCCGCATCGCCTCGTGCTACCTCTTCCACTGCAATTGCCACTTGGCGGTAGCCGCCGCCGCTTCCTCCGTATTGGGGGTCAATGGCCATGCCAGTAAGCCCCAGGCGAGTCATGCCCTCCCAATTCTGCCAATCAAACTCTTCCCTTTCGTCCACTTCCCTGGCCCGGGGCGCCAACTCGCGGTCGGCAAAGTTCCGCACCAGGGTTTGCAGCATTCGTTCCTCTTCGTTCAACGTCGGGTCTGGCATGGTGTTACTCCTTTGGTTCGACAAAGCACGAGATGGAACAGGACGCGGGCAACTTCAAGCGCTTCGTGGACCTACGTGTGATTGGCGAATTTTCTGACCGTTGGCTAAAAGGCCAACTCCCCCCGCTGTTCACCGAACACGTCACGGAAAACCTGGCAGATCTCACCCAGGGTGCAGTAGTTCTCCACGCATTCCAGCGTTGTCGGGACGGTATTATCGTTGGTGCGGGCCGCTTCTTCCAGCCTTGCCAGGGAAGCCTTAACCTGGGCATTGTCGCGGTCATGCTTCAAACGGGCCAGGCGGTCGGACTGCTGGCGGGCAACTTCGGGGTCTACTCTGAGCAGATTGCCGATGGGCGGCGTGTCGCTGACATAACGGTTCACGCCTACGACTGTGCGCTCTCCAGCATCCACTTCCCGCTGGTGTCTATAAGCCGATTCACCAATTTCCCTGACCTGGTAGCCCTGCTCAATGGCGGCCACCGCACCACCTTGTCGGTCAATTTCGTGGATGTACTCTAACGCTTTCTGTTCCAACTGGTCGGTCAGGTTCTCCACGTACCAGGAACCGCCCAGTGGGTCCACTACATCGGCCACTCCGCTCTCGTGGGAGATTATCTGCTGGGTGCGCAGAGAGAGCTGGGCCGATTCTTCGGTAGGCAGCCCAAGCGCTTCGTCACGGGAATTTACGTGCAATGACTGGGTTCCGCCCAGGATGGCCGCCAACGCTTGTACTGTGCTGCGTATGACATTGTTGTCGGGCTGCTGGGCGGTAAGCGTAACTCCTGCAGTCTGGGTGTGAAAGCGAAGCATCATGGACCGGGGATCCTTTGCCCCAAAGCGGTCCTTCATGATAGCTGCCCACATCCGGCGCGCTGCCCGGTACTTGGCTACCTCTTCAAGCAGGTTGTTCTGGGCCACGAAGAAGAAGGAGAGGCGGGGCGCAAAGTCATCCACGGCAAGGCCCGCGTCCACGGCGGCCTGCACGTAGCCAATGGCGTTGGAAAAGGTAAAAGCCAACTCCTGCACCGCGGTGGCGCCCGCCTCGCGCATGTGGTAGCCGCTGATGCTGATAGTGTTCCACCGGGGAATGTTCTCGGCACAGTACTTGAACACGTCCACAACCAGCCGCATCGAGGGACGGGGAGGGTAGGCGTAAGTGCCCCGGGCAATATATTCTTTCAGGATATCGTTCTGCAGCGTGCCGCTTAATTTCGCCTGGGGCACCCCTTGTCTTTTGGCAGCGGCAATGTAAAGACACAGCAGCACCGATGCGGTTGCGTTGATGGTCATAGACGTGCTGACTTGGTCCAGCGGTATACCATCAAACAGGGTTTCCATATCTTCCAGGCTGCAGATTGGCACACCAACCTTGCCCACTTCACCCTGGGAGTGAGGGGAATCGGAATCGTAGCCAATCTGGGTGGGCAGGTCGAAGGCTACGGAGAGGCCGGTCTGCCCCTGTTCCAGCAGGTAGCGATATCGGCGGTTGGTGTCTGCGGCCGTGGCGTATCCTGAATATTGCCGCATGGTCCAGACCCTGCCACGGTACATATTGGGCTGGACGCCACGGGTGTAGGGATATTCGCCGGGAAAATCCGATGTTATCGTAGGTGGCATCTCCATTGGACGGAGTGTAAATAGGCTCAATGGATATGCCGCTATCAGTCTGGAAACTCTCCCGGCGTTCCGGAAAACGTTGAACTGCCGGTTCCAGCGTATCTCTACGCCAGCGCTCCTGGTTATCCGAAGGGTTACCCGCCATTTGCAATGCTCACCTGCTGGTACTTTAAGGCCATTGTATCGTTAAAGGTATGACCGCTCAAGCGGACAAAAGGGGCTGGAATTCAGGGAAATGAATAACCTGACACTACGAAACGAGGCCGAATCTTCAGAATCTATCTCAACGCTTGTCCATGTATTTGGCGCTACCAGGGCAACAATTCTCAGGCGGGGATGTTGCCCTAAGCGTTCGCGCCCTTGACACTTGGAAATCCGAGTCCATATACTAGCGAAAATTCCTCTATTTTGATCGTGGTAGCCGTCGGCCTCTGGTCGGCGGATTAATGTTGTCAGGCACCGATGAGAAAGAAGGAAGTGTTGGTAGTCGGTGGCGGCACCGGCAACCATACTACTCTCACTGGGCTTAGAAACGAGGATTGCAACCTGTCCGCCGTGGTCGCCATGACCGATAGCGGAGGCAGTTCCGGACGGCTTAGAGACGAGATGGGGCACTTGCCTCCGGGGGATATACGGCGGTGCCTGATGGCCCTGGCTGCAGAGACCCCGCAAGGCAACCTGATGCGTCGCCTGTTTGATTACCGCTTCAATTCAGGCAATGGGCTTTCCGGCCACAACTTCGGCAATCTGCTCCTCACCGTCCTTACCGAAGTCACGGGCAACACCATATCTGCCATTGAAGAAGCGTCACAACTCTTGGGCATTAAGGGTAGGGTCTTGCCTGTAACCTTGACCCACTCCACCCTGATGGCCCGCCTGGATAACGGTGAGGAATTGTCTGGAGAATCGGTCATAGACCTGCGGCGGGACAACCTGGACGTGGGCATTGACTATATTTGGCTGGACCCCAAAGCCTATGTCTATCCTCCCGTTCTGGATGCAATAGAAAGGGCCGACGCGATAATCCTGGGGCCCGGTGACATTTACACCAGTGTCTTGCCCAACCTGCTGGTAGAGGATGTTGCAGAGGCGATAAACGCTTCCAGCGCGGTGAAGGTTCACATTTGCAATCTCATGACCAAACCCGGGGAGTCTGACGGGTTTAGAGCGTCCTCATTCGTAAAGCTGCTGATGGACTACCTGGGCACTGGGGCACCTCTGGACTACCTCATCTACAACGACAGTCCTTTCCCAGCCAGAATGGTTGCAAGGTATGCTGCTGATCGGCAATTTCCCGTGGAACTGGATAGGAAAGAATGTGCCTCGGTAGTGAAAGAAATAGTGACCGCTCCCTTGCTAGCTTCCGGCGTCTATTTGCGGCATGACCCCGTTGCATTGGCTCAAACCATCATGGAGATAGTCAATAGACCAGTTCATGCTGGCTAGTTCTTCCTGTTGATGTCCTCTGTTTACCGGCGGCTGTGCCGGGGATCCGTAGTTTATTCCGCACCACTTTGGCGAGGAGACTCCATGTATCCCAGACTTGGAATTAGGGTCCAATACTGCGAGTCAACATGTGCGGCATAGTTGGATATGTTGGAAGTCAGTCTGCCTGGCCCATTGTACTGGAAGCCTTGCAGCGCCTTGAGTATCGCGGCTATGACAGCGCCGGCATCGCCGTGTTGGACAGATTTGGCCAGTTGCGCCTTCGCAAAACGGTAGGCAAGGTTGATGGACTGACCCAGGGAGACGAGACAGACTACCCCGACGGAACTGTTGGATTGGGTCATACCCGCTGGGCCACCCATGGACCGCCCACAGACGCCAACGCTCATCCACTTACCGAGTGCCATCGGCAAATAGCCGTAGTGCATAATGGTATTGTCGAAAACTACCTCGAACTCAAGCAAGGCCTTCAGCAGCAGGGCCACACCTTTTCATCGGAAACCGACACTGAGGTTATTGCCCACCTCATCGAGGAGGGCATGAGAGAAGGGTTACGGTTCCCCGAAGCCTTCAGACAGATGGGTCGGCGTCTCGAAGGTTCTCAAGCCATAGCAGCGGTTTGCCAGAGAGACCCCGACAAGGTCTGTGCATTGCGAGTAGGCCATGCCGGCGGGATTGTTGTAGCTCACCGCGACGGTCAGGGGATAGTAGGCAGTGACCTGCCGGCGGTTTTGCCAATTCTTCGTCAGCGTCCGGGTCCTGTGGCTTACCTGGAAGCTGGAGAAATGGCTGAGGTAACTCGCCTGGGAGTCCGAGTATTTGACCTCGAAGGGAACAGCATCTTCAAGGAAATGCGCACCGTTTTCCCGCAAGATGCGTTGGTGGACCGGGGTGGTTACCGGCACTTCATGCTTAAAGAGATCATGGAGCAACCCCAGGTGGTGGCCGGCGCCCTTCGCGGTCGGGTCAACTTCGATGCAGGCCGGGTGGAACTGCCGGACTTCCCATTTCTTGAGGACGAGATAAGGGACTTCCGCCGGGTTGTGTTGACCGGATGTGGTACCAGCTTGCACGCGGCCCATGTAGGTCGCTACCTCATAGAACGCTTTGCCGGCTTGCCAGCCGAGGTAGAAAGCGCGTCGGAGTACCGTTACCGGGAGCCATTTCTCGACTCGGACACTTTGGTGGTCGCTATCAGCCAGTCCGGCGAAACGGCAGATACTATTGCCGCCATGCAGGATGCTAAAGAGAGGGGCGCTAGATTATTGTCCATCTGCAATTCCGAAGAAAGCCAGGCGGCACGTCTGGCAGACGGTTCCCTCTACATGGGATGTGGTATGGAGATCGGCGTTGCCAGCACCAAGACCTTCATAGCCTCAGTTACCATTCTCTTCCTGCTAGGCATTTACCTGGGACAAGCCCGGGCGCGTCTCTCGCCTGAAGTGCGTAGGGACTTGATTGCCGATTTGGCAAGCACCCCCCGCCTGATAGGAGAAATGCTGGCTGACGTATCGCAATACAAGGTGCTGGCGCAGAAATTCAGCGGCTACAACAGTTTTCTGTATTTGGGAAGAGGCATAAACTCCGCTATAGCTCTTGAGGGAGCCCTGAAACTCAAGGAGGTCAGCTACATTCACGCCGAGGGCTACCCTGCCGGCGAAATGAAGCACGGCCCCATTGCTTTGATAGACCGGAATATGGCTACTTTGGCCCTGGCCCCGCGGGACCGCCTGTACGACAAGATGGCCGGCAACATAAAGGAAGTGAAGGCCCGGCGGGGAATTGTCCTGGGTGTCTTGACGGAAGGCGATACTGAGTTGGCAGCCGAAGTCGATGACACATTATTTCTTCCCACGGCCCCCGAGCATCTTTACCCCCTTCTGGCCACTGTTCCTTTGCAATTGTTGGCCTATTACATAGCTCTGGACCGGGGTTGCGACGTCGATCAGCCTCGCAACCTGGCCAAATCGGTTACAGTGGAATAGCCCCTTCCGCCTTTCACTTGCCGGAATTAACTTATTGTTAACATCTTTGCGTCGACCTGAGTGGCCGGCAGTTGTAGAGTACGCCGGTGCTTTTGGCCCAGTTGGTCAACTACGGGTGTACGGTAACCCTCGTTGTGCTGCCTATTTCGTTCGCAGTTGGCCTAGTAATGGTGCGTTTCGGAGAAAATAGCCTCTGAAAATTGACCTTATGCTCCAATTGGCAAGAATTTCAGTTAATTTGTTGAATTTGATTCAAGAACAATGAAATAATAAATCACAGGTAATAATAGATCAGCAACTTTCTTCAATAACCCTTTCGCAGGTATATTTCCTCTATGCTGCTGCGCATCAACCATTCCGGACTCTCTTTTGACGACTACTTGCATCTGCTCCCCAAGGATTTACTCGATGAACTGACTCTCCTGGCTGACAGCTTTAAAGGTATGCGGTTTGTTCATGCCAACAGCACAGTTAGCGGCGGTGGTGTCGCGGAAATTCTTCAGTCCCTTGTCCCGCTGATGAACTCTCTCGGAGTGCAAACCGAACGTCTTGTAGTCAGCCCCGATGACCCCGAATTTTTTCAAGTAACCAAGAGAATTCACAACTTGTTGCAGGGTGCTCAGGGTTCTCTTTCCGAGCAGGAATCGGAAGTCTACTACCGGTGCGTGGGAGAGGTTGCGAAAGAGATTGATTCCCGTGGTCTGGAAGCGGACGTCTGGTTTTTTCATGACCCCCAGCTTTTGCCGATGGCGTCCCTAATGCCTAAGAGAAACGGTGAGGTTCGTTTCTGGGTTTGTCACATAGACCTGACCGCACCAAATGCCGGCGTACTACAGGAATTGACGCCTTTGACACAACACTTTGACGGACTGGCGTTTTCTCTTCCCGAATTTGTACCTTCCGCCATAAATGGTCACCCTCCCCACTACATCACGCCCCCTTCCATTGACCCTCTGACTGACAAGAATCGTCCCATGGAAAAGGAGGAGGCACTAGGCATCGTTGCAGCCATGGGTCTGGACCCCAACCGGCCATTGGTTACCCAGGTCTCAAGGTTTGACTACTGGAAAGACCCCTGGGGGGTAATGGACGCCTACCGCTGGGCACGTAAGTCTGTGCCGGGAATTCAGTTGGCTTTACTGGGTTTAAGCCAGGCTGCCGATGATCCGGAGGCGCTAGGTGTGTTGCACAGCGTCAAGGATTATGCATCAGGAGACCCGGACATTCACGCATTCTTCTACCCGGACGATCTTCCTGATTCCATAGACCGCATAGTCAATGCCTTTCAGACTGCCTCGGTGGCAGTTCTACAAAAGTCGACCCGGGAGGGTTTTGGCTTGACGGTATCTGAGGCGATGTGGAAGGGTCAGCCTGTAATAGGCGGCAACGTGGGTGGCATTAAGACTCAAATCGAAGATGGGGTAAACGGCTTTTTGGTCAGCACGCCGGAAGAGTGCGGAGAAAGAATAGTCCACTTAATCCGGGATGAGTCGCTCCGGCTACAGATGGGGGATGCTGCCCGCGAGAGTGTCCGCCAGAGGTTCTTATTGCCTCGCCTTGCCGTTGATTACCTCAGGGCTGCCCAGTCTCTTATTGCCGGCCAAGCCAACGGCCAGATGCATAGACTAAACGGACAGCGCCTCGGCGCTTTTGAAGCATTGGAACAGATGAACTTCGGCAGCAATCCTACGAAGTCAGTTAAGGGTTCGCCTTACTTTTCGCAGCATATCGACATCCAGTAATTCCAGGAACAGTTTGCCAGTGAGAATAGGTGAATCTCTGGCAACTCGAAGAGGGGTACGCCCATGTCCAAGACTACGATCTTATTGATGATTGACGGCCTGGATCCAGAGTATTTGGATGCTTGCCCGACGCCCAATTTCATTGACCTGGCGCATTTGGGGTTCAGAACCGAGGCAAACGCAATGATGCCTACGGTTACCAATGTCAACAATGCCTCCCTGCTGACCGCCACCTACCCCAGCGCCCATGGTATCACCTCCAATTACTGGTTGGACCGCGAACGCCGAACCGAAACTTACATGGAATCAGGTCAGTTCCTTGAGGCCGATACATTCTTCGAAAGGGCGGCCCTTCTGGGAGCCCGTTCCCTGTTGGTAACTGCCAAGGATAAATTGCGTAAACTGCTGGGACACGAAACCTTCGTCAATGTTTCGGCGGAGTGCCCACCCGATTGGCTAATGGACGAAATAGGCCCTCCCCCGCCCATTTATTCATTGGAAGTCAACGGGTGGATAGTGGACGCCGCCCGCTGCATCCTGTCCGAAATGGCCTTTGATCTTGCTTATGTGGGAACCACGGACTATCCCATGCATACTTACGCGCCCCACGAACCCGAGTCGGCAATTCATTTGGGACTACTGGATGTGGCCGTCGGGAGACTGGTGGACAGTGTGGATTGCGAAATTCTCATAACCGCAGACCACGGGACGTCAGCCAAGGAGCGGATGCTGAGTTTGCCAGAATTCCTGATGAGGTACGGCATACTCGCCCGCGCCGTGCCGATAATCAAGGACCGCTACACCGTACATCACTCCAATCTGGGCGGTTGCATATACCTTTATCTACACGACCGGGACCGCCATACGCTGGCTGCCGCCGTGGACCTGCTTCGGCAAGTAGATGGTGTGGACGAGGTCCTTTCTAAGGAAGAAGCTTGCATAAGGTTCAACCTAATGCCAGACCGCATAGGCGACATAGTAGCGTTGGGAGCCAAGGACGTCGTCTTTGGAAATCCTGAGGAGGTCACCCTTCCGTGTAATCTTCGCTCCCATGGGTCACTGCACGAACAGAGAGTTCCTGTAATCGGGTACGGTGGTGATTTTGATGGGTTCGAATTCCTGGAGAACAAAGACCTCGGCCGGTACGTGTTTGAGAGGGTACTTAACTAGGCCCAGCACGCCTTGACATAAGACCTAAGGCTATCGCATTTGGGTTTTCATTGTTGAGCATTCTTGTGTCAACCGTTCTTACGATTCCTGCATTGACCAATGTGTTTCCAGTTCGATGACAACCGCCACTGGACAGACCCTGTTGCTCCCTCCTGCCATGGTATTTGTAATACAGCCTTCCTCTCTCCTGTGTCGGCTACCGGCTGGCAGTTGGTCAATGGACGGGTTTGAGCGGAAATGGCGGGAAAATTGTTTTTCGTCCCTCCCTTGGCGTCGGTCACTCCGGCCCAGCAATGCCAGTCCCTGGAAGTGCGATTACCCCGGCAGGAAACTGGTGGGCGATTGCCTTATTCAATTTCTGCTCCTATAATTCTTTTCTGTTGCCAGAAATGAGTGGTGGCACTGTTTAGCTGGTTCAATGGTGAGCTATGCGAAGCATACCGTAGGCTTCCACACTTCTGACATAAGCCGACGCGTCCCGGGAGTTCCTAAAAGCCACCATGACTGATTTTCAGCCTTTAGAAGTGTTCGCTCCGGCCACTACGGCCAACCTCGGGCCCGGATTTGATTGTCTTGGAATGGCGCTGGATCTATGGAACCGCCTGGAAGTGCTTCCTGTTGAGCAAGGGGCTGAACCAGCTTCTGCCGTGGAGGTGCTTGGTGAAGGGATAGAGGAATTGGCTTCGGATTCCACTAATCTTACCTACCGTGCGATGCAGTTTCTCTATGACGAGGCTGGGTTGGAAATGCCCCCTCTACGCTTGCGCTGTCACAACGCAATTCCCTTGAGCCGTGGGATGGGCAGCAGCGCCGCAGCCATATCTGGAGGATTGGTGGCCGCTAATGCTCTTTGCGGGGGACCCTACTCTTCCAGCGAGATATTGGAGATGGCGGCTACGATTGAAGGCCATCCCGACAACGTGGCCGCAGCAGTGATGGGTGGCCTGCAATTGGTGGTGTCCGATGGCCCTCAGCTCTACACGGCCCCTATTCCGGTTCCAGATGACGTACAAGCGGTCCTTTTTATTCCTGATACCCGTATAGCCACGGCTGATGCCAGGGCGGTCTTGCCCAGCAAGGTTACTGTCGCCGATGCGGTGTTTAACATGGGGCGTGTGGCTCTGCTGGTGGCGGGCATGGCCCTTGACCGCACGGAATATATGGACGTTGCTACCCAGGACAAACTGCACCAGCCCTATCGGCAGCCATTGTTTCCCGCCATCAAGGTTATCTTTTCGGCGGCCAGAGCCGCAGGAGCATTGGGTGTGTTCCTGTCCGGCAGCGGTTCTACGGTCCTGGCGCTTACCAAAGGCAGGGAAATGACCGTGGCGTACGAAATGTTTGAGGCGGCCCGCTTAACCGCCGTTCCTGGAAGATTGGAAATTACAAGGCCGACGCCTGCAGGGGCTCACACCAAGGCCTGAGTTAGTTTTGAAAAGCGTAGATTGCCGGTTGGGGTTGAAGGTAGTCAAATAACTGACCGGTGTTCGAGGGACGATTTCCGGTTGAGCCTGATAGTGCATAAATATGGTGGCAGCTCGGTTGCGGACGCGGATAAGATTACAGGTGTTGCCCGTCGCATTGGCAAGGCTAAGGATTCCGGGCAGGAGGTAGTTGCGGTGGCCTCGGCGATGGGGGATACCACCGACGAACTGATTGAACTGGCCCATACGGTTTCCTCGGAACCCGACCCCAGGGAGCTGGACCTGCTACTATCGACGGGAGAGCTGGTTTCCTGCACACTGCTGACCATGGCACTCAGAAGTCTCGGGTACGATGCAATTACCCTTAGCGGCTTCCAGGCCGGCATACATACCGACGATATGTACGGGCAGGCCCGAATATTCAGCATCGACCCCGCCAGGGTGGAGAGCGAACTCTCTGAAGGCAAAGTGGTTATAGTTGCCGGATTTCAGGGTATAACAGATGATATGGACATAACTACTCTGGGCCGCGGCGGTTCGGATACAACCGCCGTAGCATTGGCGGCGGCCCTGAGGGCGGATCGCTGCGACATTTACACCGACGTGGATGGCATATACACTGCTGATCCCCGCATAGTCCCAAATGCTCGGAAGTTGTCCGAAATCGATTACGAAGAGATGCTGGAATTGGCCAGCTACGGCGCAAAAATGCATCCTCGGTCCATCGAATTGGGTGCTGTAAACGATGTGCCAATCTACGTCGCTTCAAGTTTTGGAGATCAGCCGGGAACTCTCATACATCGGGTTGAGAAAGTGAAGGAGCTAGAAAATCGGGTTAAGGCAACGGGAGTAGCTTACCAGGCTAACGTGGCAAAAATTACGGTCCGTTCCTTGCCCGACAGGCCAGGCATTGCGGCAGCCTTGTTTGAACCGCTCGCGGCGATGGGTATAAATGTGGACACGATTGTCCAGAATACCAGCGCGGAACGAACTACGGACATCAGCTTTACGGTTACCAGGGCAGAGCTGCCGGAAGCTTTTGAACAAGTTCGAGTCCTACTTGCGGACCTGGGAGGCACCGAGGTAGTCAGCGACAACACTCTGGCCTCGGTACATGTGGTGGGGTCTGGTATGCAGAACACTCCTGGATACGCCTCGCGAATGTTTCGAATACTCGCTGACGGCAACATAAACATTGACATGATTACCACATCAGAGATTCGGATTTCCTGCATCATCAACGAAGACCAGGTTTCCGAAGCGGTACGCCTGCTACACGAGGGCTTCCAGCTTGGCGAAGAAGGCTGAAAGTCGTCGTCCATTTGTAGGAAGCCTCTGTGACCCAGCCCTTTCTGTCCGTTGTTATCCCGGCGTATAACGAAGAAGCAAGGATCGAACATACGCTGGAACAGGTGCATGCCTATCTTTCCCTCCAAGACTATACTTGGGAAGTCCTGGTAGCCGACGACGGTAGCTTCGACTCGACTGCCCAACTGGTAGCTAATTTCAATGATGTACACCCGGGTGTACGGTTGATTTACCTTGAACATGGTGGAAAAGGATGGGCTGTTCAACAGGGAATGTTGGCTGCAGAGGGGAAGCACAGGTTCATCTGTGATGCAGACCTCTCCATGCCCTTTGAACAGGTCGCCCGGTTCCTGGCGTCGGAAATGCTTGAGGCAGACATAAGTATAGGGTCCAGGGAAATGCCTTCCTCACGTAGATACGGTGAACCGGAGCATCGCCAGTTCATGGGCAGGGTTTTCAATTTGATCATTCAGGTCTTGGCGCTGCCCGGAGTGCGAGACTCTCAGTGCGGTTTCAAGTGCTTCAAGGCTGAAACCACCACTGTCCTGTTCGAACGGCAGACCTTGGCCGGGTTTGCATTTGACGTGGAGATCTTGTACATGGCGCGGCAGGCGGGGCTGGAAGTTCGGGAAGTTCCCATTGACTGGTACTATCGGGAAGGCAGCAAGGTAAGACCAATCCGCGATGCGACAGCCATGGCTTGGGATGTTCTGAAGATACGGTGGCGGTTAGGGCAAAGGAATAGCCATTGAATTTACGAAAACAGTATATTTGGTAATGTTTCGGTAATATTCGTCGGATATTCTATATTCTAATCTTAATGGACAGGTGGTCAATGAGCCGAAAAGGCAAGTCAGACAACTTTATTGAAAAAGTTTAAACTTTCAACCAAAATACCTTGACCTCAAGAGTTCAACTGTGCAACAAATAGTTACGTAATACCATAGTCCGGCATCATTGGGCCGGGAAACAGCAATATTATCGGGTGTTCTTAATTAAGGAGATCAAGAAAATGGAAATGACCAGGACGGCAGACAAGACCAAATTGCGCCGCGATTGGAGCAAGGAGGCCATAGACCTTGCGCTGAAGGGCGAGTGGCAGCGTGCAACGGAAGTAAACCAGGCTATTTTGGCGCTATACCCTGACGATGTGGAGGCCATGAACCGGTTGGGCAAGGCGTATATGGAACTTAGCGAATTTAACAAGGCCAGGAAAGTTCTGGCTGATTTGGTGGAGAAGGCTCCTTACAACGCCATAGCCAAGAAGAATCTGGCCCGACTGGAACAGTTGGAAAACGCGCCGTCAGGCGGCCGACAGACAAACAAACAGGGGAGCGCACCCAGGCTATTCATTGCCGAAACTGGTAAGTCTGGCACCACTGTGCTTCAGAGGCAAGCATCCGCGACTTTGGTGGCCAGCATTGCCCCCGGTGATCCGGTCAATTTAGTGGTCAAGAACAATGCGATTTTGGCGTATGCTCGGGAGGAGGAGTATCTCGGGCAAGTCGAAACCAAGCTTGCCCGGCGACTATCTCGTCTCATAAGCGGAGGCAATCGATACGAGGCAGCGGTCATCGGGATTAACGATTGGGGCATCACCATCATTATTCGGGAGACTTATCGTCACCCCAGCCTGCACAATATAGGCTCATTCCCCACCAACGCCAGGGGTGAAAAAAGGACTCAACTGAACCAGGACATTTTGAAGTATCTGGAGAACGCGGACCTGGACGAGGACGGCGAGGAAAACAACCTTGACTATGCAGGTGTTGCCGACTTCGCGGGCGAGTGGGACGAGTAGATTACGGCAGTTAGAAAACCCTACAAACGACCGGGCCGGGGAATGTCCCCGGCCCGGTTGTTTTCTGACTGCAACCAATAGGCGTTATATAGCCAAGCCTCAGTAGAGGTGGCACGACACTCGGTGTCCCGGCGCCACTTCCTTGTCCACGGGAATGTCCACGGAACACTGGTCCATGGCGAAGGGGCATCTTGGGTGGAACCTGCAACCGGAAGGCGGGTTGATCGGCGAAGGCACTTCACCAGTCAACACGATCTCCTCCCGAACCAAATCGGGGTGTGAGGGCAACGCCGCCGAGAACAGTGCCTTGGTATAGGGATGCAGGGGATTCTGGTAGAGTTCCTCGGTCTCCGCATACTCAACGATCTGTCCCAGATACATCACCGCCGTCTGGTGGGCCATGTAACGCACTGTCGCCAGATTATGGGCAATCAACAAGTAGCTGACGTTGTACTCTGCCTGGAGGTCGACCAGCAGGTTCATTATCTGGGCGCGAATGGACACGTCCAGCGCCGAAACGGGCTCATCCAGCACTATCATCTTTGGATATGAAGCCAAAGCGCTGGCTACCGCGATTCTCTGACGTTGACCGCCGCTGAATTCGTGGGGATAGTTGTTGGCCTGCTCTGCGTGCAGTCCAACCTGGGACATGACCTCAGCCACGCGATCGTCCCGTTCCTGGTGGCTCACCTGTCGGTTTACTACCAAGGGCTCAGCTACAATGTCCCGCACGCGCATTCGGGGACTCAGCGAAGACCAGGGATCCTGAAATACTGCTTGTACTGTTGTCCGGTAGTCCTGCAACTCTGAACCGCGGAAATTTTGGATATTCTTGCCGTCCAGCAGGATTTCCCCGTCCGTCGGTGTTTCTAGTCGCAACAACAACTTGCTGGTAGTGGTCTTGCCGCAGCCCGATTCCCCTACCAAGCCCAGCGTTTCCCCTTGATTTATGGAGAAACTTATGCTGTCCACCGCCTGAACGTAGCCGATGGTCTTCATCAGGATCAAGCCTTTGGTAACCGGAAAATACTTCTTAAGACCATTGACCTGAATCAGGGGGTTCCCGTTGCTCGTCGTTACCATGATTCGTCCATCCTCCAGCAGTCGGCGGTATGTCCTTCCCTGACCGTATAGGAAGGTGGATATTCGGAGTAGCACTTGTCCCGGGCAAACTCGCAACGGTCGGCAAACCGGCAACCTTCAGGTAGGTTGGAGAGTAGCGGCGGTTGACCTTCGATGGAATAAAGGCGTGCGGTGCGTTCTTCCAGTTTAGGCACCGAATCTATTAGAGCCCTGGTATAGGGATGGGAAGGCTCGTTAAAGATCTCGCGCACCGGCCCATTCTCCACAACTCTGCCAGCGTACATCACCGCAACCCGGTCGCACATGCGGGCGACAACGCCGAAGTCATGGGTAATAAAGATGATTGCCAAACCTGTTTCTGCCTGAATGTCTTTCAAGAGCCTCAAATATTGAAGCTGAATGGTAACGTCTAGAGCAGTTGTGGGCTCGTCGGCTATGATCACGCCAGGCTCACAGGAAAGAGCGATAGCGCCAACGACCCTCTGCTTCATGCCGCCGCTCATCTGGTGAGGAAAATCTTCCAAACGCCGCTCGGGGGCCGCCACGTTTACATTCCGCAGGGCATCCACTGCCCTGGTGATCATATTCTTCCGTCCTTCCCGGCGAGCCATTCCCAAGGCTTCCATCAACTGGTTGCCGATGGTAAATACCGGGTTGAGAGAAGTCTGCGGATCTTGCAGTATCATCGAGATTTGCCGACCCCTGATCTGGCGCATCTCATCATCGCTCTTCTGCAGTATGTCTTCTCCGTTCAACCTGATTTCACCGCTTACTATTTTGCCAGCCGGTTGAGGCACCAACCTGAGCAGAGACAAAGCGGTCATGGTTTTGCCGCATCCAGACTCTCCCACAATTCCCAGGGTTTCTCCCTCCCGAAGGAAGAAACTAACCCCGTCAACTGCCTTTACCGTTGACCCCCGGTTAAAGAAATATGTATGGAGGTCTTCAACTTCCAGGATGACGTTGCCGGTATCTACACTCATATTGAATAACCCCTCGTATTAGCGCACGTTCGGTCCCAAACAATTATGGAGCCGTTCCACCATGGAAGGCCGGCCCACCCGGAGAAAACCTGATAGTCAGGGAATTAAGTCTGCAGCCTTGACTCTCGAAGCAGGAACAGAAGCTCGGACGAGGCCCTTTACTTCCTGTTCGTGGTTTGCTGAGAAACAGATACTGCTTCCAGTCCAGACTCTCCTATTAAGAGTGTCAGGAATATATACTAGGGTACTTTTCACTGTCAACTTAAGGGCCCGGGTCTGAAAATGAAACTCCCAATTCTGGAAAGCTTCACACCTGGCCTCGCTGTTCGCCCCGCGACTGGGCATCAAGGGTCATTGCTATACGTGAACGGAAGGGCCTGACTCTATTAACCGACGCAGTCACCCCCAGCGGCACCACAAACATGGCGCTCTTGCCTGCAGAATGAGGTGAGAAGAAATCTGTAACTTCATCATCGTAGAAGGTCAACCCGGTGGCTCCCAGCCCCAGCGAGTGGGCGGTCAAGTACAGCTTCCCGCCCAAAATTCCCGCTTCCAGTTGGGCTGCCCGATATCCCCGGTTACCGAACCGCTCGACAATTCGTTCCAGATCTGCCATGAAAAAGACCACGGCTGAGGCGTCGTGCGGTAGCGCTTGCTCAAAACCCAGGTGACCGGCCATCTGGCGAAACCCACCTGTTTTTAGCTGGTAAACGCCCCCATCGGCAGGAGAATAGTAATACGCCCCGCCCTCCAGCCCTTCAACTTCGTTGACTATCAGATATAGGTCCAGCAGGCTGTCAAGCTCCCCCCGCAGGAAGTCCGCTGGCACTCCTCGAGTTGCGCCCTCGAGCATGGATGCAAGCGCATCCAATGTGATAGGTATGTGGTCAAACCGGCGTGTCGAACCGCGCTCACGAATTGTTTCTCCCAGAGGAATGGAGACAAGTCCAGTGGCAGCACGGTCAGGGAAGGGGATAAAGACGCCTTCAGATTTGGGACCCTGAGTATTCATGCTGCCCCGACATCCATTTACCTCAGATAGGTCGGCCAGCAATGTGGCCCCGTGAGTTTCGCGTATATCTGGGTAATCTATTTCCCCGGGGGCGGTTATTACTGACGTGCCCCGCACCGGCGGCAAATCGCTAGTGGGGACAGCTGACGGAGTCGCAGAACCTATTCCTACGGGAACAAGGCAGGTGGTAGCCTCTCCCACACCGTCGATACCCAGCAACCGGTCTACCTCCTGGTCGACAAAGGCGTTAGTCACCCGCGCGGGCAGGCCAACTGCTGAGGCTCCAGCCAGGAGATTTGCTGCCACGGTCCCGTTGTCCCAGAAGCAATAGCGATAGCCTCGAGTCCTGTACTTCCACGAGCTGCGCCAGAAAACTGTGGTGAAAACGATCGTCAACGGAGCAGACGCAATGCGGTCATCTTCGCCCGCTGCCCTTGCCAGGTTGCTGCGATAGTCCCCGCGTCGCAGTTCGGTTAGTTTGAAACCGTCCGGACTGAAGTGATAAAGACCGGCCTCCAGTCCCTCAATGTCGCGGCAGACCAAGTATGTCTCCACCGGATACAGTCCTCCCGCCGAGGCTGCGGCTCGAAAGTGCACCTCTCCGGCGGTCCTGAAGTGCCCGGTTCTGATTACCCCGGCGCAATAGTAAAGCAGTTGTGCCAGGGTACCAATGGTCGGCGGGCCTGTTTCAAGGGCCCCGTAAGTGCTGACGGCATCCAGGGTAGGCGTCTCAGGGGATGGAAAGTCGGTAGGCAGAGGGAGCGTTGGCAACCCGGAGTAGCTCTTGTACAAAGGGGGCTTGTTAGCAAGGTTAATGTAGGCCAGCTTGGTGGATTCGTGGTAGTTAAGCGCTGTGGTTGAGTTGCGGTTCTGCATCAATGCTGGCCCTCAGGAAGGCGAGAATATAGGTTACCGGGTTATTGCAGCGCAGTTTGCTCTCGATATATTTGTACGGCGGCGTGGTCGATGTAAGAGCCTTTAATGGGTGGGTTGGGTTTCTTGACAGTAACGGTGACGGACTCCAGCGGGAAATCTGAGAGGAGCCTCTTGGCGACGTTCTGCGCAAGGGCCTCCAGCAGGTTGAGGGACTCTCCTTCAACGACAGCTTTGGCGGCTCGGTACATGTGACTGTAGCTTACAGTATCTTCCAAGTGGTCCGAATGCGCGGCACGGCTCAAGTCTAGCACGGCCACCAAGTCTACCAGGTAGGTTTGGCCCAAGGCCTTCTCCTCCGGGTTGACCCCGTGGTAGCCGTAGAATCGCATTCCATTCAACATAATTCTGTCGGAGGACATCAGCCTACGCTCATTCCGGAAGCACGGAAGCGCCGTTGAAGGTGCATGTTCGGTCCACTCGCTACCTCCGCTCACGGCTGGCCAGTTGATGTTCTATCTCATCCACCAGGGCTAGCAAGTTCTGGGCCCGCTTGACCACCGGGACATCCACCATCTTGCCGTCCAGGGCAAGGGAACCTCGCCCGTTGGCCTCGGCCTCGTACCAGGCATCCATAACACGGCGGGCATAGGCCACGTCGTCGGTCAGCGGACTGAACAGTTCGTTGATGGTCTCGACCTGGGCAGGATGGATGGCAAACTTGCCAGTGTAGCCTAATTGACGGGCGACTCCTGCATCCTTGCGCAGCCCTTCAGGGTTTCGAAATGCGACGTATGGGCTATCCAGGGAGGCGACGCCAACGGCGCGGGCGGCAATTGCCACCGTAGCCCGCGCGTGGTATACCTCGTCTCCGTCGTCGGTGCGCTGGATGCCCATATCGTTGGTAAAGTCTTCGGCTCCAAAAGCAATGGCAATTATGCGGGGTGATGCCGATGCCATGGCATGGACGTTTACCATAGCCTTGGCGCTCTCAATCCACGGGATGATCTTGACTTGGCCGGGGGCTAGCCCTGCCCTTGCCTCCAGTGGCGCTATTATTCGTTCAATTTCCTGCAAGTCCCAAGCCGATTCGGTCTTGCCGACACTTACACCATAAAGGTGCGGAGAAATGACCGCAGCCAATTCGTCCCTGGTTAATCCGGTGTCCAGCGCATTTAGCCGGACCATAACCCGCTGACCGGCTTCTTGCAGCTTTGGTACCCATTCGCGGGCAACTTCGCGAGCGTTGACCTTTTCCGCCGCCGGCACCGAGTCCTCAAGGTCCACCATGATGATGTCAGCGTCAAAGTCCAACGCCCTTTCCAGCATGTTGGCCCGGTTACCGGGTACAAAGATTAGACTGCGTAATAGTTCCATTTGTCGATTACTCCATATCTCCCCAGGTGTCGCCCCACTTGGCTTCAACCTTTAGAGTAACGTCGAGGTCCATCGCAGCAGGCATTTCGTCGAAGACCAGGGCTTGAAGGTCGTTCATTTCCTCTCTAGGCACTTCAAATACCAACTCGTCGTGTACCTGAAGGAGCATCCGGGCCCTCAGGTTCTCGTGGTTTAAACGGTCTTGCACTCTGATCATCGCCAACTTTCATGATGTCGGCGGCGGTTCCCTGGATTGGCATGTTAATGGCCATGCGCTCTGCCGCATGACGAACGTTGAAATTGGAGGCGTTAACGTCAGGCATGTAGCGTCTTCGACCGCGGAGGGTCTCCACGTATTGGGTTTCCCTGGTCTTAGCCTTTACCTCTTCCAAGTAGCCGGCGATAGAAGGGTACTTATTGAAGTACGTATCAATGAAATGTGCTCCTTCTTCGCGGGAGAACCCGGTTTGCTGAGAAATGCCATGCGCTGACAGGCCGTAAATCACCCCGAAATTCAGCACTTTGGCGATGCGACGCTGGTCGGATGTGACCTCGTTAATAGGTACATCGTTCATCAGGGAAGCGGTAGCGGCGTGAATATCCTCACCCCGGCGGAAAGCTTCCAATAATTCTGGATCCTGGGACAAATGGGCCAGCACCCGCAGCTCGATCTGGGAGTAGTCGGCTGAGAAAAGGGTCCAGTCCGGGGCCTCCTCTGCGATGAACGCCCGCCGCACCTGCCGGCCCAATTCGGTTCTGATGGGAATATTCTGCAAGTTGGGGTCGCTGCTGGACATCCGACCGGTAGCAGAGCCCACCTGATTATAGCTGGTGTGGATCCGCCCGGTGGCCGGATTGATAAGCTCCGGCAACGTGTCAACGTAGGTCGACTTCAGCTTGGAAGTCTGCCGGTAATCAAGGATATTGTCTACCACCGGGTGTAACCCCTTCAGATTCTCCAGGGAATTGGCGTCGGTGGAATAGCCTGTCTTCGTCCGCTTGGTCTTGGGCAGCCCCAATCGTTGAATAGCAGATCGCTAAGCTGTTGGGGAGAGTTGATGTTCACCGTGTGCCCTATGGACTCATACAGTTCCATTTCAGTCTGGTGCATCTGCTGGTTCAAGTCCCGCGCCATCTCGTGGAGCATGCCCACATCAACCTTGATGCCCTGCCGCTGCATCTGCACCAATACGGGCGTCAAAGGCACTTCAATTTCATTCATCAAATTGGACAATTTATTTTGTTGGATTTGCGGTTCCAGCTTGAGACGGAGGCGGGCCGTCATATCCGCATCTGCAGCGGCATAAGGTGTGGCGTCCTCTATGGCAACATGGTCAAAGGTTTTTTGACGGGCCCCTTTGCCAATCAACTCAGTGATCTGCTGCATTTCCACGCCCAACAGGTCCAGGGAAAGATTCTTCAGCCCGATCTGGTTCCTGCTGAGGAGGTGGGCCGCGACCATTGTGTCAAAGTCCACGTTTCTGGTGTTGATACCGTGGCTGGCCAGCACCATCAGATCGAAGTTGGCGTTGTGGGCGCACTTGACAAGATTCGGGTCTTCCATCAAGGGTTTGACCCTTGCCAGTACCTCTTCCAGCGGCAATTGATCACCTTCGCGGTGACCTACCGGCACATACCATGCCTTGCCTGGCTCAACTGCAAAGCTCAGGCCTACCAGATCGGCCTGCATTGGGTCCAGGCTGGTGGTCTCGGTGTCAAAGGAAAAACTGCCAGCGGACCGAAGTCCGGCGAGCATGGCTTCCAGTGCTTCGCCGGTCTGTACCGTCACATAATCCGTTTCCGCGGCGCTAACTTGCGGCTCTACTTTCGCTGTCCCGGCCCCGGGGTCCCAGATTGGAACTGGCAGCCGGGGGATTACCGTGTGGAACTCCAGTTCAGTCAGCAGGGAAACAACCCTCTGGCGGTCATATGACCCGGTCCGTGCGGCATCCAGCGACAGTTCCACCGGCGCCTCTCGGGAAATTGTCATAAGAATGCGGTTTTCAAAGGCTCGATCTCTGCTTTCAGCCAGTGATTGCTTGACGCTGGGAGGCTTCACCTCGTCCAGGTGCTGGTATATGCCCTCAAGGTCATAGAAATCGTTTAGCAGTGCTATAGCCCGCTTCTCACCCACCTTGGGGACGCCAGGAAATATTGTCTGACGAATCCCCCAACAGGGATTTGAAATCTGGTTGCTGGGCAGCTGTTAATCCCCCATACCTTTCCCTCAGTTCCACTTCGTCGTATACCTTACGGTCCTGGATGCTGTAGGACAGATCAACTCGCACGTGGGGAGAAATAAGCTGGAAAGTGTCCCGGTCACCCGTCAAAATCACTGAATCGAGTCCCTGCTCCTCGGCTAACCGGCACAAGGTGCCGATCACATCGTCGGCCTCAAAACCCTCCACCTCGAAAATGGGTACCCCGAAGGCCTGCATCAATTCCTTTACCCGGCCGAACTGGGGCCGCAACTCGGGCGGCGAAGGCTCCCTTTGCGCCTTGTATTCCTCAAACCGTTCGTGGCGGAATGTGGGGGCAGGCGTGTCAAAGGCAATGGCGTAGTGGGAAGGCTTCCAGTCTTGCAGGGCCCGAAGGAAAACGTTGGTAAACCCGTAGACCCCGGTACGTCTTCCCCTGTTGTGGAAACGGTCAGGTGGCGCTGCGTGGCTATGGCGCGGAAGGACCGGTGCACCATCGCGTGGCCGTCCATGATCATCAACAAGGGCTTCTCTGGAACAGTATCAAAGAGGGGCATAGCGGCGGATTCCTGGGCCATAACTGGCACCTCTGCATTTGGCTTTGAGGCTCGTCTTACCGGGCGCCCGAGGCAACGGCGTGGCCACGGGCTGCATTTCCTGCATTATACAACAGCGTTAAGGTCGACAATTTGCAGGGACAATAAGCGGTCGTAAATTTCGTGCGGGGTAGCCTGGGTTATCCGGTGAAAGCCAGAATGAATGGGAACTGGAACGTTCCGGAGTGGGCAATGCAATGAGGCGAAGTTGCCGACGTGCTACAATGAAAGGCGAAATCGGCCAGGTGAATTATTGGTATGCCAATATACGAATATCGATGCGAAGACTGCCAGCAACTGAACTCAGTGCTGGTCTATAGCTGGTCTAAAGATGTGGACCGGCCGTGCAAACATTGCAGCGGGACCAACCTTAACCGGGTAGTCTCCAAATTTACCATGAGGCGTTCCTGGGGGGAGAGCCTAAATTGGGCGCCCAGCGGCGAAACCCTCAGAGATGTAAACGAAGATGACCCACGAAGCCTGGACCGGTTCATGGGACGCATAAAAAATGAAATGGGCGGCCAGGTTACTTCTGACTTCGAAGAAATGCGGCGGGAAATTACCCATGGACCCCGCAGTTTTGATACGCCTGACTCCCCCGGTAACGAGCATGGCCCAGGCGAAGATAGCTAAAGCGCTTTTGGATACAGCCCCGGAGATCTAGCCTATGCCCATTTATGAATTCCGCTGCGGCAGTTGCAATCAGGTTTCTTCCTTCTTTACCCGTTCCATAAGTTCTCAGCCAGACCCGGTTTGTTCTCACTGCCAGAGCCGAGACATGCAGCGGCGAATGTCTTCTTTCGCAATGGGTAAAACCGTTCAGTCAGTCCACGAGCAATATCCGGCGTTGGGCGGCGGTTCAGCCCTGGATTACTACAGTGACCCGCGCAACATTGGGCGCAACGTTGAAGAAAGCTTTCAGCGACACGGTCTGGATATGCCTGACTAAGTGCGAGACAACATCGCCGCGGCCCGGGAAGGATCCCTGCCGAAGGACCTGGATATATGACACAACAACATGATCAGCTCAAGTTTTTGGAAGACACGGTTCGGGGCAGCGTTCAGGCGTTGATAGCTGCCTGCCCGAACCTGCCGGGCGAGAGGCCAGCCCTGGCCGCCTAAAGCAGTTTTCGGCGTCGTTGACGGGGGAACCCGAAACGGTACGGGCCGCGTTATCCCTGACCGAAGCTCTTTCGCTTGTTCAAGCTGCTACAAGTACTTTGGCCTCGATATCGGCCCTTGGCGGTAGCGACGAGTTGGGTGCTGAGTCCTCGATCGCCCTCACCCAGGCACTCGCCGAATTTGGGGGCCAACTTGGCGCCGCCATACGGCGGGAAAAGGCCGACAAGATTAGAGGACTGTACGTGATAATTGACCCGGAGGTAACTGGCGGGCGGGAACCGATGGAAATAGCTCGTGCGGCCGTCCGCGGCGGTGCAAGGATGTTGCAGCTTCGCGACAAGTTGCGTGACAAAGGTGAGATTCTTCCCCTCGCCCAGGAACTACAGTCTCTTTGCGAGGCCAACGACGTCCTGCTTATAGTGAATGATCACGTTGACCTGGCGGCGGCTGTTGGCTCCGGCGGTGTTCACGTGGGTCAGACCGACCTTCCCGTGTCCCAGGCGCGGCAGGTACTAGCTCCGGGACAGGTTTTGGGGCGCTCAAATCGGGAGGTCGACCTGTTGATTGAGTCCCAGGAAATGGGCGCCGACCATGTGGCGTTCGGCGCAATTTACCAGACAACCACCAAGCCCGGAGGTCGCGGACCCCAGGGTCCGGAGCGGTTAAAGGCAGCGAGGGCAGCTACCAGGGTACCTCTGGTAGCCATTGGTGGCATTACCGCCGGAAATGTTACTCCAGTGATTGAGTATGGGGCCGACGCGGTATGTGTAACCGCCGCAATCGGGCTGGCCGATGACCCGGAAGGCGCCGCCGCTCGATTGGTGGAGGCAATTGCCCGGGCCGGAGGAAAAGTATAGTGCCTTCCGATTACAGCGACGATCTTTCCCGTATTGCCTCCGAAGCCATCGAAGCGCTAACCGTTCGCCACCAGGCCCGGGAACAGGCTTTGGCCGTGTCGCGGGAAGTGATCCGCTTTTCCGCCAATGCCATCAGGGCTGTGCACCGGGGCGACTTCGATGAAGCCCGTCAGCTTATTGACCGGGGCGGCCAACGACTTAAGGAAACCAGGCCGATACGGGACGAGAACCCCGAAATATACTATGCTGGCTTCCTTTCCGATGCCCGCAAGGAATTTGCCGAAGCCAACATAACCCTGGCTGTGATTTCCCAGTCAGATATACCCCACCCGGCCGCGATTGACGTTGACCCACCGGCCTATTTGAACGGCATGGCCGAAGTGATCGGCGAGTTACGCCGCTATATCCTTGACGCCCTGCGCCGAGACTCCTTTGAGCATTGCGAGGCGTTTATGGACGTTATGGATGAGATTTATGGCATCCTGGTAACCATCGATTTTCCGGAAGCGGTTACGGGAGGTCTTCGCCGCAGCACCGATGCCATGCGCGGGGTGCTGGAACGAACGCGCGGGGACTTGACCATCTCCCTGCAACAGCGGCGGCTCGAAAGGCGCCTGGCAGACCTGGAAGACGGTTCGTAACTCTTGACCGCAATCCCCGGCAGACCCTTCTCATTTTCCCCAAATAACTTGGTCCGTTCGAGGAGCGTTAAATCTTGGCTGAAATTCGTGTCTCGTTTTTGGGCACCGGCGCCGGCAACTGTATTCACCGGGCACATACCGCGATAGTCCTTGACTGTCCCGACGGTACACGATTGCTGTTGGATGCCGGTTCGGGCAATTCCGCCCTGCGTCATGGCGCTGAACTTGGGATCTATGCCGAGAGTTTCGAGCATGTGTTACTTTCGCACCGCCACGGAGACCACATGGGAGGACTGCCCCACATCCAGGGTCGCAGGACTCAGATGGCTCCTGATGCCGCTCCATTGGTAGTTCACAGCCTGGAAGAGTCTCTGAGAGGCCTGCAGAACCTGTTCCGGGCGGTCAGTATCACCCATCAGGTTGATCAGGACAGCGTCACCACTACCGAAGGCGATCGTATGGTTTCCTGGGACCCGGTGGAAACAGAGCAATGGATCCAGTTGGGGGAGGACACGCGCGCCCGCTGTTTCCTGGTCAACCATATCGGCGGGGCGGTGGGCTGGCGGGTTGAAAGCGGCGGGGTGAACGTGGTGTTTTCCGGAGACACCCGCTATAGCGACAACCTGGTAGAGGCTTCACAAGGGGTTGATCTGCTGATTCACGAAGCACTCAGCACTGAGGATGAGAAGGAAGGTGCTTCCCGCCGGGGACACTGCACTGCCGCTGAAGCTGCCCAGGCCGCAACCCGGGCTGGCGCTGGTGAACTGGTGATTACCCACATCGATACCCCTTTCCATGTCAACACCCGGCCTCTGCTCGACGAGGCTCGCGCCCACTACGACGGCCCTACATCGGTAGCCGATGACCTTTGCATAACTACTGTCAGCAGGCCGTAGCGCCGCCGGGAATTCCTGCTCTATAGTTTCTTGCAACCCAACAGATGCCGGCCCAAGCGTCGGCGCCAAGGAGTTGCAATGCTTGCCAAGAGCCAAACGTGTGCCGTGGTGGGACTGGACGGTTTCATTGTCCAGGTGGAAGTGGACATTTCCAACGGACTGCCGGTATTTAACGTAGTTGGACTTCCTGACACAGCGGTACAGGAAGCACGGGAACGAGTGCGGGCTGCACTGCGAAACAGCGGCTGCCAGTTTCCCATGCGCCGTATCACCGTTAACCTTGCTCCAGCCGACCTCAAGAAGGCAGGGCCCGCCTATGATCTGCCCATTGCCGTAGGCATCCTCCTCAGTTCGGGGCAAATAGATCTTCCTTACGAACCCTCCCTATTCCTTGGTGAACTTTCCCTGGACGGCGGTCTCCGCCACACCAACGGAGTTTTGCCGATGGTATCGGTGGCCAGAGAGCAGGGTTTTGCCGCAGTGTATGTGCCGACTCCTGATGCTGCGGAAGCGTCCCTTGTCGAAGGAATTCAGGTTTATCCCGTTCCGACGCTAGCCGCGCTAGTGAGCCACCTGTTGGGGGAGTCCCGAATTGAGCCCTTGGAATATGCTGGCCTGCCCGAGAGCGAGGGGCCAGTTGCAGGCGGCTACAACCTGGCACATATAAAAGGGCAGGACCACGCCAAGCGCGCCCTGGAAGTGGCCGCCGCAGGTTTCCACAATATATTGTTCAATGGCCCGCCCGGCAGCGGCAAGACTATGCTGGCGAGGTCGTTGCCAACAATCCTGCCCAGAATGTCTTCTGAAGAGGCCTTGGATGCTACCAAGATTTACAGCATTAGCGGTGCTCTGCCCTCCGGCTGTCCACTGGTAGCAGAGCGGCCCTTCCGCGCTCCCCATTACAGCATCTCTAACGCCGGTCTGGTTGGCGGAGGCCGGAACCTGCGTCCCGGCGAGATTACTATGAGCCATAGGGGCGTCCTGTTCCTGGATGAATTGCCCGAGTTCGACCGCACTGCTCTGGAGTCATTGCGGCAGCCTTTGGAGGACAAGGTGGTGACCATCAGCCGGGTATCAGGTTCGGTAACCTACCCAGCCAGCTTTATGCTTGTAGCTGCCCAAAACCCTTGTCCATGCGGTTATTACTCCCACCCTCGCAAGGAATGCACCTGCAGCGCCTCCACCGTTGCTCGCTACCAGAAGCGCATCAGCGGGCCACTAATGGACCGAATCGACATTTTCGTTGAAGTTCCGCCTGTTGAATACGACAAGCTGGTAGATGAGGAATTGGCCGAGGACTCGACCGTGGTGAGAAAGCGGGTTGAAAAGGCCAGGCAGACTCAAAGGCAGCGATTTGACGAGGGTTCGGATCACTTCAATTCTCAGATGGGAGCCGCCGAAGTCTGGAAACTCTGCCGGCTGGAAGATAGTGCAAAGAGCTTGCTGCAAACCGCCACCAACCAGCTAAATCTGTCGGCCCGGGCTTTCCATCGCATCGTCAAGGTTTCCCGCACAATCGCGGACCTGGCTGATTCAGATACAAATCAGCGTAAGCCACCTGGCGGAGGCGCTTCAATATCGTTCGCGAGGCCTGAACTGAAGTCAAACCGGATCTTGGCAGCCAGGGGACTTCTAAAGACAGGAACACTCGCATTTCGGCGTTCTTTCAGAAGCTTGGTCCGGGCTCGTTGTTAAACAGGTGTAGCGCTTCCGTTCCGGGCTTTACGCTGTAGATTGCTCTTTAGCGGAGTATTAATGGCCCTGAACTCTACAGTCTTACTGCGGAATGATGGCACTGAAAATGTCAAAATAATCGGGAAAGGTCTTTGAAACACAGCCGGGATCCAGAATAGTGATTGCAGCGTCACCCAGGGAAGCCAGCGAGAAACTCATGGCCATGCGGTGGTCGTTATAGGTTTCGATGATGGCCGGCTGTATTTCAGTTGGAGGGTCAATCACCAGGTAGTCGGGGCCCTCGACCACGTCGGCGCCCACCTTGCGCAACTCTACGGCCATTGCCGCCAGGCGGTCGGTCTCCTTCACCCGCCAATTGCCTATGTTGCGGATTGTAGTCTTTCCCTTGGCGAAGAGTGCCGTGACGGCTACCGTCATGGCTGCGTCCGGAATGTGGTTCAGGTCAAGTTCAAGACCGCGCAAATCTCCCCTGGAAATTTCGATGAAGTCTGTCCCGCGACGGACCACCGCTCCCATCTGCTCCAGGACGTCGGCGTGCTTGACGTTCCCTGGACGCTATCAGCCCCGACGCCGTTGACCCGTACCGTCCCGCCACGGATTGCGGCAGCGGAAAGAAAGTAGCTGGCTGAGGATGCGTCGCCTTCTACCAGTGCCGTGCCCGGTGATTGGTAGACCTGTCCGCCAGCCACCCGAAAGGCCTGGTAATCCTCGTTTTCCACCGTTACTCCGAAGCGGCGCATCACGTCTATGGTCATGTCGATGTAGGGCTTGGAAACCAAGTTACCAATTATCTGAATCTCGAGTTCGTCCTCTGCCAAGGGGGATGCCAGCAGCAATGCCGTAAGGTACTGGCTGGAAACATTCCCCCGGATGGAAACCCTCCTCCCACGAAGCCCGGCGGCCTTTATTCTCAAAGGGGGATATCCTTCCACACCTTCGTACTCTATGACCGCCCCCAACTGGCTCAAGGCGTCCACGAGGTGGGCAATGGGACGCTCCAACATTCGGGGTTCCCCGGTAAGTGTGTACTCTCCCTCCCCGACGCAAAGGGCTGCACACAAAGGTCGAATAGCTGTACCAGCATTCCCCAGGAAAAGGTCGGCTTGCTGGACCGCAAATGGCCCGCCATTGCTCTCCACAAGGCACCTCTTTCCGTTGTTAGCGAAAGTCAGGCTAACTCCCAGGGACTCAAGGGCCGCAGTCATGTATCCGGTGTCGTCGCTTTCAAGAAGGTTATTCACTTCAGTTCGGCCTTGGGCCAGGGATGAAAGCAGAAGCAATCGGTTGGACAGGCTTTTGGAACCGGGGAGCTGCACAACCCCTTCTACTCGCGGAGTTGGATTCAATGTAAGTGACTGCATACGTTCCTCACGGGGATGATCAAGTTCAGTGCAACAAAGTAAGAGATCCGAGTTCTATCGCAATGAGGCGGGCTCTCTTGACCCGAATTATTCAATGCCGATCATACCTTGGCTAGCGAGTCTCGAATGTCGCCGCTTCACGCTAAGCCGGGGGCTCGTTTTCTCTGAATGGTCCACGAAATAGCAAGAAAAAACCTTCTTTGGGCGGTACGATTCCCTATGACGCATTTTGACATAGCACTGGTAACAATGTAGCATATCAGTCGCCGTTGATGAGCTTTTTCTGCGCCAGATCCGGCGAAATGAGCGACAATTACAAGAGGAATAATAAGTGTCTGACGAACAAACGGGTAAGCTAGGGGGAACCGGAATAAGTTCCCCCCTGATTCCGCCGGTAACGAATACCGAATTTGCCAGGGCCTTGGAAGAATTGGTTACTCTGGCCCGACAGGGTCACCGACCCGATTGCCAGAATTTCAATCCTTCCGACCAATGGCTGGTAGCCAATATGCCAGTTTTCCAGGATATGGCTACCGAGGAACGGGAAAAGGTCCTTGATGTGGCTAGCGCCATAGTCAGGGAGAATGAAGAGACTAATTCCGCCGGTCGAGCCGCCACAAAGGCCTGGCCAGGAGTAGCGGTTCGCCTGGATAGTGGCGGAATGGGATTCTTCAGTCAACTTGGCGTGGTAAGGCGGCCTGACCTTACCCAGTATTACGTAGACGGCTTTACGCCGAATAGGGATGCCCTCTCCTTCAGCGAAGAAAACCAGGCCCTGTTCATCGAGGTTTTCGATTGCATCGCCGGCAAACTTAGTGAATGCCTTTCTTCCGGCCAAACGGTGATTCAAAACCGATCGCCAGATCTGCGACGCCCCTGGCCGCTCTTTCCATGCCCGCCAACTGTTGTTTGGGGCCGACTATCTCCAGCTTCCCTACATGTGGCGGCAGTTGACATTTGACTTGCCCGAGGCCGAACGTGTCGAGACTCCTGACATCATGGAGGTGTCCATACCTCACTGGTTCGATGACTTGGGTATGTCGGAAGAGCTGAAGAGTCGACTGAAAGAATTGGGGGATCAACCAACTGGTTTTTAAAGCTCCCACAAAGGGGCTGTCCCTCCATTTGGGCTTCGACTATGTGGGTGAGCACAAGATGGGCCCCCTCTCAATTGCCATGCATCAAGTGAAGCAAAACAACGGTATCGCGATACAGGCCGCCCTCAGCCTGGCCCGAATACGAAACCTTGGTGGCACCATTTCCAACACGGCCCTGATAACCGTTGGTCCTTCCTTGCACGGCAAAAGCACACTTACCATAATGATTGAACTGGCCAACAGCCAGCTCGCCAACCTGCTTAGCATGCCAACAGACCCCGAAGAAGGGGTCTACCCGATGAACGACGACATAGTCCTTCTTCAACCTCTCCGGGAGCCGATTGTTTCCAACCGGGGTGGTAATCGCTACACCATATCCCACAGTATCGACGGTACGGAGAATAATTTTTACGCCATGCCCTTCGGACTCAACGAGGCCGAGGACCCGATAACCTTTGATGCAGTTAGAGGATCCGCTGCGGAACCTAATCCCCAGGAGACACTGGAGAATGTGCCGGTAATTCTACCTGGCGATACTGGCGCCGCAGCTCCAAATTTCCTTGAAAACCCGGTCCGCAACATGCGGGTTACCCTGTCGCGACGCCGTCTGCTGGCAAAGGAAGGGCGTAGGTGGCCTGATTGAAGCCATTACAGGTGGAGAGTTGACGGAATCGGTCCACGTGCCAATGGAGCACACGGATCGGGTGTTCTGGCAGGAAGTGATGCGTCAGAATACGGTTATTCCTCCCCTTCGCCGGCTAAGCTTGGAGCAGTATATTCGGGTCTTGATGTATGGCGAGGCGGTCCAGATGGGCGCGGCCATCGGAGCCATTGGTCGTCCCTACGTGGAATATTTCTCAGACCCCTTTATCATCGGGCTTGAAGATGAGAATGCCAACTTGATGTACCATATCCTGCAGCAGTTGGCCTGGGGAGGAATGCCACAGGAGTATTACGTCTTTAATACCGGTGGGATTGGAGCGGACAGCAACGAAGAGGCCAGCGGGGCCAACTACAAGAAGATTCCCCGGGAGTTGACTCTTATGCTCCAGGAGGCTTTGCTGAGGGATGCGGTGAAGTTTGAGTATGACCCCATCCTGCGGTCCGAGGTGGGTGTCGCCATTGTCAATGCCCAGGGTAAGGAAATGGTTGATCTTCGGAAGGAGTGGCTTCCGCGAGAAATTTACGGTGAAAAAGAATACACTTCCCGGGTGCTTGAATTGCGCCGCCGGCGTTATTATGGGCGAGATGCCCAGGACAAGGCAGGCATCCTCCGTTATACCAAGGTAAATAGCGCGCTTATAGACTTGTCAGACATACCTGCCCCAGCCGACGAGCGCGAACTCACTTGGCTTTTGTCCTTCTTCTGGCACGTAGATCAGGCTTACAATGGTCTGAGGGAGTTGATGGAACACATAGGCGAAGGGCAGAGACCCCTGACCCATTTGCTCTATGAACTTCAGGACAAGTACGAAACAGGCGTTGGCCAGGGATTGCAGCTAAGCGAGGCCGGCAAAGTGGCCCTGCCCCGGTTGGGTCTGAATGTCTCCTGAAAAGTGCGACCCACGTCGCTATAAAACTGAGCGACTCTGTTTGATCTTAAGGTAAAATTGACCCCATTCCGCAATTTAGTGTAAAGACCGGATTTAGCAATGAGTATGGAATCCAGCAAAATCAGGTACCCATTGGGCGCCCTTTCCAAGATTGAGGTGGAGACTTTTGGCGAACCTGGCAAGCGGACCTTCAGACTGGTACTGGAATCCGGACGGGCCCGCTCTTACGTTTGGCTGGAGAAGGAACAGTTGTTTCAGCTTGGCGCCGGACTCAAGGAAGCCGTAGACCGGCAATCGGAGTCAGAGCGTGAGCAAGGCAGTTCTCCTTCTGCAGCCAGTTGGTCGGGAGACGAAACGCTCATCGAATTCAAGGCGAGGGCGCTTTCCGGCAGGCACGATCAGGATACCAATTCCTTTTACATGCAGGCCCAAGGTGACGCTGAGGAAGAGTCGGATGATGAGCCTCCCTCGGTGAGCTTCTGGATTACCGTTAACCAGGCGTTGGTTCTCGCAGATGAAAGCCTGAGGATCTGTGCTGCTGGAAGGCCGCCTTGTTTCCTCTGCGGGTTGCCTATAGATCCCGCGGGTCACGTTTGTCCTCGGGCCAACGGTCACGCCGTATTTGAAACCGGTTAATGCCCTCCGGCTTCGGCTCCGTCCTAATCCTGGCGTTTAAGGAAATTCCTGGTGGCATCTGACCAAAGCAATGGAGATCTCCTCAGGCACGGGGAATTCCAAACCTGCGAACTTACCCCCCTGGGCTCCAACTACACCTTCATAGCATCGCTGCAGCTCGGCGAACGCGAGTGCAGGGCTATTTATAAGCCCCGAGATGGTGAAGTGCCGCTTTGGGACTTCCCCAGAGGGACGCTCTACAAACGGGAATACGGGGCCTACCTCTTGAGCCAGGTTCTGGGCTGGGACTTCATACCCCGCACGATTGTACGAGATGGCCCCTACGGCATTGGGTCAGTGCAAGAATATGTGGACCATGACCCACGGCTTAACTATTACACTCTCGGCGAAGGGGATGCTGAAGATCTGAGGATGATCTGTTGCTTTGATCTCGTGTCCAATAATACCGACCGGAAAGCCAACCATGTATTGGTGGACGAGAAAGGAAAACTTTGGGGCATTGACCAGGGCCTGACTTTCCATTCAGACACCAAGATCCGCACCGTAATCTGGGACTTCGGCGGTGAACCCATTCCCGAAAGTTACCTGGATTCGTTAGATGGACTGACCGGGCAGTTTCTAAACCCCGTGGGCACTTTCAGGGAACTCCTGGAATTGCTCCTTCCTGAAGAAGTGACAGCTTTGCAGAAGAGAGTCCAGTGGGTCCTATCCGAGAGAGCTTTTCCAGGACTGCCAGGCCGTCGCCGCCGCCACTGAAGTAACATTTGCCCCGTTCGCGGCAGTCTTGCCGGCCGATTTTCACGTACTTCTTAGTCTATGGGCCCAGCTGCCAACAGTGAAAGATCAAAGTCCACCAGACTTTCCAACAACGAGTGGGCCTGGCTGACATCCAGGTTGCGCGTGTATTCAGTTCTGACTGCGATTGTGTGAGCCCCTGAGGCTACTGCGGCGGCTATTCCGATGGGGGAGTCCTCTATGGCAATACACTCGCTCGGGGGGAACACCAAGCCTCCCCGCGGCCTTGATGTAAATATCCGGCTCTGGCTTTCCCCTGCTGACGTCGTCTCCTCCCAGCACGGCATCGAACGCCCCAGTCAGGCCAATGGCGTTCAATTTCAGGTCAACCCACATGTGCAGTGAAGAGGAGGCTACCGCCTTCGGAAGGCCGCGCTTGTTGCAGACCTCGATTAACTCCCTCACGCCCGGCTGTGGGGCCAGTTCCTCCATCATTACCTGCCGGACGATGTCATCGTATCGCTGTATGTATTCTGAGGCAGGAAGTGGCAGTGGGCGACAAAGTTTTAGTTGCCGCCAGGTTTCGTTAATGGTTGTCCCGATCAGAAATTCTTCGTTTTCCTTGACGGAAACGGGATCAACTGCTTCCTGTTCCAACAGCTTGTTTATTGCGCTGAGGAAGAGAGGTTCACTGTCCACCAGTACTCCGTCCATGTCAAAGAGAATAGCCCGGTATCCTTTCATGTTGATGTAACTCTCCTGTTGTCCGGCTAAATAACCATTCCTGGAATATTGTTCTGAGGGTATTGGCTCTCCGCCTTCATTATAGGGGAATAATTGGCGCCTAAGTTTGAAGCATTGTGAAGTTGGTGAAACAGACCATTCTGCGCTTCAGGGTCTTTCCCGCAGTTCCCTAAGAGCATTGTCTGCTTTCATCTCTGACGAGGAAACAGGAAGAGGCTTTGAAGACTGCCCAAAGATTGTCTCCCCTTGCTATTCCCATCTCATTCAGAGAGGTGCCGGTGATGTGGCATTTCAGGTCGGTGTCGTGGCAAGTCAGTGTTACCACTCGTACCCGGGAGGCCGAAGCTGTATGTCGGAGACAGTGCCCGGCAAGCGGTTACGGGCCGACGAACCACGGGGTTCAGCGTCTGCCAGGATAATGTCAGATGCGCGGATGCCCACAGTTACCCGCTCGCCCTTGCCAACGTCAGAAATGGGCACTTCCAGCTTAAGCCCTTCTTCGGAATTGCCAACGCAAACCATGGTACCGTCCTGAGGATGAAGGGCGGCTATATTCAACTGCAAAAGGTTTTCCACGCCAACCAGCCGCGCCACTCGTCCCTGGCCGGGCTGGCCCAGGATCTCTAGCGGGCTGCCGGAGGCTTCTACCTTGCCGTTATTGATTACCTGGATCGAGTCACCAATACTGATGGCCTCTTCAATGTCATGGGTTACCAGGATTGCCGGGACTTTCGCCTCTTGAAGACTGGCTCTCAGTTCCCTCCGCAGGTTCCGCCTTAGCTCTTGGTCCAAAGAGCTGAAGGGCTCGTCCAGCAGCATTAGCGCAGGATAGGGCGCCAGGGCTCGGGCCAAGGCTGCCCGCTGTTGTTGTCCGCCGGAAATCTCGTGGGGTCTTCTATCTTCCAGACCAGTTAGTTCAAACCCATCGACAAGCTCTTTGACCCGCGCCTGGAGCTCTGCCAGGGCTCCCCTGGACAGTCCATACCCTATATTGCCGGCTACAGTCAGGTGAGGGAACAAGTGGTAGTTCTGGGTGAGAAAGCCTATTCCCCGGTGATGCGGCGGGACCCAAACTTTATTCGCGCTGTCGAAGACCACCTGACCGTCAATTTCTATATTTCCTTCTTGTGGCCTAATCAGGCCTGCGATTGCCCGGAGCAGAGTCGTCTTACCCGAGCCAGACGGACCGAACAGGGTAAGAATCTCCCCTGGCTGGGCTTCCCAATCCATAGCAAGAAGGAAGTCCCCAACTTGGTATTTGATCCAGCCCCTGGTTGGTTTGGCCGACCGGTTTTGGTTGTCTTGCGTCTTCACTGGACTGACTGCCATCTGGCCCGCGTGATCAGGGTCAAAGTAATCAGCACCAGCAATGTTCCCGCCAGCAGCATGACCGAAAGAGCGATTGCTGTGCCCAGACTCGTCTCCAGTGCGGTCATTATCGCCAGAGGCAAGGTTTGGGTCTTGCCGGTTAAATTGCCCGCAAACATGATGGTTGCTCCAAACTCTGAAAGAGCCCTCGCCCAGGCGAGAGCAATTCCTGTCAGCAAAGAAGGCGCAGCAAGGGGCAAAGTGATACGTAGAAAGGTTCTCCAGGGGGATATCCCAAGCGTTTGGGAAATATCCTCGTACTCCTTGGGCACCGACATGAAACCGAGTTTTGCTGAGCGAACATAGAAGGGAGCCGCCACAAATATCTGGGCGAATACAACCGCCGCTGCAGTGAACGGTAAAGACACCCCCAACTGCGAGAGGATAGGACCGAGTAAGCCCTGTCTGCCAAAGGCCAGCAGCATCGCCACGCCGGCCACGACGGGTGGCAGAATGATCGGCAACTCAACCAACTGGTCGATGATCTTCAAGGGTAGGGAGTTACTCCTCGCCAGTAGACGCGCGAAGGGCGTTCCCACCAGGATCACAATACCGATGCTAATAGTGCTGGTCACCAGGGATAGGCGGAGCGCCAGGAGGGCTTGCTCGCTAACCAGGCTGCTCAGGAAATCGCTTTGTTGGCCTGCCTTGATCAGAAGAGCTATTACTGGCAGGCATATGAAGAGTACATAAACGGCCGTGGCGACTGAGCCTAGAGGATTCCATGAATACAGCCTTGCATGTAAGTTATGCATGAATTGAAGCTTATGCGTTGGGCAGTTCCATGGATTTCCTGCAGACCTGAAGCCACCCAATCTCCTCGCTAACGATCATTGACTTGCGCTGCGTCAGGCGGTCCAAAGCCGTGCTCTCGAAGTGTCTCTTGTCCCTTGGCTGAAAGCAAGTACTCGATAAAAATGGTAGCTGGTTCCGTGTCGGTAAGTGCTGCAACAGGATAGTCGACAGAAACGTTAATGGAGTCGGGAATGGTCACAACCTTTACTCTTTGGGAGACATAGAGAGGTCTGGAGTCCGTTCTGTAAGTGAGGCCCGCGTCGGCCTCACCGAGTGCCACCTTTTGCGCCACGCTGCGCACATTGGTCTCTCGAGACACTATGTTTGCGGCGAAATCATGGGCTAGTCGAGGGCCGTAATCTGCGCTGGCTTCCAAGTTATCCAATATTGCTTGCGAGTAACGCCCGGCTGGAACCTCATGTGAAGCTGCGACTATCCTGACTCCGGATCTGCCCAGCAACTCCACGATACTGTGAAAATACAGGTATGTCGATGACCCCTGAATGGCCTGGTCTACTTCAATGCTCTTCACAAAGTTATTACTAACCAGAATGGCCGGTTGATTGCTGGAAAAGTTAACCGCTTTCCCTGTTAGCATACCTCCCTTGGCCAACTCATTCATTTGGACCCAGTCCGCAGACGCGAATACATCAGCCTGGGCGCCATGCTCCAATTGAGTCCTAAGCCTTTGGCTGCCGTCAAAGTTTAGTCTGACTGAATGTTCTGGGTACTCTCGCTCGTATGACTCAGTGAGGTCGTTGAAAGCTTCGGTAAGCGAAGCAGCCGCAAAAACCGTTATTTCCAGATTCGTTCTATCGCTTGCTTTTCCGTCGCTTTGGGTACCGCTGCTGAATGCTGGGGCCTGGCACGCCAGCAACATCGCAATCACAATTCCTAGGGGCAAGGCGATGGCGATGGCACGTGGGTCTCTTCTTGCCAAAATGCTGAATTGGATCTTCGGCATTCTTTGAGAAAATGGGGTTGCACTCCGCGGTTCCAAAATTAATCCAACCGGAGTTTCGTCATTTTGGTCAATTCGGTTCATACACAGTCTGAAAATTTTAGGTTTGCCGCAAAGGGCTGTCAAACGGATCATTCATTGCCTGTTCAACAATGAGCTTGAGAGACTTCCGGCCAGAACTACCAAACCCAGTTGAAGGCTGAAAAGAATGAGGGCCCTCATGCGAGGGCCCCCTACTTGCCTGGGTTTAGCATGGACCGTGAGCAAGCCCACCGTCCATGCTTAAGGAATTGCCGGATTACCTATTTACGATGGTAGTACCTTCCTGTGCAGTGATGGGTTGGCTGAACTCATCGTACCGCAGGGTCGCGGATGCTACCACGTCTCCTTCCGCATCTGCTTGTACCGTGATGGTGAACGCCTGTTCCTCACCTGCGGCCAGGGATGGGATGGCGGCGTAGGTTACAGTCCCACCAGATATGCTGCCGCTTGGGGCGGAAACTATCGTGAACTGGGACGGTATCGTTACCGTCAGCCTCACGTTGGTCAAAGCGGAGTTCTCACCCTGGTTACGGATATTAACCGTGTAGCTGCCTTCTTCGCCAACACCCATCGGATCAACACTGTCGATGATGCTAACGTGGGCCGCGGATGCCGCCAGGATTGAGACATTCGCTACAGCATCGGCGGTCGCCCCTTCTGCGGACGTTACGTTGGCCGTATTGATTACCTCGCCTACTGAATCACCTCTCAGGGTTACAGTGACGGCTACCGACTGACCCGTTTCAAGGTCGCCGATGGACCAGGTTACTACACCGTCGACCTCCTGACCGTCGCTGTCGCTGGAGACGTAGGACATCTCAGCCGGTATGTTGTCGGTGATAGTTACGCCGGTAAGGTTGGCGGTGCCGGTATTGGTCGCCGTGATGGTGTAGCTGCGTTCGCCTTCCACGTATAACGCTGCCCCGCCAGTCTTGGTCAAGCTAACCGAGGGCTGCAACACGTTGACCGTGGCTTCAGCGGACACTGTCACGTCCCGATCGGTGGCGGTCACCGTGTTGACGTGGGTACCACCCTCTGTGGCGGTAGTAGTTACGGTTTATAGTCTCGGTAGCCCCCGGCTCAATGGATGCGATAGTCCACTGGAGACTGCCATCCTCTCCAAAGCTGCCTTCGGGTGTGGATGTGACCTGCTGGAACGCCGCCGGCAAGGCATCCGCCACCACAACATTTGGAAGCAATGGCATTGCCGTTGTTGGTTACAGCGATGGTGAATACGATCGCCTGGCCCAGAATCGGGGAGTCGTTGTCAGGTGTCTTCGTTATCACCAGGTCAGACTGCGTTACCAGCGTTGTGGCCTGGGCGGTCGCTGAAGCTCCTTCGAAGGACTCGGCCGTCGTAGTATTAACCACTTCACCCGGTTCGCCGGTCGTGGCTACCACAGAGACGGTCTGAGAGCCTTCCGAGTCCAGTGCATCAATCAGCCAGCTAACTGTGCCGTCCGCACCAACACTAGCTTCCGGACTGCTGGAGACGTAGGTCAAACCTGCAGGCAGGATGTCAGTAAGGACAACGCTAGTGAGGGCTCCCGCGCCGTCGTTGGTTACCGTGATTTCATAGGTCAAGTCGTCTCCCGAAATCGTTTCTGCGGGAGCCACCTTGGCCAATTGCAGGGATCCAGGAATGATGCTGGTCAACTGAGTGTCCTGGCCCGTAATTCCCTCGGTGGACACTGCCGTTGCAGTGTTTATCTGCTCTCCGACGGATGCCGCAGACAGCATCATGGTCACTGTCATGGATTCGGACGGTGGAATGTCGCCCAAGCTCCAGGTAACAGTGGAACCGTCAGACTCGCTGGCAGCGGGGTCGGAACTGACGAACGTCAGGCCAGCCGGAAGCTCGTCGGTCAGGATAACGTCGGTGGCCGTGCTGTCGCCAGAATTGGTGATTGTGACGGAGTATTCCGCAGTCTTTCTCAAGCCGAGGTTGTCAGGACCTTGCTTGTCCACTACGAGAGTGGGCGACTGCCACTGCTTGGTATGGGTGTGCCGGAACATAGTTTTGCCGGTACCCGCTTCCAAGACCTGAATGAGGACCTGGTTGTCGCCAATTGCAGGGGCCACCTGGCGCAGAATAGTGGTGGTTTCCCCGTTCTCATTTGTGTTGGTCGTAACTGAGTCCTGTGCGTCGTCAATGGTGGCGGTAGGGTCACCGTCTATTATTGCCCAGCTGACCTCTACGCCGGGGATCGGAGAACCATCGGAAACCTTGGTTATCCGGACCAGCAAGGGGTGGTCGGTGCCCACCAAATTGACGGCATCGGGCGGGAACTCAACATTCATGTCTACCCAGTGTTTGACTGCAAACACCTTGTGGGAGTTGTCGTCCGCAATCTGGGGAACAAATGCCGTTACATCGGTGTCGCCGGTTCGGGTGGCGGTGATTGTCAATGTGGCTTCGCCTTCTTCATTGGTAATCACCCTGCCAAAGAAATTATCTACTTTGCGAGGATTCTCCCCGCCCAGGTTAACAATGTCGCCCACAGCATCGCCAAACCGGTTGAGGAAAACTTCAACCTCAACGCCGTTGGCCGGCGCACCGTCTTCACCGTTTACGCTTACGGTGAACGTGTGCTGGCTGAAGATGGAATTCCAGTCTTCAGTTGGTGAAATTGTCACTTGCGTCGGAACAGGTCCAGCGGCGTCCTGCTGGGCAATCGTGGTCTTTGAGATTGCCGCAACTGTTTCGCTCGCGGCAATATCGGCCCGGATTTCCTGGTCTAGCCTAACCTGTGGGTGTCTAGTGTAGGTGGCAACCGAGGTTGTGGCCGGAGAGGGTGCTTCGATCTCGTTGCTCTGCATCGGACCCACGTGTGTCGCAATTACGGGAGCAACTGTCGAAGATGACTGGTTGGATAACATTGTGCCAGCAATCACGCCGGCTAAGGCTAGAACGGCAACAATGCCGACAATCCAAGGGATACTCTTAAAGGTAGTTAGGCTCATTGGTACCTTCCTCTCTAAGGTTTGTGGTAGCTGTGGGAGACTGCTTACTGCGTCGGCGTATATGCGGACAGGGTGAAAACCGGCGGGAAATGCCGGAATTCGACGCAAAGATTTTTGCATTGTGGTTATGGAAAGTCAAGGGGTACCCAATCTGATATCCCCTTTTCAAAGGGCATATAAAGACTGTTTGTGAAGATTGATTTATAGGAAACCACCAGAGATGCGAATAAACCACAATGGCCTGAGCACTGGATCAGTTTAGGTACCCCTATTGATTATAAAGGATTATACGGCTTCCAGGGGTTTTCTTCGGCAATTGTCCAAGAAATTTGTGCATTTGGGGTTGACAACCAAGATGACCATCCTATAATAGGAAGTTACCGACTATGCCTCAGACACCTTTTCTTGCTTATTTTCCGAAGCAAAATGTGTTCCTTGGTATCAGTGTTTCCATTTTTTCCGGTTACTAACCCCCATCCCGCTTTCGCTATAAGGAGAATGGAATATGGCTATTTCTCCCGTTATAAACGGGCATCACAGAGAACAGTCCAATGGCGCCGGTTCCAGTGCTGCCAACGTAAAATCTTATGCCCGTATTGCAGAAGTGCTGGACGTTCCGCATCTCATTCTAAGTCAAATTCAGTCGTATGACTGGTTCAAGTCAGACGGTTTAGCCGAAGTTTTCAGGGAATTTTCCCCGATCACTGACTATACCGGCAAGAAATATGAGCTTCATTTCCTTGAGCATAGTTTTGAAGAACCGAAACTCTCGCCCACAGAATGTAAGGAACTGGAGAAAACCTATTCTCAGCCTTTGAGCTTGAAGGCCTTGCTCATGAAGTTGGAGAACAACGAAAGGCTGGAACAGGACATATTCATGGGCGAGATTCCGTTGATGACGGAAAACGGCACTTTCATCATCAACGGCGCTGAACGGGTAGTGGTCAGCCAGTTGGTTCGGTCTCCAGGCGTCTATTTCAAATATGAGAAGAACACCACCACCGACCGTAACCTCTGCGTTGCGCAGATTATTCCCTCCCGCGGGGCCTGGTTGGAGTTTGAAACCAGCACCAAGGATATTCTGTCTGTAAAGGTCGACCGCAAGCGAAGAGTTTCCATAACTACCTTTTTCCGTGCACTGGGTGTCACCAGGGACGAAATTCTGGAGCGATTTGCCGACGTTGATACCGACGAGCGGCATCTATACATCCAGACGACCCTGGATAGGGACCAGGTCCCCACGGACCGAGATCTCCATTTCCGTGAAGACGATCTGCGGAACGTTTGGGAGTGGCTCAGGCCCGATCAGGCTTTTGACATTGATACCGCCCGCCAGATTGCCTGGGCTCAAATCGAGCTTTATCGTCGCCTGAGGCCCGGCGAGCCTCCAAGTGTCGAGAACGCCAGCAACCTGATCAAGTCGTCATTTTTTGATCCTCGCCGCTATGACTTGGGTCGGGTAGGTCGCTACAAGTTTAACCGACGCCTGGGCATTGAAGACCGGACCGACCTGCGCATACTCACCCTTGAAGACATGCTGCAGGTTGTACGAACCTTGGTACTTGTTAACCGCGGCGAAGAAAGGGCCGATGATATTGACCACCTCGGTAACCGCCGGGTTCGCGCTGTGGGCGAACTGGTTCAGAACCAGGTCCGGATTGGTCTCTCTCGTATGGAGCGTATGGTCAAGGAAAAGATGACCCTGGTTGACATTGAAGAAGTAGCCCCCCGTGGCCTGGTTAACGTCAGGCCGGTGGTTGCCGCCGTCAGGGAATTCTTTGGTGGTTCCCAGTTGTCTCAGTTTATGGACCAGACCAACCCGCTGGCGGAGCTTACTCATAAGCGGCGCCTTTCGGCATTGGGTCCTGGTGGTTTGTCCAGAGAACGGGCCGGTTTCGATGTGCGGGATGTTCACTTTTCGCACTATGGCAGGATCTGCCCGATCGAGACGCCGGAGGGCCCCAATATCGGGTTACTGAGTTCGCTTGCATCCTATGCTCGAACCAACCCTTACGGCTTTATCGAATCTCCATACCGTCGGGTACTTAAGACCATAAGTAGCACTGCCCAGGGCCTGGAAGGGCGGTTCGTGACAGAGAGTGTCGTGGATTCTGAAGGCAATATCCTGGTGGCCAGTGGCAGGCGGATTCCCCGCACAAAGGTTAAGGCTGTCCAGGAACTGCCAGCCGGTACCATTTTGAGGGTTCGTCCTTACGTGGCTGGTGGGCCCGAATATGTAGAGTACATGTCTGCAGATCGGGAAGAGAACTTCCGCATTGCCCAGGCCAATTCTGAGTTGGATGACTTGGGCCAGTTCGTCCATGATCGCGTCGAAATCCGGTTAGGTGAAAACTATATCCAGGATTCGCCAGACAATGTTGATTTGATGGACGTTTCGCCCATGCAAATCATGAGCATTTCCGCAGCCTTGATACCCTTCCTGGAACATGATGATGCAAACCGCGCCCTGATGGGTTCCAACATGCAGCGTCAGGCCGTACCTTTGCTGCGGCCACAGGTTCCGGTGGTGGGGACCGGGATTGAAGAACGGGTGGCTCGCGACAGCGGACAGGTGGTGCTGGCCCGCTCCGCGGGTGTAGTAACCTCGGTGTCCGGCAAGGAGATTATTATTACCGACTCGGAAGGGGGAGGCCCACCAACAAAATCTGATCAAGTTTTCCAGGACAAACCAGGGCACCTGTTTTGATCAGCGTACTATTGTTCAGAAAGGTACCGGGTACTTAAGGGAGACACCTTGGCAGACAGTTCTTCTACCGACCAGGGCAAGTTGGCGCTGGGGCAGAATGTGTTGGTGGCCTTTATGTCCTGGGAAGGTTATAACTACGAGGACGCCATCATCATCAGCGAACGGCTGGTCAAGGATGACCAGTTCACGTCTATCCACATCGAAAAGCATGAGATGGAAGCCCGGGAGACCAAGCTCGGCCCGGAAGAAATAACCAGGGATATCCCAAATGTGGGCGAAGCCAGCCTCAGGGATCTGGACGAGCGAGGGATAATTCGAGTGGGCGCCGACGTGGGTCCTGGCGACATCCTGGTTGGAAAGGTAACTCCCAAGGGTGAGACCGAATTGACCGCAGAAGAGAAATTGCTGCGGGCAATATTTGGGGAAAAATCCCGTGATGTGAAAGATACTTCTCTTCGCGTTCCCCACGGGGAGCGTGGCAAGGTCATCGACGTCAAGATTCTGAACCGCGCCAATCGGGATGATCTGCCACCTGGGGTTAATGAGGCGGTTCGCGTGTGGATTGCCCAAACCAGAAAGATATCAGTGGGCGACAAGATGGCGGGACGGCACGGTAATAAAGGAGTTGTTTCCCGGGTTCTTCCAGTTGAAGACATGCCCTTCCTTCCTGACGGCACGCCAGTAGATATGATATTGAACCCCATTGGCGTACCTTCTCGTATGAACCTTGGGCAGGTTCTGGAAACTCACTTGGGCTGGGCGGCTCGCGGGCTTAACTTCCGCGCTCAGACTCCGGTGTTTGATGGCGCTACAGATGATTCCATCGAGGACTCGCTTTCGCGACTTTGGTTCGCCGAGCAGTCCGGAGCCATAGACAATGGCCCAACCGACTGGTCTCCCAAGATAGATTTCCCTGTAGTGGAGCAGTGGCTACGGGACCGCGGGTATGACCCCGACAGAATGTTTAGCGACGCCTATCGTGGGGAAGCTCGGGACGCTTGTTTGCGCATGTGGCTCAAAGATTCAGCGGGTGTGGATTCCGACGGGCTGTCGTCCGAGGAAATGCATGAAGAGGCGTTGAAGGCACACCGAGACTTTAAGATAGCCCCTCCCATATTCGGCAAGTTCCAACTGTATGATGGCCGTACCGGCGATGCCTTCGACCAACTTGTTACGGTGGGTAGCATTTATATGCTTAAGCTCATACACCTGGTGGAAGACAAGATTCACGCTCGCTCCACTGGGCCATATTCGATGATTACCCAGCAACCTCTGGGCGGCAAGGCTCAATTCGGCGGACAGCGGTTCGGTGAAATGGAAGTGTGGGCCCTGGAAGCTTACAGCGCCGCATACAACTTGCAGGAGGTGTTGACGGTAAAGTCGGACGACGTGGCCGGTCGGGTAAAGACCTACGAAGCCATAGTCAAAGGTGAACCCATAGGCCAGCCCGGCGTTCCTGAGTCTTTCAACGTCTTGCTCAAGGAATTGCAGAGCCTAGGCCTGTCTGTAGAGTTGCTGAACGAAGAGGACCGGCCTTCCCTGCTGGATGGGCTGGGAGATGACACTGAGCTATATGAGCCATTGGAGGCGATTTAATGGTCAGGATGCAAGACAGAACGGAAAGTCAGGCTACCAACTTTAACGCGATTCGCATTTCCGTCGCCTCTCCCGAACAAATTCTAAACTGGTCTCATGGCGAGGTAACCAAGCCGGAAACAATTAACTACCGGACCCTCCGACCTGAAAAAGATGGTCTATTTTGTGAGCGATTGTTTGGTCCTACCAAGGACTGGGAGTGTTTCTGCGGTAAGTATAAGCGCATTCGTTACAGGGGTGTCGTGTGTGACCGCTGTGGCGTTGAAGTAACTCGTTCCAAGGTGCGTCGTGAGCGAATGGGGCACATCAGGCTGGCTGCGCCGGTGGCCCACATTTGGTTCAGCAAGACCACACCCAGCAGGTTGGGCTTGCTCCTGGACCTTTCGCCTCGCAACCTTGAGCGTGTTCTCTATTTTGCCCAGCACATCATTACTTCCGTGGATGAAGAGAAACGTATCGAGATTATCGAGGAAGAAAGGCTCAGGGTAGAACTGGAGAAAGAACGTCTTCAAACTGCCAATGACGAAAAGCTCACTGAACTGCGAGAGAAGCTGGAAGCTCTGGAGGCCTCGGAAGATCCGGAGGCCATACCGGAAGCCGCCGCCGTTCAAGCGGAATTGGAGGCTTTGCGCGACAAGGTATCCAGGGAAGAGGGAGACCTTGACTTCAAGCTCCAGGAAACCATAAACGAGCTTGAAGATTTGAGACCTTTGCGAATTCTGGCCGAGTCCAAGTATCGGGAATTGAAAGAGCGCTACGACGACCTGTTCGAAGCAGGAATGGGCGCCGAGGCTATTCTTGATATTCTGCGCACCCGTGACCTCGAAGCAATCCGTGAAGGGTTGGTCAAGGAGATGCGTTCAACTTCAGGGCAGCGGCGGAAGAAGGCCATCAAGCGCTTGCAGGTTGTTGAAGCTTTCCGTAACAGCGGGAATCGTGTAGAGGACATCATCCTGACCGTACTCCCGGTTCTTCCTCCTGAGTTGCGCCCTATGGTCCAATTGGACGGGGGCAGGTTTGCCACCAGCGACCTGAACGACCTGTATCGCCGAGTCATAAACCGCAATAACCGACTCAAGCGACTCATGGACCTTGGCGCTCCCGAGATTATCATTCGCAACGAGAAGCGGATGCTGCAGGAGTCAGTGGACGCTCTGATTGATAACGGTCGGCGTGGTCGTCCGATTCAGGGTAGCCACAATCACAAGCTCAAGTCCCTGTCCGATCTCTTGCGGGGGAAGCAGGGTCGCTTCCGGCAGAACTTGCTGGGAAAGCGGGTTGACTACAGCGGCCGTTCCGTGATTGTAGTGGGCCCCGAGCTTAAGATGCACCAATGCGGACTGCCCAAGCGCATGGCCCTTGAGTTGTTCAAGCCCTTTGTGATGCACCGTCTGGTAATGCTTGGTGTTTCCCCGAACATCAAGAGTGCCAAGCGGATGGTAGAGCGGGCCCGCCCCGAAGTGTGGGACATTCTGGAAGAGGTAATCAAAGATCGCCCCGTAATGCTGAACCGGGCGCCTACCTTGCACCGCTTGGGTATCCAGGCGTTTATGCCGGTGCTGATTGAGGGTAATGCGATTCAGATTCATCCGCTGGTCTGTTCTGCTTTCAACGCGGACTTTGACGGCGACCAGATGGCAGTGCACGTTCCCCTTTCTCGCATGGCAGTGCACGAGTCCCAGGTGGCAATGTTGAGTACCCATAACATGTTGTCGCCGGCTTCGGGTGAGCCGCTAGTGGCGCCGACTCTGGACATGGTTCTGGGTTGTTACTACCTTACAGAAATTCAGGCTGGAGCCAAGGGCGAGGGCAGCCGCTTTTACGACTTTGACGAAGCTCGGATAGCTCTGGCAGCCGATCACATCGCCTTGCGTGCGCAGATTTTTGTCCGCAGCATTCCCAGCTATGAGACTGACGAACAGTGGGTGGAAACTTCTGTCGGTCGGCTGATATTCAATGAAAACCTGCCGGACAGCATAGACTTCAAGAACTATGTCTTCAACAGTCGTGCCATCAAGAACCTGACCGCCGAGCTATATCAAAAGCTAAGCAACAATGAGACGGCGGAAGCTCTGGATAAGATCAAGGACTTGGGCTTCAAGTATGCCACTACGTCGGGTATTACCATTGCCATTAACGATATTCAGATTTCCGGCAAGAAATCAGCAATTCTCAGGGAAGCTGAAGGCTTGGTGGATAGCTACGAGGACCAGTACCTTTCCGGTCTGATGTCCGAAGACGAGCGTTATAACTCCGCCATCGACGCCTGGACCAGGGCTTCGGACCAGACCGAGCAAGTGGTTAAGGACGAGATTGAAATAGGCAATTACGGTGGAATTGGCGTGATGGCTCTGTCTGGCGCTAAAGGTAACATCATGCAGATCAAGCAGATGGCTGGCATGCGGGGGCTGATGAGCAACCCTGGAGGTCGCATTATTGACCTGCCGGTGAAGTCCAGTTTCCGCGAGGGTCTGTCTGCGCTGGAGTACTTCATCTCCACTCACGGCGCCCGCAAGGGATTGGCCGATACGGCGCTCCGTACTGCCGATAGCGGATACCTGACCCGCCGCCTGGTGGACATTGCTCAGGAAGTAATCATCCTGGAAGAAGACTGCGGTACCTTTGATGCCTACTACATCGGGACTAGGCCTGATGGGACGGTTGAGGCTACATTGCCAGAGCGCATAGCCGGTCGGATGGCCTCCGCTCCTATAGTGGACGAGACCACCGGCGAAATGCTTGTCGACCGCAATGAAATGATCGATGAAGCCATAGCCGAAAGGATTGTGGCGGCAGGAGTAAGCGAGGTGGCTGTGCGGTCCCCATTGGTTTGCGAGGCTCCACGCGGGGTCTGCCAAATGTGCTACGGCCGTCTGCCTGCCACGGGAAATGTAGTGGAATTCGGGCAGGCCGTGGGTATCATCGCCGCGCAGAGCATCGGTGAGCCTGGCACCCAGCTTACCATGCGTACTTTCCACACTGGCGGTGTAGCTGGCTCAGACATCACCAGCGGTCTCCCGAGGGTTGAGGAAATATTTGAGGCACGCGTTCCCAAGGGCGTGGCCCGCCTGTCCGAAATAGACGGTGAAGTGCGGCTCCCACTGGATGGAGAAGGGCGGCGCCTTGTAGACGAAGCCGTTCGGATAGTTGATCGGCAGGAGTACCGGGAAGAGTATGTTCTCCCCGATGGCGTCCAGTTGCTGGTGGATGACGGAGACGAAGTGGAAGCAGGCATGCTCATGGCTGCCACTCTGCCGTCGTTGGGTTATGAAACGGATTCAGGTGAAGAATACCAGCCTCAGCCTATTCAGGAAGTCGTAGCCAGCGTAAACGGCCGGGTTGAACTGGAAGAGGGCCTCCTATCAATTGTCTGGGAGGATCTTGAAGAGCGAGAGTACCTGCTTCCGGCCTCCTTGGAATTGCTGGTAAAAGACGGTGACCAGGTCAAGGCCGGGGATCGGCTGACCTCGGGTCCCAAGAATCCCCACGATATCCTCAGCATTCAAGGGACTGGTGAACTTCAACAGTACATGGTAAACGAGGTGCAACAGGTTTACCGTTCCCAGGGTGTGGGAATCCACGACAAGCACATCGAAATCATTTTGAGGCAGATGCTGCGTCGGGTTGAGGTCAAGTCCATCGGTGATTCGGACTTTATTCCTGACCAGGTTGTGGATAAGGGCGTGTTCCAGGATAACTGTGGCAAGGTACTGGCGGAAGGTGGCGAGCCAGCCACGGCGGAACCGGTCCTGCTGGGCATAACTCGGGCCTCCTTGCGTACCGACAGCTTCCTCGCAGCAGCTTCCTTCCAGGAAACTACCCGTGTCCTGACCCAGGCGGCAGTGAGCGGCCAGCACGACTACCTCCGGGGGCTTAAGGAAAATGTGATCATTGGACGTCTCATTCCTGCCAGGGTCGAGTCCACAGTGTTGGTCGAAGAGCCCGAGCTTCCTGCCTTGGCCGCCTTCCAAGAGATTGGCGCCGTTGAAGAATTGGTGGCTGCCGGTTGGTTGGAAGCCCCGGAAGGTGCCCCGAGTATGCAGACGGCCTTCGGCGGAAATTCCGAGAGCCTTGCCTCTTCGGGGTTCTTCGTCGAAGGTGAATCAGAGCTAATCGGAGCCGAAGAGGATGAGGGGACTGCCGAGGACGGTCTCGCTCTAGGCGGTGATGAGGCCGCTGAAGAAACCTTTGGCGCGGAAGGCGATGCCGAACTCTAGAGCCACAGAAGGCGCCGGTTCAATACGAGAAGGGACTTATTCTGATCTCTCGGTTGAGCTGGCGCCTTCCCATTCCCGCGGCCTGAAGCTTGCCAACCCGGTAATGATCGCTTCAGGGACTTTTGGATACGACGGCTACGGCCGCGGTCTTACTCCGGAAATGGATCTCTCTCTTCTGGGCGCAGTAATCCCCAAGACTCTCACCCGGTACAGTCGTGAAGGCAATCAGGAACCTCGCTGGTATCCGGAATCTTTTCGTGTTGCTCGTGAAAACCGAGAACCAGTGATGCTTAATGCTATAGGACTAACCAATCCTGGTATAGAGGCGGGCCTGAAGGACCTTGCCCCCGAATGGGACCGATGGGATGCTACAGTAGTCTTGAGTCTGTCAGGTGAGAGTGTTGAGCAGTTTGGGGATATGGCCGCGATGACCCAGGGCGTTCCCGGCTTTGAGGCAATAGAACTCAACCTCAGCTGCCCCAACGTGGAGCAGGGAGACCTGTTCAGCTATAGCTCCAAAGGAACGTTTGAGGCAGTGGGAGCGGTAAAGAATTACGCCGAGGTTCCGGTGCTGGCGAAGTTGGCTCCCAACGTCCCCGATATAGTACCTATAGCCAAGGCGGCGGTTGAAGCGGGGGCTGATGCACTGACTATCTCCAATACGATACCGGCCATGACCATTGATCTGGAGTCTCGTCGGCCTGCGCTGGGCAACATTACCGGGGGGCTCTCTGGACCAGGCTTGCATCCGGTGGCAGTAGCCTTGGTTTACCGGGCCGCTCAAGTGATTAATGTACCCATTATCGGAGTAGGAGGCATATTCACTGCCGAAGACGCTTTGGAGTTCATTCTGGCAGGAGCGACCGCAGTGCAGGTGGGGAGCGCGAATCTGGCCGACTTATGGGCCCCGTTCAAGATATTGGAAGGGATGCAGTCCTATTTAGGTGAAAGGGGCATCACTGACATTAAGGACCTGGTAGGGGCCGTAGAAGCATAGCCGGAGAAAAAACATGTTAGCACGAAAAGGGCCGGGTTTTTGGCCCGCCCCTTTCGCTTGCCACTGGCTAATGATACGAGCCGACTGCCATGGCTGCTCAGGCTGCCACCACGGCTGACTCCTTCTTGGCTACCGATAGTCCCGAGCCTCCGTTGTCTACAACTATGTGGTCGCCGTTGCCGAATTCACCTGTCAGTATGCCCTTGGACAAGGCGTTCTCCAGGTGCCGTTGGATGGCCCGGCGCAGGGGCCGTGCCCCGTATACCGGGTCGAAACCTTCTTCAGCCAGCCAGTTCGCTGCGGACTCTGAGAGTTCGAACGTAATCCCTTGTTCTTCCAGCCTCTCGGCAACGTCCTTCACCATTAGTTCCACAACCTCAACAATTTGCGGCTTCGTTAGAGGCTGGAATATTATGGTCTCGTCTATCCGGTTCAAGAATTCGGGCCGGAAAGCTTGTTTCAAGGCATCCTGCACCGACTTTTCCAGTCGCTCCTTCTCGTTCTCAGCCGTCTAACTGGAATTGTTGAAACCAAATCCCTGCCGGACCAGGTAACCTGTGCCCAGATTGCTGGTCATGATGATGACCGTGTTTCTGAAATCGACGGTTCGGCCGTGACCGTCGGTCAGGCGCCCGTCCTCCAGGATCTGTAGCAAGATGTTAAAGACGTCTGGGTGCGCCTTCTCTATTTCGTCAAAAAGAACCACCCGGTAGGGACGGCGGCGTACCGCTTCGGTCAATTGACCGCCTTCGTCGTACCCTACGTACCCAGGAGGAGCCCCAACCAGGCGGGACACCGTATGCTTCTCCATGTACTCTGACATATCCAGGCGAACCATGTTGCTTTCGTCGTCGAACAGGAACTCGGCCAGAGCCTTGGATAACTCAGTCTTGCCTACACCTGTGGGGCCCAGGAATATGAAACTGCCGATGGGCCGCCGCGGATTGCTCAAACCTGACCTGGCCCTTCGGATGGCTTCGGATACGGCGTTGACCGCTTCCTCTTGTCCGATGAGGCGCTGGTGAAGAATCTCTTCCATTTGGACCAGGCGCTCTGCTTCATTTCCCAGAAGCCTTCCCGCAGGAATGCCGGTCCAGCTTGACACCAAGTCTGCGATGTCCCGGTCGTTCACAACCATGTCGACCTTTCGGTCTTGTTTCATATCCTCCCGTTCTGCCTGAAACTCTGCCTCCAACCGCAGTCGCTCGATCCTCAGCTGGGCGGCATGCTCGAACTCGTTGCGCTGGGCGGCGGCCTCCTCTTGGTCATTAAGGTGCTGGATGCGTTCCTCCAATTCATGAAAGCTCGGCGGCATGCCCTCGGCATCGATGCGCACCTTGCTGGCTGCCTCGTCAATAAAGTCGATGGCTTTGTCGGGCAGTTGCCGTCCGGTAATGTACCGGTCGCTGAGGCGGGCGGCCGCTTCCAGTGCCGCATCGTCGATCTTGACTTTGTGATGGGCCTCGTAGCGGGGTCGCAGGGCCTTCAGGATTTCCACTGTATCCGCAATACTGGGTTCCTCCAGGTATACGGGCTGAAACCGCCGCTCCAACGCAGCGTCTTTTTCGATGTGCTTACGGTACTCGTCCGCGGTTGTCGCCCCAATACACTGGAGTTCGCCGCGAGAAAGGGCGGGTTTTAGCAGATTGCTTGCATCCAGCCCCCTTCGGCCGCTCCGGCGCCAACCATCGTGTGAATCTCATCGAGGAACAGGATGATCTCCCCTTGGCCCTGTTTTACTTCATCCATTACGGCCTTGAGCCGCTCTTCGAACTCGCCACGGAACTTGGAGCCGGCAACCATAGACCCCATATCCAGGGCCAGAACCCGCTTGCCCTTTAGGGAGTAGGGCACGTCGTTACTGGCAATCCGCGATGCCAGCCCCTCGGCGACGGCGGTCTTGCCAACTCCTGCCTCGCCAATGATGACCGGGTTATTTTTCTTGCGGCGGGTCAAGGTCTGAGCCACCCTCCGGATTTCCGTGTCGCGACCAATGACGGGGTCCAGTTTCCCTTCGATGGCCAGCTTCGTCAGATCGATACTGTATTTTTCCAGTGACCTGTAGCGACTTTCCGCACGCCGGTCATCAACCCGGTGGGCTCCGCGAATTGTGGTCAGGGCCTGGTAGACCTTTTCCTGGTCAATCCCGAATTCCCGAACCAGGCGGGCGGAGTCCCCCTGAGGCTCCCGTATGGCGGCTATGAAAAGGTGCTCAACGCTGATGAATTCGTCCTTTAGTCGGCGGGATTCCTCCTGTGCCGTGTCCAGCAGGCGCTGGACGCGAGGCGTGGTATAAATTTGGCCGCCCTGATTGGCCAGTTTGGGAGAAGCTTCCAGCAAGTGCTCCAGGCGGGATTTGACCGCAGGGACCGAAATGCCCAGGTCGGCCAGAATTCTTGCCGGGATTCCCTCCTCCTGGTTAAGCATGGACAAGAGCACATGCTCGACATCCCACTGGCTATGCCGGTAATTTCGGACCAGCTCCTGGGAATCTTGCAGTATCAGTTGCGCTTGTTCGGTAAAATCTTCGGATCTAATGGTCACTGTCTCATCTCCTGGTTCCATCCCCTGGTCAGAAAGTTGGGTTACTTGACCGCTGGGAAACTAAAGATCGCAATATCTGGGCTAGTTAAAATGGTTTGCGATCAAATGGGTTTATTCAGGGCGCCGCCTGGCAGTCGGCGGTACTGAGTCAGACTGAAGGTGCAATTCTTCGATTGTGGCGCTGAGGCTCTTCACCTCACGTTCCAGTTCATCGATCCTTGCCATTAGTTTCAAGGCCACTTCAGCCCCGGCCAGGTTTACTCCCATGTCCTCAGTAAAGGTCTTGATGCGTCGCAGTCGATCAATGTCGGCCTGTGAATACAGGCGCTGCCTGCCGTTGGTGCGGGAGGGCCAGATCAGGCCGACTCTTTCGTAGTAACGCAGGGTCTGGGCATGTAGTCCCACCATCCGCGCCGCAATGCTGATCACAAAACAGGGTTCTTCCGAATGATTTCTTTGGTAAACCATGTTCATATCCTCTAGTTGTTCCGCAATTCCTTGAGCTTGCGGTAGAGTTCCTCCTCTTCCAGCCCCGGGTTGCTAGGCAGCAGCGCCTTGACGGTGGCATAGAGGCTGCCCATGCTGCCAGACTTGTGGAGTTCCGGCAGTCCCTGACCGGCCATGCGGAAGCGGCGCCCGTTCTGGGTGCCAGGGGGTATGGTTAAAGCCAGCTTGCCTTTCAGGGTTGGAACAGTTACTTCGGACCCCAGAACTAGGTCTTCCACTGGAACTTCCAACTCTGAGTAAAGGTCTTTGCCTTTGCGCTCGAAACGGGGGTGGGGCATTACGGTTACGGCCAAGTAGAAATCCCCGTCCCCACCCGAGCCCGCCGGAATATGGACCCGGGAACCTGTGTCCACGCCAGCCGGAATTTTGACTTCCAGGCGGCGTCCATCGGGCAGGTTCACCATGCGGGTAGCCCCTTCAGCTGCCTCGGACAGGGTGACCTCCGCCGGATATTCGGCGGCCGGCTGGCGGTAGGAAGAACGCTCCGAACCGAAGTTAGTGAACAAGTTGTCAAACAGGTCTCCGGAACCATAGCTACCGTAATCGAATGTGGAGCCGCGGTGGGCGTCGAAGTCTCCGCCGGTATAGAAGTTGAAACCGCCCCGGCCTCTGCTGCGGGCCCGTGCTTCGGACTGTTCCAGTTCGTCGGCGTGCATCCAGCGGTCGCCGTACTTGTCGTACTTGCTTCGCTTGTCCGCGTCAGATATAACTCCGTGGGCCTCGTTAATTTGTTTGAATTTTTCTTCGGCGCTGGGGTCGCCGGGGTTGACGTCCGGATGATACTGGCGGGCCAGTTTGCGGTAGGCCTGCCGAATATCCTTATCGCTGGCGTCTCGGGCCACTCCCAGCAAGTCGTAGTAATTTGCTGCCATTGTGGTCACCTCTAAGGGTGGTTACATGGGAATGATAGGCACGTTAGACCATTCCGCGCTGCCCACTCCCCTAATGATTGGAATAAACTGACGCCAAACTCTGTACTTGCCACACTAACTGACCGAGGAAATGACAGCATCCACCATTTGCGCAGTCGATCTGTCCGCTATTCTGACCATTACTTTGTTTAGTATCTCCAGCGGCCACGATTTCCAGTCTTCATTGTCCAGGGTTTCGTATATATTCGAGGTCCTATATTTGTCCAGGAATTCATGTCCCTCCCACGTTAAGGATACATTTACAAAGGCGCGCGGAAAGTTATTGACGCCCGGCCCACCCACGGGGTTTCCTAACGTGACAAATCCCGCCTGCTCCAGTAGTTTGCTATGGTACAAGAATTCATCCGGAGCAGCGTCCATCGGAGTATAGTTGTCATGATCTGGCTCGCCTCCCTTCCAATAATCCGTTTCTCTCGTTGGGTACAACATCGGGAACGAGTAATCGCAACCTTCAACAGATTGTAAAATCTCAATGAGCAAGTCCCAGTTTCGCTTCATCCGTAGTCCTTCCCTCTATGGGGGTGAGGGGCGGTAGGCGTGCTACACCACCCAACCTTGTCTTCGTACCCTCGCTATCTTCTCCAGCTTCACCGCCTCATGAATAGCCCTGGCCGTGTCGCGTTCTAAAGGGTCGCTACCCTCTAGCAATTCAAGGGCAACCTGGTTACATTGATGATACTATTCTATTTTTGAACGCCAAAAGTGTCAAGAATATTTATAGAAAACAGCCAAGAGAGTTGACAAACTGCACTCAAGTAACTACCATGAATTCTGCAGGGCTGATATGAGTTATATCATATTGGATGATAATAAAATGCAAGTAAAAACTCAAGGAGGTACAACTATGGTAGTACGACGATGGGATCCTTTTACGGAATTGCGCCGGATGCAGGAAAATATGGATCATGCGCGGCGCGGTTTCTCCCAGCCCACCAGCGGCAGTGGCGAAATGGAAGGCTGGGCCATTCCCCTGGATGTGGTCAAGGGAGGCGACAACATTTTGGTACAGGCTTCGATGCCTGGGGTCAATCCCTCGGACCTTAGTGTGACTATCGAGAATGACGTGCTGACTATCCGCGGCCAGACTTCCGTGGATAGCGAACGACAGGAGGGCAGTTATCTGATGCGGGAACGGCACACTGGTTCCTTCCACCGTTCCCTGCGCCTTCCCGACACCTTGGACGTCGACAAGGCCGACACCCGGTATGACCACGGTGTCCTGACCATTTCCTTCCCGAAGCTGGAAGCCAAGCAGGCCCGCCAGTTGCACATCACGGTTGGCGAAGGTAACCAGGTGGTTGAGGGCGATAAGTCATAAAATTGACCGGCAACCTGTTTAATCGAGGGGGGCCACACGGCCCCTCTCTTGCTTTGTCAGTAATTCGCAGTGCCGACCTGGAGCATTGATAGCATATCCGGTGTTCTTGTGAGGGGAGCGGGAAGATGCTACAATCTCTTAGCTGTTCGAAGCGTTAGTCCGCCTTGACAGCTAGCTTATTCCCCAGTAGCTCAGCGGTAGAGCGGGCGGCTGTTAACCGCTAGGTCGCAGGTTCGAATCCTGCCTGGGGAGCTTTTCTTTGGAAGGTTTAGAGGCCACAGATTTCTGTGGCCTCTAGTTTTTTGTTCGGCATGGACCTCCCTGGCAAAAAGCCGAGGCTATTCCTGGGCACTTCGCCACACGTGGCAGCCGGTGATGCCCAACATGATGGGAAGCAAGGTGTCTACCGTGGCCCAGATGATCCACGCCTGGTGGTTTCCGTCCAGATAGTTGGAGCCTTGGGCCAGAAGGGAAAACCAATTGTGGAACAGAATGGTCACGCCGGCGGTAACGTAGAATGCGGCGTTGGCCTCAAAGTAGGCTCGATTTAGGGCGCCGCCGTCCTCTGCTGCGTCCATCGCCCTCTTCCGAAAGTAATTGTGGATTAGGGACAGCGCCAACCCGATTAACATGAACACATTCAGTACGGACCAGACGCTTGGGACGTCCAAAGAGTCCAACAGGAACGTGTTGATGATGAAGAACATCGCAACTAAAACGGCCACGATTATCAGGTAAGCCCCGACCAGCTTCTTTACTGCAGCCATATAACCTCCCTCGCTCTTCCTATTTGCGTAAGCTTTGAGGATCCCTCTTTCATCATGGTCAGTTGATATGATGACGGCTTCTATATAAGACAGGATATCATAAAGAGGGTCTTTTCCCCTTCTTCCTCGCCTTTCCTTCACAAATCCCGACGGGACAGTCCCAGCCCGTTGGTTGCGCCTGTAGGTGACGCAAGACTAAACTGTGTCGCAAAAGCCCGCCAATTGGGCTCACCCGCTTTCGGGGGAGAAGGAGAGCAAGTCTGATGGCAGCAGCCAATTACGTCCACACCCAGGGAAGCCAGGGCACTTATTCCCACCGACCAATAGTGTGGGGCACCAGAGGCATGGTCGGCGGGGGAACCCAGCTAACGGCACAGACGGGCATGCGCATATTGTGGCAGGGTGGCAACGCCGTGGACGCGGCGGTGGCTTCGGCCCTGGCGGCTGGCGTTATGGAGCCCACGGCTCATTACACCCTGGGCGGTGAGGTGGCTTTCCTGTTTTATGACCGGTCCAGCAAAGTCGTGCGTTCGGTGGTGGGTCAGGGTTGGGCGCCGCAAAGAGCGACCATTGACCATTATATGGAAAAGTGGGGGGAGATTCCTTCTGGAGTCTTGAGCACGACCGTGCCCGGCGTTATATCGGCTTTGCTGGCGATGCTTTCCGAGTACGGCACCATGTCCTTCAGCCAGGCGGCGGAAAGCGCGCTGAATTTTGCCGGTAAGGGATTCCCTTCCTATCAGCTTTTCGTGCGGGCAATAGGTACTGCCGACCGCATGGCCAACCTGCGCAAGCACCCTGAATCGGCCAGGATTTTCCTGCCCAACGACCGGGCTCCAGAACTGGGCTCTATGTTCGTGCAGAAAGACTTGGCCCGTACCTTGTCGCTGATGGTGCAGGCGGAAGAGCAGGCGCTGGGCCAGGGAGCTTCCCGGGAGGCTGGCATACAGGCAGCCAGGGATGTTTACTACATGGGTGATGTGGCGAGGCGGATGGTCAAAGCATTGCAGGACTTGGGAGGCCTTTACGACTACGAAGACTTCGCCGAGTATGAATCTCCGATGGAGGGACCGATCTCAGTAACTTACCGGGGTTACCAGGTCTTTACCAACCGTTCGTGGACGCAAGGAATCAGCCTGCTGCAGACACTGAACATTCTGGAGGGATTTGACCTGGGAGCCCTAGGGCACAATAGTCCCAATGCTATGCACCTTCAGATCGAGGCTCTGAAACTTGCCTTTGCCGACCGGGAGCGGTACGTGGGTGATCCGAACTTTGTGGACGTGCCCTTTGACGGGTTGCTTTCCAAAGAATACGCAGCACTTCGCAGAACTTTGTTAGATTCTGACAAGGCCCGGGCCAGTTACCCGCCGGGAGACCCGCGAAAAATGCTGGCGGTGGACCCGAGCTATGTTGCTCCGACCAGGGCGGAAGAAGCGATGGCCGTTGGAGGTGATGGCGACGGCACCACTTACCTGGCCACGGTGGACTCGGCGGGCAACATGGTATCGGCGACTCCGAGCAGCTTTGGCGCTTTGGCCCAGGGTATGGTGCTGGGGGATACCGGCATCCTGATGAACTGCCGGGGCTGCTATTTCTGGCTGGACGAGGAGAAATCCCAATTCATTGCAACCCCGGAAGCGTCCCAGGACCACGCCATGCACCTTCATAATCTTGAAAGATGGCGAACCCTTTATGACACTTGGAACGCCTGGTGGTGACAGCCAGCCGCAGAGCAATCTCCAGACCCTGTGCAATGTCATTGACTTTGGAATGAATATCCAGGAGGCTGTGGAGGCGCCCCGCTTCTGCGGGTACAGCTTCCCCCAGTCGCCGTGGCCCCACGAGGAATATGCCAATTTCCTGGAAATCGAGGGGCGAGTGCCGCAGGACCTTGTCGATGCCCTGATTGACAAGGGACACCAGGTAAAGGTCATCGGCCCGTGGGGGATCAGCAACGGTTTTACTCCCATCCTGGTTAATCCAAGCGACGGTGTTTACTACGGTGGCGCCGACCCCCGTAAGGAGTCGGTCATGCTGGGTTGGTAGACAGATGTGGCCCAGTTTCCTGGGGTGCGGCCTTTGGCTAGTCGCCAATTCCCTTACTGACACCTGGCAAAAAGGAGCAACAGATGGTAACCCTGGTAACTGGCGGTACTGGATTTGTCGGTTCCAACATCGTGAGGGAACTGGCCTTACGAGGCCATGAAGTTGTCAGCCTGGACATAGGGCCGGCTGACTCCCTGAATTACCAGTATCTGGGTGACCTTGCATCGCAGGTTGCTTTCGTAACCGGCAATATCCTGGAGCCGGCGGACCTGGAATCGCTGCGTCAGTCTTACCAAATTGAAAAGATTGTGCATGCTGCCGTTTTCACTGTGAACCGTACCGACCTGGAAACGGCTCGCAGCAAAGACATTGTTGACATAAACATTACAGGCACCGCCAATATGCTGGAAATGGCCCGGCTAATTAGCCCGGAGCGGTTCGTATACATCAGTTCCGGTTCGATGTACGGCATGACCCGGTCGCCGGACCAGTACTTCAACGAAGACGACCCTTCCCGGGCCGATACCCTTTACGGAATTACCAAAGCCGCCAGTGAGGCCATCACCCAGCGATACGGTGAGTTACATGGTTTCCCCACAGTCAGCCTGAGGCTAAGCACACCTTACGGCCCCATGGAGCGGGTTACCGGCCACCGGGACAATATGTCCGTGCCCCACCAGTGGACTGGCAAGCTCTTGCGCGGGGACCCCATTGCCATCGACAACTCGGGCTTTGGGCGGGACTACACCTATGTCCTGGACATTGCCTCAGCCATTGTGACCGTTGTGGACTCGAATGATCTCCCTCATGACCGCTACAACATCACCAACGGTGTATGGGTCACTTGCGACCAAATCCAGCGAACCCTGTCCGAACTTTTTCCCGAAGTGCGGTTGGTGGATGAAGGGCACGATTCTGGATCAGCCGCGGCGGCCACTCCTACCCGAGGGCCCTTATCGGGCTATCGCCTGTGGCACGATTTTGGTTGGACGCCCCAGTTTGACCTGGCGGCAGGCCTGACCCATTACGTCGAATGGCGTCGGGAAACGGGGTTTCTTGATTAACCTGAATTAGCTAGTCCACAAATCAGACGGTGATCGTGGATTCGTTGAATGTACGCCCTCGCAATCTGAAAATGCCCCCAGGAGTAAGACATCATGGCCCTGCCCCCTGATCGAATTGATTACCTGCCCATCATCGACCGCCCGACTATCAAGTGGCCCAACGATGCCCGGGTAGCGCTCTGGATTTCCCCCAACGTGGAACATTACGAGTATCAACCTGTTAATGAGGGTGTCCGCAATCCGTGGCCACGCACTCCCTATCCGGACGTACAGCAGTACTCCTACCGAGACTATGGCAACAGGGTTGGTTTTTGGCGTATGCTGGAACCGTTGGACAAGCACGGGATAAGGTGCTGCGTGTCCCTCAATCTGGCGGTGCTGGAGCACTTCCCTGAAATTGCCGAAGCCATGATGGAACGGGACTACGACTACATGAGCCACGGCATCTACAACACCCGTTACCTTTACACCTGCTCCGAGGACGAAGAGCGGGAATTCTACCGGGATTGCATTGACACGTTGAAGCGGCATACGGGGAAGCCTCTGAAGGGCATGCTCGGGCCGGCCATTTCGGGTAGCGTCAGCACACCGGACCTGATGGCCGAAGCGGGCCTCATTTACCATACAGACTGGTTCCACGACGATCAGCCTACTCCTATCAGGGTGAAGTCAGGCAAGTTGATTTCGGTACCTTACTCGATTGAGCTCAACGACTCGTCGGTGCTGAGGGACAACCATTACAGCGCCCAGTATTTTGCCGATATTTGCAAAGCGCAGTTTGACCAACTATACGAGGAAGGGGCTGAGAGCGGTCGGGTCATGTGCATCGCGCTCCATCCCTTCCTTATCGGGCAGGCCCACCGGGTGAAGCACCTGGACGACATGCTAGGTTACATAATGTCTCACGATGGAGTATGGCAGACCACTGCGGACGAGATTGCCGATTACTACATCGCCAACTATTACGACGAGGCCGTGGCGCATGCCAAGCGCCTTGCCGAGGCATCAGCCCAATAACGCCCTTTTTCGGCTCCGACTATTGCAACCCCCTAAGCTCACCGGAGGATAGACGTTATGCCCGCCCAACGCACCTTTGGAATGGACCACCCGCACCACGCCTGGTCACCTATTGTCGGCCGGCCGGCCCTTAAGTGGCCGGGCGATGCACCGGTTGCGCTAAGTGTGGTGATTCCTCTGGAACATATGGAATGGCAGGCGCCCCCGGGCAGTTACCAGGTGGCGCGCCTGTCTGGTGGGTCTACCCCCAGGGAGTTTCCCGACTTTGCGCGCCTTTCCCACCGTGAATACGGGCATAGAATCGGCATTTTTCGTCTGCTGGACGTGCTGGAAAAGCATGGGATAAGGGCGACGATAGCGATGGATGCGTTGACTGCCGAGCATTACCCGTTCCTCGTGCGACACTGCCTCGACCGTGGATCCGAGATTATCGGCCACGGCATATCGGTTAGCAGGATGATCACCAGCAATATGACCGAGGCCGAGGAGCGAGATTATATCGTCGCCTCTGTCGATGGGCTGACAAAGGCCACGGGGAAGGCGCCCCGGGGTTGGTTCGGCCCGGAATACGGGGAGTCGGACCGCACCCCGCAATTGCTGGCCGAGGAGGGGATTGCTTATGTTTGTGACTGGGCCAACGACGAACAGCCTTACCCGATGACGACCGGAGCCAATCCCTTCTTTGCTTTGCCCCTCCTGTACGAGTTGGACGACGTGGTGGCCCTTTCTCAGAAACTGATGCCCGTGTTTGAATACGAGCGGATGCTGGGCGAGAGCTTTGACGTACTGAAACAAGACGGGGTCGCCAACGGGCGACTGATGGTCCTGAACTGGCATCCCTGGCTGGTGGGACAGCCCTTCCGGATTGGCTGCATTGACCGGGCGTTAGGTTACATCATGGGCCAGGGCGGGGTCTGGGCCGCCACCGGGTCGGAAGTCATCGACTGGTACCGCAATCAGTCCGGCTAAAGGAGGGGGCGGATGACATCTTCACTTATACGAGGAAAACATCTGTTGAGTCCTGCCTCTGGTGGCGGGACGACTGTCCTCTCTGACGGGGCGGTTTACCAGGAGGATGGGATCATTGTAGCGGTTGGCTCCTACCAGTCCTTGCGTGCCAGGTATCAGGCAGATGAAGAGCTGGGCGGGCTGGAATGCGCAATAATTCCCGGTCTCGTCAATTCCCACCATCACGGACGCGGGGTGACTACCCTCCAGATGGGCACCTGCGACGACGCCTTAGAACTCTGGATTCTGGACGGATGGGGCAGGCGACCCTACGACCACTACCTTATGACCCTCTACACCGCGCTGAACATGCTGGAGTCCGGCACCACCACGGTAATGTACAACCATCCGCAGACTGCCACTGCAACCCTCCGCGAGGACGCGGACGCAGTCTTGCGGGGGTTTCTTGATGCCGGTATGCGGGTGGCCTTTTCCAGCTATTTCCGGAACCAGAACCGGGTAGTTTATGCCGCGGACGGCGATTTCCTGTCAGGCTTGCCGTCAGACCTGGCAGACAGAGTATATCGGCACCTGGCCGCCACCGACATGACAGACGATGAATATTTCGCTTTTTTCAGGGAAATGTATGATCGTTACAATGAGGACTCTACCGGAAAAGTGAAGGTCTTGCTGAGCCCCAGCAACGTGCAGTGGAACACGGACGAGTTTCTGCAGCGTACCAGGGAGACAGCGGTCCAGTATGGTACGCCAATTCATATGCACCTGGTGGAGAGCAGCTACCAGAAGGCGTACGGCATCCGTACCTGGGGCAAAACGCCGGTAGAACACCTGCAGGACCTGGAGTTCCTGGGGCCGGAGCTATCGTGCGCCCATGCAGTATGGCTGAGCGAACGAGACATAGACCTGTTGGCAGGCGCCGGAGCAACGGTGTGTCATAACGCCAGCTCAAACCTGCGACTGAAAAACGGGATAGCGCCGGTAAATCCCATGCTGGCCCGCGGACTTAACGTGGCTATGGGCACCGACAGTACAGCAATAAACGACGACGACGATCTGTTGCAGGAAATGCGGTTGGTTAGCAAGCTGCACCGGCAGCCGGGCATCGGAGCTCCGGCAATCGCAGCAGAGCAGGTGCTGGCCATGGCTACGGCAAACGCGGCGGCGCCCACTGGGTTTGCCGGTGAGATAGGGGTGCTGGAGCCAGGACGTAAAGCGGACATGTTGCTGATTCGGTTGTCGGATATGGAAGCCCCTTACCTGGACCAGGATTTGCCACCTTTGGAGGCAGTGCTGGGACGAGCCCGAGCCCAGGACATTGACACGGTAATAGTAAATGGCGAAGCGCTGCTGAAGAACGGAAACCATCAGCGAGTAAACAAGGACGACATAAAGAGGGAGCTGCGGGATCAGTTAGCTCGTCCGTTGGAACCACAAACGCTGGAGACGCGGAGGATGGCAGCAAGGCTAAGGCCCTATGCGGAGGAATTCTACCGAAGCTGGGAAGCCGAGGGTGGGGCGCCTCCCGCGGGCGCACCCCACTACGTTTACAACAGCCGGACGTGATGCGGGTCACGAAGAAAGCTAACTCAAATGAAATGGGGCGGCATGAGAACCGCCCCATTTCTCGTTTTCACGCATCCAATCGCGCTTTCAAAGGTAGCGATCTGGGTCCGACTCTTACTCCCACGTTGCGAAGCCCATGGCACAGCCGGTGCCCGCCGGGGAGCGGTAGCAGGGAACGTAGTCCACCACCGTCATGTCCAGCTGTTCAGTGGCCCCTGCCACGACAATCCAGTTGCGAATCTCCGAACTGCCGGAGTTAATCTTTTCCCTGGGAAGAGCTATCAACTGTTCTACGCTCTTGGCCTGCATACCTGCCAACGCGGCCTGGTCGAGTTCTTCGTCTACCACGAAATGGCTTAGGCCCCCCGAAGCCAGGATGCCAACGCGGATATCCTTCGGCCACGATGCGATGGCTTCTTGCAGCGCCTGCCCCAGGTTATGGCATCTCTTGGGCGTGGGTTGATTTGGGGGGTAGTAGGTATTGAGCATTATCGGGATGGTGGGGATAGTATCGCCGGTCATAAGACGGTTATAGACGTAGCCGAAGGCATGTCCTATGCCTCCCTTGGCCCGCCCGCCTTTTCGTGGGTCCAGGTGGCTGGACCGTCCCACGTCAAATTCTGATTCCATTAGCTGCTCTATGATATGGCGGCCAAACGAAGAATCGGTGGGGGCGTACTGGTCCTCGGTGTGGTAGCCAATCAGGTGTTGTCCACCCGTGGATGGCCCGGCTTCGTGGCCGGCCACCTTTACCTGGTCGCCCCAGTAAACACAGAAGGCCGGCATATTGTCGTCCAGAAGGTACTCCTGCTGGTCGTCGCCTACCATGACTAGAACGTCCAGCTTGGCGTCGTGCAACTTTTTCGACAGGTGGCTGATGGCTTTCTGGTTCTGCTGGTGGCGCTGCTCAAACTTCTCCTGGGTGATCTCTTTGGCGATGCGGGAGGCGTCGCAACGGGCAAGCAAATCCTCAAAGTTTGACGTTATGCCGTCAGTGCCGATCAGTTCCAGATGTCCCTTGTCTCGTTCGCCTCGTCCGGCCCATCCCTCGGCCGGGGTGCTCAATTGCGGGCTGTGGGAGGACGCCAGGCCCAGTACCAAATCTGCCATTTTTCAACTCCTTTGGCCGCTCTCTCTGTCGGCCCACTGTTCGTCATCTGGTGGGATGTTAGCACCATGAAGGTTAGGTTACAATGTTGCCGCCCTGGAGCTCACTGGACAAGCTTGAGTGTAATCGTAGGTGGCTGAATGAGGGCTTTGAGCATCCGGCAGCCTTGGGCGTGGCTGGTGGTTAACGGTTTCAAGGATATCGAGAACCGGTCTTGGAGCACTTCCTATCGGGGCAGGATCTACGTGCACGCCGGGCAACGTATGGTGGTGGACGATTACCCCGAGCAAAGGGAACATATCAGTCGGGCCGGCATAGTGATACCAACTGACTTGTCCAAGGGAGCGATCGTGGGGGAGATAACTATCACCGACTGCATTGGCTGGTCAGATAGCCCCTGGTTTTGCGGCCCCTACGGGTTCACATTGGAAGACGCCTTGGCCTATTCGCAGCCTGTTCCTTATCGCGGCCAACTGGGTTTCTTCCCAGTGGATGAAAGTGTTGTTGGAGAGTTAGGGTTCAACGGGAAGCTGCTCTAGATGAGACGGCCTTGAATTACCACACTCCGCCAGCCAGGCCAATGATGACTCTGCCGCAGACGGCCCGCCAGTGCTTGCGGAAGTACGCCAACTTCTCCGGCCGAGCCACCCGGGCCGAATTTTGGTGGTGGTACCTGGCCATGAGTCTTGTGCTCATGGGGTTGGCTATCATTGACGGTATAATCAACATGGCCTTCCTGGCCCTGAGTATTGGAATAATCATCCCCCTTTCACTTCTTGTCGGCGTTGCTATCGTTCTTCCCTTTCTCACCGTAACCTCTCGTCGGTTGCATGACATCGGCAGAAGTGGCTGGTGGCAGGTTGCCTGGTATGCCATAGATATTGTAGCTTCCCTGGTTTTCCTGGTTGCCTGGGTTTTCGTGTTTATTCTCCTGTTGGGTGGAGCGACAAATGGAAGCAATGAGGTAGAGGGGTCTAACGGAGGGACTTCGCTCCTGGTTTGGATTCCGTTGTTGGCAACCGCGTTAGTTTCGGCAGGAGCAATCATTGCCGTTTATGTCTGGGCCCTGTTGTGGCTGGTCAGACAGAGGGAGGCGGGCCCCAACCGTTTCGGCTCGGATCCCAGGGCGTGGGATGACGAGTAAGTAGGCACTGCTGAAACACCGTTCTGAAAACCTTCCCCATAAAGTCTTGTGATTGTCTGTTCTGTGGAAGGGGTTTCTGCTAGAGGGTAGAATAGGGGCAAGGAAGAAATTCCACCCGGAGACTGGAGTGCAAGACAAGTTGCTTCCACTGTCAAAGCCAATGATGACAATTCAGGAATCGGTCCAGGTGTGTCTGCGGAAGTATGCCGACTTCAGTGGGCGAGCCACCCGGGCCGAGTTCTGGTGGTGGTTGTTGGCTACTACTTTAGTGAGCTTCGCGATTAGCGCCATAGATACGGCGATCTCCACTTTGCTGCGTACCCTTTCCGAGTTTGCATTCAGTCCCTTTTCGACCATATTCGGCCTCGCGATCCTTCTGCCCAACCTGGCTGTTACCGCTCGGCGGCTGCACGACATCGGGAAGAGCGGCTGGTGGCAACTGGTTTGGTTTGTGATAGCGGGAGCCGGCTGGATACTGTTTGTCATCGGTATTATTATCACGATAGTCAGGTTGGTTTCCGGAGACTCTTTTTCCGGAGTAGAAAATGGAGATTTCTTCGCTAACACAGATTTTGCAGATTTTGTGCCGGCGTTAGTAACATTCCTGATTGCGATGCTGGTGAGCTTGGCCGTGTTCGTGTGGTACCTGATCTGGCTGGTCCGTCAGGGAGACTATGGAGCCAACCGATATGGCCCGGACCCGCGAGCCATTGAATAGTAATAGCGGTGCTCGGGGTTTTGCTATTCCTGAGGGTCGGGTAATGGTTGTCGCAGAATCGGCAACGACGGGTAATGATTCACTACCTTTGACGTTTTCCATTCTTTTGATAATTGGCGGCCTCATCACCCTGTCGAAGATTGCGGTAATTGCTAATTGGGTGGTTCTTTGGCTGGTCCGCCGGGATGTGGCGGGCCCCAACTGGTATGGGCCTCTTCAGGGGGCTATAGCGGTGGGGGCCCAATTGTCATAGACTAAGCGCGGTGCCCATGGTGGGTTAAGAATCTGCATGAGCTAACATCGCTGTAAGTTACCCGGCCTAGCAAAGGAGGTAACCCAATGACGATGCCCAATGTCCAGCAGTCACAACCCTCCATGTCATTCTTTGGAGCCATCAAACAGTGCTTTAGCGAGTATGCAAATTTTAGGGGACGAGCCAGTCGGCGGGAATACTGGTGGTGGATCCTGGCGCTTTCCATTGGATGGTTCATTCTTCTTGCGTTGTCTTCTACTGGGTATCTGGCATTACTATTGCCGGTTTTTGGACTGGCGGTATTCTTGCCCACCCTGGCAGTTACCACCCGCCGGCTCCATGACATAGACAAGGGCGGCTGGTGGCAGTTGATCTGGCTTGTCTTGGCAGGACTGGCCGTGATACCAACGTTTATTGGTTTGTTTGCTACCATCGCCTCATTTATGGCAGGTGCGTCCCAGTTGCTTATAGACGGATTCTTCGAATACCTGGCCACCGGCGAGAAGGTGGAGGACAAGTTCCCATGGAAGCTGGTCTCTCCACTGATAACCGGAGTAGTGATTACGCTGTTGATCGACTTGGCTATAGCTGCCTGGGCAATGTTTTGGCTGATCAGACGTGGCCAGGCTGGACCCAACCGGCATGGCCCCGACCCGTGGGCTCTGCCCGCTATGCGTCGAGTAGTGGATTCCTCAATGCGGTCACCCGAAGCTTTTGAATAGTGTCGTACTTTAATCTATAACTTTATGGAGACAAAGAATGCCTAAAGTAATCCCGGTATCCGACGACCTGAGCCAGCCCTTCTGGGACGCAATAAATGATAAGAGGCTGGTGCTTCAGAACTGTACGTCTTGCGACAAGCTCCAGTACCCTCCCTTGGCGTCCTGCCAGGTTTGCGGTTCCGCCGAGGTATTGGAGTGGAAGGAAGTGGATGGGAAGGGGCGCGTTGCAACCTACATTGTTATTGAGGATGGCCGCCTGAATCGCCGAATGCCCGACCAGCCTTACAACCTCGCCCTGGTTACGTTGGATGCTGACCCGTCTGTTAACTTCTACTCGAACCTGCCTGGGGTGGCGGCCTACGAGGCTCCGGTGGGCGCCGCCGTTGAAGTAATGTTTGAAGAAGTGGCCCCAGGGCAGTTGATACACGAGTGGCGAGTGGTGGAGTAAGTGGCTGGGCCCCGACTCAATCAGTTCCAGTTAGCGAATACCTTTAAGTGTAAAGGGCAATGCCTGTGTTGCCCAGAACTAAATTCGTATCTTTGAAATTGCGAAAGGATAGCCAATGACGAGCAGCAACGATTTTCAGTGGCGCAGGGACAGAGACGGCCTGGGAGTTTGGGAACATCGGGGACAGGTGGCAATAGCTGGTTACGGGCATTCCCCGGTCGACCGGCGTTGGGACGGTGTGTCCCTGGACGAAAGTTTGGGCGCCTATGCAATACTGGCGTGCGAAAAGGCAATGGAGCAGGCCGGGGTTACCAAGGACCAGGTAGACGGGATAGTCTGCTGCGACAGCCACATAGCCGGCGGCAGCGGAGGGTCGGCGTCGCAGTGGGCGCCGCGTCCCTATTTCGACCCGCCTTACGATTCGGAGTTTGGGTTGACATTGATAAATGGCCAGTGGCTGGCCAAGACTATGGGTATGGAAAATGTTAAGTTCGCGCCGACCGGTGTGCCCACCATCGGCGAGATGATGGGAATGGCGTCCCAGGCGGTGGGGGATGGTGTTTGTAACACCTGCCTGGTTATTTATCCCACAGGCAACCTCGAGGGGCGCTACCGCCGGGGCGGCGAGAACGCGGACGACTACGCTCGAGGGGCTCGTCAGTGGACTGTCCCCTGGGGTAACCACGGGGGGAATGATTTCATCAACATTTTTCCTCACAACCAGTACTGCCTGAAGTACGGGGGAGAGCACGACGACCTGGCGCCCTTTGTCATCAACCAGCACAAGAACGGTATGCTGACGCCCTGGGGATTCAACTACAACCACGATATCGAGCCTATTTCCGTGGAAGACTACAAGAGCTCGCGTTACATCCTGAATCCTCTGCGAATCTGGGACTGTGACCGTCCGGTCAACGCCGCTGCTGCCTACCTGTTCACGACGGCGGAGCGGGCGCGGGACATGAAGTCGCAGCCCGTATACGTGTTGAATCACTCCCAGCACAATTTCAGGTTCCGGACCACGCAGCCTGACCTGGACGAGGTTGAGATGTGGACTGACCGGCAGGCGGCTCGGATGTACGAAGGTGCGGGATTGGGCCCTGCGGACGTTGACATTTTCAATCCTTATGACGGGTACTCCATCATGACCCAGTTTTTTCTGGAAGGATTCCAGTGGCACGGAGTGAAGCGGGGCGATGCCTTTGCGTTCTATGCCGGGGACATCAGCGTAAAGGGACCCCACCCCTTTAGCTCCAGTGGCGGCAACCTGGGCAACGGCCGAACCCGCACGGCCATGTACACCGACAGCATTGAGCAACTGCGGGGCACGGCCGGCGACCGGCAGGTAACTGTGCGGGCGGAGACTGCTCTTTGCGCGTTCACCACACCCAGCAGCGGGGGATGGCTGATGCTGGGGAAGCACCCGAGTTAGCATGACTAAAGAATGTCACCAATGAACTATGACTTTGTGGCCGCTCATTCTGTGAGCTTGTCCCGGGATTTGGGCGGCAAGTAAACGAGAAAGGAAAGCCAATTGACCAAACTGATTAGTTTCGACATAGACGGTACGCTGGAGGTGGGCGACCCTCCCGGTTGTATAACCCTGGAGATGGTTCGAGCCGCTAAAGCCAGAGGCTGCATCATAGGTAGCTGCTCCGACAGAACCGTGAGCAACCAGCAGAGAATCTGGCAGGTCGCCGAAATAGAAATGGAGTTCACGGTGCTGAAGCATCAACTGGACTCGGTGAAGGAACAGTTCAAGGCGGAAGATTATTATCACATCGGCGACACTGACCTGGACCGCCAGTACGCCGAGCGGAACGGGTTTCATTTCCTGCTGCCTGATGTAGAGGTTGTCCAATTGTGGGAGGCTGCGGATTAGCCAGGATGCAGTAAACCAACTGCTGATAGATCGTTTCCGGAGTGCCCGCAGCGACGGGGGGCTGGCAGTTCTGGAGGGCTTCCATCCGCTGAAACACGCGCTTCGCTTTGGGGCCAAGGTGGGTGAAGTTGTTACCCGGGACCGGAAGCAACTGCAAAGCCTTACCGAGTCCTTGTCTCCGGATCTGGCAGGTATCCTCGGGAAAGACATTGTCGAGGTTCCTGACAAAGTCTTTCGGCAACTTTCCCCGGTGCCGCCGGCTACGGGCGTGATAGCCCTTGCTCAGCGTCCCCTATTTGACCCACATTCCTTTGATCGCAACAACTCCGCTCCCCTGGTCTTGCTGGAGAACCCGCGCAGCCATGGAAATGTCGGCGCTGTCGTTCGAGTTGCCGCGGCAGTCGGGGCAGCAGGTGTGGTTACCACCGGGCAGCATGATCCGTGGCATCCTTCTGCGCTGGTAGGTTCGGCCGGCCTGCATTTTGCATTGCCGGTGGGTCTCGACCGCTGCCTGTCGACAGGGGGCCTCATAAAGCGACCAGACTGGCTGGCGGGTCGTCACTTACTGGCGGTAGACCCCGATGGAGAACTGCTGGTGCGGGATAGCATTCCCGAGGGCGCCGTGCTGGCTTTCGGCACGGAAAGAGAAGGATTGAGTCGGGAGTTGCGGGCCGCCGCCGATGGTTGCGTTTCGATACCAATGCAGCCAGGCGTCTCCAGCCTGAACCTGGCAACGGCGGTCGCAGTAGTATTGTATGCGTGGAGACTCGGGTAGGCCTTAAAACCTACTGCCCCTCTCTGGGCAGCGGTTAGAGTCCGCTATGACATTCTTACCTTGTCCAGTGCCGGAAAGTCGAACCTGACCCCGTGACCCGGGTCTCCGGTCGGTGTGAACTTCCCGTCTTTGGGCAGGACCGGGTTGAGGATGTATCCCGTGTTGTTCAGGTTGAGCGTAGGCAGGTGCTCTACCAGGTAGCCGTTGGATACCCCGCAACACAGGTGCATGGATATTTCCTCCACCAGGTGAGGGGCCATGGGCAAGTGGTAGGCGCCGGCAAGGCGCGCGATACGGAGCCAGGGGGTAATGCCCCCGACCCGGCAAACGTCGGCCTGTACGAACTGGATAGCTCCCCGCTGGAATAGGTCAAGGAACTGATCGGGCTGGCATTCTCCTTCGCCGGCGGCCAGAGCCACGTTGACAGTGCGTCCCAGGCGCTCGTACCCGGCGTGGTCTTCCGCCAGGATTGGCTCTTCAATCCAGAACAGGTTGAACTCCTCCATGGCCCGGGCGCGGGTTATGGCCTCGCCCACCGTCCAGCGCTGGTTGGCATCCACCATCAGCGGAGTGTAGGGACCGATGGCCTGCCGTACCGCCCGCAGTCGGTCGACATCCTCGTCCAGCCGCTCACGTCCCACTTTCATTTTGACTCCCCAATAGTCCTGGTTCACGAAGTTAGTGACCTCATCCAGCAAGTCCTCAGTGGAATATGCCAGGTCGAGGCCGCTGCCATAGGCGGTCACGCTGTCCCGGTAATTGCCCAGCAATTGGAAAAGAGGTTTGCCGGCATCCTTGGCGGCCAGGTCCCACAGGGCAATGTCCAGGGGAGCCAGGGCCACGGCAGTGAGGCCGGACATGGTGATATTGGGGAACACACTATGCCACAAGCGGTCATAGAGGCGTTCTATGTATGAGGGGTCTTCGCCAATAATCCTGTGAGCCAATAGTGTGTCAATGGCTTCCTTCATTCCCCGGCCGCTGGTTCCGTGGCTATAGGTCCAGCCCACGCCGTCCAGCCCATCGTCAGTGTATACATGGGCCATGAGAAGGCTGGTCGAATCAATTTGCTGAGTGGAGTTGGACAGCCCCGCCTGGCGTTGAATGCGGTAGAGGGCAGTTTCTACTTTTTCGATTCGCATGGTTCTTTTCTCCGGTTGGTAGGAATGACAGGCGGGAACTTCCGCAGCAATATTTGTGCCCTTGACTGAGGTGGGAATAACATTTGGGCGGGCTTCAAGCCCGCCCTCCGCTTTTCCTTGTAATTTCGCCCAACGGTCAACTTCCGGATCTCGGGTCCTATGCTGGCGCTCCGGTAAGGGCAAGGCAACGGGAAATGAACGCCTTTATCATCCCGATGGCCCGGTCCGATTCTGGGCCAGGCATGTTGCCGAAGCCATGGACCATGTCCATGAAGTACTCTACCTGGATGTCGCCCCCCGCGGTTCTGAATGCGGTTTCAAACCGCTGCGGGATGGACAATGGTACATTGTCATCCCGGGTGCCCTGGACTATCAGGGTGGTAGGCAGCCGTACCTTTTCGCCCCGCTCCAGAATTTGTTGAGGGTTTCCTTCCTTCATGGTGTCCTGGTCCAGGAAATAGGCTTCGCTGGAAGCCGCCAGCCGCTCGTTGTTAGATTCCTGGGCATACAGGTAGCGGGCGTAGGGGTCGAGAACCGGCCAGCAACAGACCGTATAGGCTACGGTGGCATCAATTTCTGGGGCCCCCGCCAGTTCCAGGGATGCGTAGCGGGAGTCCTTGGGCCGCATTGCGCTGAGCATCAGAGTGTGTCCGCCACTGGATGAGCCCATGCCTCCAACAGTTAGTGGGTCGGCGTTGAATTCGGTCGCGTGGGCCTTCAGCCATCGGATCGCGTAGTTGACGTCTTGTACCTGGGCGGGATAGGGGTGTTGCGGAGCCAGGCGGAAATCGACGGCGGCAACCACTATGCCGCTGGCTGCCAGTGCCCGGTTCATCACCTCATCGCTGGTAAGGTCACCCCGGTTCCAGGCCCCACCGTGGACATCAAGCAACGCCGGGAAGGGACCGTCTCCCTGGGGTTGGTAAACGCGTACGGGCCAGGGCTGCTGACCGTCGTGGCGGTATTCCTGGTCAATAATATCTATTTCTACCTGTCGTGAGGGATTGTACGTTGCCATGTCATTCTCCAACCCTGGGCCCATTGCTTTCATGGGCCAGGCTGTTCTCAGGTATTTCCTAAATCAAGGCTTCCGGCGTGAAGATTCCTTCCATGTCTTCCGCTGTGGCACGGTCTTGGGGTGTAATGCCGAGTGAGGTTTCCATGAACCAATAAACCTGCTTCAAGTGATGGGTGCTGTGGCTCAGGATAATGTTCAGCAGTTCAACCACGGATACTTCCCCGCCATAGTGAGCAGGAACCACACGGTCGAAAGACTCGTTGTCACCACTGTTCAGAAACTCAACGATGTTTGCAATAACTCCTTCGGCATACTCGGCGATTTCCTCAGAAGAGTTGACGCTGGCCAGGCGCTGGCGGCAAGCCTGCATATCGTCAGTGGTCATGCTGCCAGTCTTGTGGCTCAAATAGGCCAACTCTGGGAAGGACATGATGTGGACGATGGTGTCCCGAAGGGTTTCCGGTCGCCAGGCAACGTCGCTCTCGAGCTGATCTGGACTGAGTTGCATGGTGGCGCGTATTGTGGCGTGCAGAATCTTGTCGTATTTGTCTGCCAGCCATCCGGTCCTGCCGGACAGGTCAACCTGGGTGTCAAGCTTCAGGGTGGCGATGAGCTTTCTCGGGAAATAACCAATGATTATTTCGTCGTCGATCACAGTTACCGGGGCGGACTTAACGCCCTTGCTTTCAAGAAACTGCTGGGCAGCAGGTTCGCTGGCGATGTCGTGGTGCTCATACTGAACACCGTTGGACGTGAGAAACTCTTCCAACGTCCGGCAACTGAATCAACCAGGGTTGGTGTAAACGTGTACGCTGGTCATGGCGCTTCTCCAGTTTTAGACGGCCCCGGAATGTTGTCCCTATCGGTCTGCAAAAAGGTGTCTGGATACCTGGACAGCCGTCGTAGTTTGGTAATTGCAGAATAGCGGAAACCCGTTGCCATATCAAGGCAGTCTTGGATGGGGCCCCTTATCCCTGGTACAGTCGTTTGCGAAAAGGGCGCCTCTTGAAATGAGTTCAATAAATGCATTCAAAGGCTAGCCGCCCCCTACTGTTGCTGAATCCAGTGCTGAATCCAGCACACAACCGGGGAAGCAATGTTTGTGGCAGACTCCGTCAGACCTTCAAAGCAACCCCGCTCCAGGAAGAGCAATTGTGGGTTGGGCGGCTTGTTGTATAATTGGCCGAGAAACGGGTGCGGACAAGCGTTTAAGCTTGCAAGTTGCAACTTCAGTCCGCGTAAACTACCAACGAAGGTAGGGAGACACCAGCCATGGCCAGTGATCTCTTGATTCTTGATGAAAAGCCTCAAGCGAAGTACCTGATTGCCGGTTGGCACCGGAATTGGTCGGATGGGGGCAGTATATCCAGCGGACTCCCCAAATATCTGATAGACCAGTTCGGCGCAAGGAAGATCGGCCGAATGGGCAGGGATATCGAGAAGCTCTGCTATCCCTTCCAGGTAACTGGAACCCATGATTCATACCGACCGGCCTGTGCGTTTGACGAAGGCCTTCCCAGCGTGGCGATGCACTGGGACAACGACTTCTACGACGCTGGCGGAGGGTTGATAGTCTTCATGGGCGAGGAACCGTGGTTCGAGTTGGACCTCTACGGCGAAGCTTTTTTCAGGGCCGTAAGGGAACTGGGAGTGGAGCAGACGGTTACGGTGGAAGGGTATAACGGCCCTGCTCCGCCTGACGTGGAGCGGCGAGTAGGCTGCGTCTACAGCCGTGCCGATATGAAAGAGGAACTGGAGAAGTATGGCATCCAGTTTTCCAGCTATGGTAGCGGCGGGCGGCAGGGCCCAACCATAGGAATGGCCGTGGTGACGATGGCTCATTACCTTCACGAGGACCTGAAAGTGTTCCGGTTGGGGGCAATGGCCCCGATGTATCCCTTTACTACCCAAAGCAACCAGCAGGTGGGAATAATAACCGACTACCGGTCTTTCTTCGATATTATGCGGCGGTTGAAGGCGATGTTTGGCCTGGATATAGACCTCACTGACCTGGAAACCCGCGGAAACGTGGAATCTCAGAGGCTCAAAGAAACCCTGGAGCGAATTGGAAATGCCAATTCCAATGCCAAACAGATAATTGAGCGTGTCCGTGCGGATTACAGCTTCACACCTTTCCAGAATCCGGTGGATCTAAATTCAGGACTGGATCGGGCATTGGACGACATACTGCATAGTGCCCCGGATGGATCGGACGACCCGGAGTAGATAAATCACGACCCAGACGAATTGATTGACACGAGCCATTGAAAACACTTACCGGCCAGATTACTGACCACTTGGGATTCAAATTACCAGGGGGGAACACAAGGTGCGCCTTAAGGGAAAAACTGCGCTGATTACCGGCGCAAGTCGAAATATAGGCAAGGAGATCGCACTAACATTTGCCAGGGAGGGGGCCGACCTGGCCCTTTGCTCGTTACAAAGCCAGCAGGAATTGGACGAGGTGGCAGCTGAGTGCCGGGAGTTAGGAGTAAGTACGTTTACCACCACAGCCGATGTGTCAGACTCGGACCAGTGTAGGCGCCTGGTGGCGGAATCGTTGGAGTCGCTGGGAAAAATCGATGTCCTAGTTAGCAATGCTGCCGTCCGTCCCCACCATCCATTGCTCTCGGTAACGGATGAAGATTGGCACCGAGTCTTCGGCATAAACCTGCATTCCACCTTCTACCTGTCCAAGGCGGTGTTGCCTGGTATGATGGAAAGGGAGACGGGAAGCATTATAGGTATTGGAGGTATGGCGTCCATCACGGGGCGACCCGACACCTCGGCGGTCACTGCTGCGAAGACCGGGTTGTGGGGTTTTATACGGGCGGTTGCCGCCGAATTCGCTCCCTACAATATCCGGGCTAACATGGTAAATCCGGGGACGATAGATACCACCCGGCGCAACCCGGAGTGGTTCGCCAGAGAGTCGCGGCGTCCCACGGGCTCCGATGAACAGTTGCGGCACATTCCTCTGGGCAGGCAGGGAACGATTTATGATATTGCCAATGCTTGTCTCTTCCTGGCCTCCGAGGAATCGTCGTACATAACTGGCGACCAGCTAAATGTCGTTGGTGGCCGTTATCTGGTGGCGGCGGCTACGGATTAGCCGGATTTGGTGTTACTTGACATATAAAACCAACAATTGGGGTTGGGAGGTAAACCTTGGCAGGAACCGAACGGCAAGTAGTCAATACAGCGAGCGCTCCCCAGCCCTTGGGCGCTTATTCTCAAGCTATAAGGGTCAAGGTCGGCGAGTTCTTGTATATTGCGGGCCAGGTAGGAGTCGATAACGACGGCAACCTGGCCGGTGACGGCAGCCTGGCGTCTCAGACTCGCCAGGTCTATGAGAACCTCGGCAACATCCTCAGTTCCGTCGGGGCTTCTTTCAGCGATGTGGTCGAGTTTACCACCTACGTGGTAGGACGAAAGTCGGTAGTCCCCTTCATGGAAGCTCGCGCCGGAATATTTCCAAGCCTCTACCCCAAGGGCGACTATCCTCCCAATACCCTCTTGGTAATTGAAGGTTTGGTTCGTGAGGAATTCCTGGTCGAAATCAAGGCCGTGGCAGCATTGCCGTAGTCTGCGGCCGATTTGTTCCGGCTAACCAGGTTTGTTGAATGGGGGCAAGTATCAATAGCGAACAATCCCACGGCGCGGGCGCCGCAACACTGGATGAAATCCACGGCCTGTTTCAGGCAGCAGTTGCCGATGACCCCTCTCTCTCCCTTCTCAAAGGCTTCAAGGTTGATTTCTCCGGCAACCAGGATTTTCACAAGGTATATCTGGCCGTCCGGTGCCAGTGTGGGACCGCGGGTCTGCTTAGCGTGGAAGTAGCAATGGAGAAAACCCTGCCTGAAGTAAGGGAAGCCATGCCAAGCTTGCTGGAGAACCTGCAAACAAAGGTAAGGATGTTCAACAGCATGTCCTGCGAAATGCACGCCCGAATGAGACAAGGTGCGTTATAATGTTAATACACTAGTTGAATCCAGGTAGCTTCGGGGTTCAGCGATACAGGCAGACCACAGGGAAACCAAGGAGAGGAAGGGATTGCAACGCAAGTTGACCTTTGACCAGGCGTTCCAGGGAACCAAGAACTTTTCCGAAAAGTACGTGGAACGTGGCCCCTACGAGTTTTTTCCGGAGCAGGAAGTGGTGGAGGTGGTCCAGCAAGGGCTGGCCGAGAATCAGGTCAATCATGGATTCCGCTACTGCCCTTGAATGCCACTGAGCGGCGATCCCGTTGAGGACCGCAAGAAGATTTGCCCCTGCGACCGACATCACGAAGACATACAGCGCGACGGCTTTTGCATTTGAATGTTCTTCGTGAGCGAAGAGTTTCTTCGCAAGTATGAACAGGGTGAGGATTTTGTCCAGACCATTGACGAAGCTGTGAAACCCGGAGAGGGCTTGTTCGATCAGGATTACAAGTCAAAGGCCGATTTCAAAAACGGTTGACAGCCAGAATTTCCCAGCTTCGGCACTTTGCCAAATCCAGCACAGGAGACAGTTATTATGGACATTACAGTTTACACTTCCGCTGGTTGAGGTCCTTGCCACATGGTGAAGGTGTATCTTTCACGCAAGGGCCTGGAATTCACGGAACGAAACGTCTCGGAAGATGAAGCTGCCTTGGAATCTCTCCTGGCCATGGGGTTGCGAAGTACCCCGGTCACTGTTATCGGCGACCAGAACATAGTCGGCTACAGCCCTCCCAAGCTGGAAGCGGCCCTTAAAGCTGCCGGGACGTAGCTTACCCGCGATATATTAAGCTTCAGGTTTGCCGTCAATAGGACGCTCTGTCGCCGGATCGTAATGAGCCGGATTGAAAGGGCGTCCTTGTAATGTCTTCGTTTTGCCCGTCTTTGATGGGTTTAGGATGTCTGCCCGCTTCACCCCTCAAACAACAGTTGGCTGTCAGGATAATTCTCAGTAGAACTCCTGCTTCTTGAGCTGTTCCTCCACTGGCTGCATTATTTGCTCGTACAGCACCTTCTTGTCTTTCAATTGAAAGAACAGCCACCGAAGCAATACAGGGGCACCCTGGGACTTTGGCTGCCACGTTATGGACCATTGCGTGCCATCGCCAAATGGTTCAAAGGTGTCAATCCGGTCCGACCAGTCTGAGTCCAGAGCTTTGATTTCTCTTCTGTGGGGAGGGTCAAACGCATAAGACCAGCGATGGGCGCCCTGGGATTTGTCCCGAAAAGTGTAAGTTGTGCCCTCATGGCTTTCCAGGCTGCCGTACTTGTCCTCCAACAGGCGAGGGTCCGGGTCTCCGTGGGCCGGAAACGCTGTGACGTGCGTAAATGCCTGCGCCGGGCCAACAGGCAAGTGGGTTGATATGCTGATATTGGGCATTGGTTCCTCAAGGGCGGACCCCCATAGGTCTCGCTCTGCTTGTTTCGGCTGAATGACAGGTCAGGCTAACTTCGGAAGTAAGGAATTACCTCTTTGGCCATGATCTCCATCTGGCGGTAGAGGCTTGCTGGGTCGGGAGACAGAAAACCGAATATAAAATCTCGAACTCCCGCGTCGATGCGTTCCTCAATTCCCTTGATGCAGTCCTGGGGAGTTCCCGTAAGGCAAAGAGCCCGGGCTATATCCTCGGCGCTGCGTTCCGGAGTAACGTACCGCTGCCCCACCTGGGCAACGGCAGTGGCTTGGGCCTCTCCCCGGTCGGTGCTAATCGCTGTGGGCTGGTTTAACCCCCAGTGGAAACCGGTCAGGTCCCTTCCCGCTTCCTCCGCAATCTGCCTCACCTCGTCGTTGGTGGCTTTGAGACGGCGCAGGGTAAACAGGTAAGGATACCAGCCTTCGGCGTGCAGGGCGGCCCGTCGCATGGCCGGCTCGCTGCGTCCGGCTATCCAGGTTGGCGGGTAAGGCTGTTGGTGGGGGCGAGGCAACAGGGTCACATCCTCAAAGTCGAAGAAGCGCCCGTGATGGGTCACATGCTCTTCGGTCCAGAGTCTCTTCATAATCTGCAGCATCTCGTCGGTTCGGCGGCCGCGGGTTTGGACCGGAATGCCTAGTGCGTCAAACTCAATGCGTGTGCCGCGCTGCCCGCTGATACCTATTCCAAAGTCCAGACGCCCCTTGGATACAATGTCCAAAGACGTAACCAGCTTGGCCAGCATGATCGGATGATAGAGGGGAGCAATGACGATGCCTGTCATTACCTGCAACGTTTTGGTGGCTCCGGCCGCCGCCGCCATCATGGGGATGTTTAGCAAAGTTGGCCGGGGAGGGTTGCCGTCCATTATGTGCTCGCCCGTTGTTATCCGGTCGTAACCTAGCTCCTCTGCTTTTTGGGCGAACTCCACCACGTCCCAGTATTCTTCCACGGTGAAATTGCAGCCGAAGGTGATTTGCGGCGTAGTCATTGTCACTCCTTGGACGCAGGTCCAGGCGGAAAATTAAAGTAGTCGGTTCATATCCGTGAGTATTTTAGGGGCTGGGGTTGTTAGTGGCAATTGGGTGCGGACGGTAGACTACTCAACCTTGTCCCCTTTCCCAGCGAGAGGGGAACGAGGTCGAGTAAAAGCGGGGAGGAATCATCCTGATAGCTGTCTCTTGTTGGCTCTTTCTGAAATTAAATGAACTCACTCGTTCGGCGCGCTACGCACGGGTTTCAGCATATTGAGGCGACTATTGCACCACCTTGGTGTCAGGTCGGAAGGCGGCCCAGGCGAACCAGAAGTGGTTGGCATGAACAACGGGAGTCAGTTGGCTTCCGGCAAGGGGCCCCGACAGGGCCTGACCGAAAATATTCCACCGGCTGCCGGTTTCCTGGTCCAGGAATCCGTCACTGTCTTTGCTGAAGGTAAGGGTCTGGCCCTCAAGATCCTGCAGAAAAATACCCGTTGAGCCCACCTCCCTGGAATCTGCAATACGGAAGCCGTCCAGGGCGGAGCGGACGCCGGGCCTGAAAAACACCACTAGGTCTTGGCCGCTGGCTGAGTAATTTACCACCCTCTCAGCCTCAAGGAAAGAAAAGGGAAAGGCTATAGCCTCGTCCTCTACGGTGAGGGCAGCAACCCTCTCCGTGGGCAACAGGCGTTCGTCGGTCTTGCCGAAGAAAAGGAAGGGGGACTGCCCCACCTCATCGTAGCCAACATAGGGATTGGAACCATAGTTCCGTGAATGACCTGTGTCCCGCGAAAGCACCTGAGCTTCCGGGTAGGTGTCCTTGAAGTCCTGCCAGGCGACAATAGTGGCGGGAAGGATTGCCAGCCGTTGCCCCGTAAGCTGGCCCACGATGGCCTCTCCGGTAAGTTGCTGCCACCAGGACTGGGTCTGCCGGTCCCACATTATCAGGTCGCTGTTGCGGAGGTTGCCTGACACTCCGAAGTCGTAAAGTACCCCGTCCAGCCTACGGTCGAAGACAATGGCCGAGTTGCACAAGGGGCAGAAGGTGGCGGCCACCGGTATCCCGCCCACAGTGTCATTTACAATTTCGTGCCAGGTCAGGATTTGCAGAGGGTATGCCCTGGCGTCCCCGTTCAGTTCCAGGGCAATCACGGGTTCCTTTTCTTCCAGCCAGCCGTCCGCTTCAACAACTGACACAAACTTCGGGTCGTCAATCGGTGGTATGCCGTCCCTGGGTACTCCGCCGGAAAAGATTTCGCTGTACGGGACGCTGCGCTTGCTGAAGTCCGTTTCCCAATTTCCCGTGTAAATTCCTGCCTGGCGCAACTCCTTTGCCCATTCAGGTTCTGCTCCAACGGTAGGTTCGGTGGGGCTGGGAGTTGGTACCGGAGTGGCAGAAAGTTCAGTGGCGCCGGGTATGGTTACCGTTGGCGAGGCGACTGAAGGGGAGGACGTGGGCCGGTCTTGCGTTGCTTGGGAAGCCGTTGGGAACGGTTGCAATGTTGGAACATTGGTCGGTAGTTCTACTTGCGCAGGCTGCGTCACCTGGGTGGCTTCTTCCGCAATGCTGAGAGGTGTCGCTGGCGGGTTTTGACTGGCGCTGGGGCCACAGGCAGTTACTGAGACGAGAACCGTCAGGAGCAGCGGGGTAAAGAAGAGAAGAAACCGAAGTCTGGGTCTTTGCATTAAGGAAACTCCGTCTTTCGAGTAAACGTGGTGAGTTCTTGGATCATATCTACCTATTACTACGTCGCAATTGGCCGGGCGGATCAGGTATTTCGGGTAATTGATTGGGGAAGCCTACGCTTGGAGATCGGTTGCGTCAATTCCGGCAGGCGTTTCCTGCTATAGAGATTCAGAGTAAAATACGGACACCAAAGGGGAGAGGGGGCGCTTAATGGCTACGGAACAACAAGGCAAGTTTGAGGTAGATGAAGCGGCAATCCAGCGCACCGTGGAAGGTCTCAAGGGAAGGAATGTCGACGCCGTGGTGGCGGAAAATGGGGTCGAAGCCAGGCAAATCCTGATAGATATGATTCCTGATGGGGCAGAGGTGTTCAAGAGCACTTCCGAAACCCTGGATACCATAGGTTACTCAGACTACATTCGGGAAACTGACCGCTACAAGAACCTTTCATTGGAAATCTCGGAGGAGCCGGACCGTGAGCGGCAACGGGAATTGCGTCGCCTGGCCGGGGTGGCCGAATATTTCGTGGGCAGCGTCCACGCAATTGCCGAGACTGGGGAAGTGCTGGTCGCCAGTGGCTCAGGAAGCCAGTTGGGGGCCTACGTCTTTGACGCCAAGAATGTGATTTGGGTGGCGGGAGTACAGAAAATCTGTCCCACTCTTGATGATGCAATGGCCAGGATAAGGGGTTTTTCGGTGGAACGGCACCACGAGTGGGCGGTTGCCCAGGGCCGCGCTGCAGCTCCCATGGGAAAGTTGATGATTTTCGAGAATGAACAGAATGTGAATCGTATCAAGATGGTGTTAATTAAGGAGTCGTTGGGGTGGTAAGAGTATCTAGGTACCCCATAATTACCGGAAGAACGTTTGACCGCCCGGTAGGCCTGAATTACCATTAGCGCGACAGGCGTCGGCACAACCAAATCGCAGTTATCTAGGAGTTTGTATATGGCCACTACTCAGGAACAGCTCTACGACGTTGGCGGAGTGACCATGCCGCGTCCCTTCAAGATTCGCCGTTTAGGCCACTTTGGCTTTAATGTCAACGATATGGAGGCAGGACTACGGTTCTACAAAGACCTGCTGGGATTCAAGGTTTCGGACCACTTGAATTTCAAGGGGAACCCGCAGAGGGCTGAAATCCTCAAGGATGTTCCCGACAAAGACTGCCAGGGCGCGTTTATGCACCACGGCGGCGACCATCATTCCTTCGTTCTGTTCCCGAAAAAGGCACTGGATGTGCTGGGCCGGGGCAGCGGCCACGAAGGCGACGGTGACGTTACCATCAACCAGATTACCTGGCAGACCGGTTCGCTGGCCGAGGTGGTAAACGGGCACCACTATTTTGATGACATGGGCATTCCCATCCGACGTACTGGCCGGGACATGCCGGGCAGCAACTGGCACACCTACGTATGGGACCCGGACGATAACATCAACGAGCTGTACTATGGAATCGAACAAATAGGTTGGCTGGGCCGCAGCAAGCCCAGGCCCATGCACTACCGGGGATTCGGTGAAGCTCCTACCTTGCCGCAGATGTCCGAAGAAGCCGAAGTAGATGAGGCCGTGGAAAAAGGCATTGAAATCTTCTCCGGCACCCGGGATAGCGAAGCAATGCCGGCGGTCTATGACGTTGACGGCATCCTGCTACCCAGGCCCTTCAAGATTACCAAGATTGGGCCTGTGAACCTCTTCGTGCGAGACCTGGATGCTGCTGCGGAGTTCTATGCAGAGCGGCTGGGCTTCGTTTTCTCCGAGGAGGTCAACTTCAACGGGCACCGTGCAGTTTTCATGCGAAACGGCAACGAACACCATAGTCTTGGGCTGTTCCCCAAGGCACTGCGGGCGGAACTGGGTTGCAGCCCCCACACTTCGTGCATGTCTTTCGGGGTAGAAGTGGGCTCCTACCGGCAGTTGAAAAACGCCGTTACGTTCTTCAAGGACAATGGTGTCACCTTCAAAGAGATTCCCGCGGAACTGCACCCTGGCGTTGACTATGCAGCCTTTGCGCAGGACGCGGACGGGCACCTCATAATGCTTTACTACTACATGGAACAGTTGGGCTGGGAAGGCCAACCGCGTCCCAAGGCACTGCGGCGCAACGTTGGAAATACCGACGAGTGGCCGGACACCCTGGAAGCACTTTCCGACACCTACGTAGACCAGGTATTCCAGGGGCCGTTGGGGTAGCCGGGAGCCTGCTGGAACTTCCCTTCTCACCAGAGATAGAGGTAGGAAGGGGCTACAGTATTTCGTCGCGTATGAAACGGGCTTCCTGATTCCTGAAAGGAGACATAAGAATGCGCCAATTGACTAGTAATGTCTATGTGGAAACGGAGTTGCGTGGTTGCAACCATGGCTTTGTTACAACTTCCGACGGCGTGGTGATGATTGACAGTCCCCACAAGCCTTCCGATGCTATGAAGCTGAAGGCGGAGATTGCCAGGCACGGTCAGCTAAGGTACATCATCAACACCGAACCGCACGGCGACCACTGGACTGGGAATGCTTTCTTCGATGCGCCGGTGATAGCCCACGACGGTGTCCGGACCCGCATTCTTGAGACGGACCTGGAGGAGCACATCGAACGGGTGGCAAACTTCGGGCCGGAAGAGGGCCCGCTGATGCAAGGCTACAAGCCCAACGTACCGATCATCACCTTCAAAAACGGCATGACCTTGCGGGTAGGTGACCACACCTTCCGAATGATCCATATGCCAGGCCATACTCTGTACCAGGCGGCTATAGTTATTGAGGAAGAGGGCGTAGTATTCACCAGCGACAACATCTTCCACAAGGTGCAAACGTGGCTCCACGAGGCAAACCCGGACCTGTGGCTGACGGCCCTGGAGTCGCTGCGCAAGCTGGACGAGGACATTTTCGTGCCTGGGCATGGCGATCTCTGCGACAAGGGCTACTTGGATGAGCAGGGTTCCTTCATCATGGAATGGCGGGATTACGTCAAGGAAGCCATTGACATAGGCATGACCCGGGACGAGGCGGCCCTGAACCTGAACAAGTTGGTAGATCGCTATCCCATGGATGTGGGGCAGGCGGCCATGGCTCCGATGGTGATGCGGATCAGCGCGGCCAACCTGTACGACTACCTGACCGGGGGATGGGAACCGCCGAAGCCTGCCAGCCTGGCCCTGAGGCCGCGCGGAGCATAAAACAGATCTTCGGCAGATGATTGCCAGGAAGGGGAAAAGTTTGAGGGGCGGGTTTCAAACCCGCCCCTCTGTTTTGCCAAGCCAATTCGGCGCAGGGATCCTTGCTTTAGGCGGTTGCCACTTCAATCTTCTTCGCGTAATGGGGCATTATCTCGGTGGAAAAGAGTTCGATTGAGCGCATTGCCTGCTCGTGGCTCAGGTCACCCCACTGGAAAGAGCAGACAAAGTAGTTGGCCCCGGTTGCAACGTATTCGTCCATGTACTCGCTTATGGTTTCCGGTGAGCCGGCAATGGCGCCGAATCCCGCGCCCGACCCGGAATGGCCGTCACCAAGACCGCCTCGCAGGCCGGTCCGGCGCTGCTGGCGTTCCACTTCTTCCAGGGAAGCGTCCAAGTCTCTGCGCTCTTCCCGGGGCAAGTCCCTCGGCGGAGCCGAGGCTGGCCGGGGGTTCATGCCGGACCCGTAGAACTGAGTTAGACCACGCCTCTCTGCTTCAAGCCGGCGTGGAGTACCCAGGTTCCAGCGGTAGGACTCCCAAGCCGGTTGGGCCTCGCGCTGGGCCTGTTCGTCGGTCTCGGCCAGCAGCATGTGGTTGACCAAACCGATCTTGGGTTCAGTGCCTTGAATTGTCAGGGCTCCCTTGCCCTGGTGCTTCTCCCATTCTTCCTTATAGCGCCTTACGTTGGCCTCGAACCCGTCCAGCGAGCCTACGATGATGGTGTTCATGCCGTCCATGGCTGCAGTTTCAACGTTCCGCATGTACCAGAAGGGCGGGAATGGCGTCTGCTGGGGGCGCAGCCGCATGGGCAGTTCGTCGAAGTTGTAGAAGTCTCCGTGGAAGTTCAACTCATCGTGACTGAGTCCTTGCTGTATGCAGCGCAGGGTCTCTTCGTAGCGGGTCGCGTTTAGTTCTACGTCGGTGTCCTGCCCCCAGAAGAAGGCTTCAAAAATGCCGCCGCGGCCCACGCCCAACTCAAGCCGGCCGTTGCTGAGGTGGTCCAGCATGCTGATCTCTTCAATCAGCCGGACCGGGTGGTGCAGGGGCAATACGTATACGCAAGGGCCGAACCTCAGAGTGGTTGTGCGCTGGGACAGTGCTGCCAGGAACACATTCTGGGAGGGTGCCAGGCTATGCACCGCAGGGGTGTGATGCTCGGCCAGGTGGTAGGAATAGAAACCCGCTGACTCGAGCCGTTCCAATTGGATAAGCCGCAGGTCATAAATTTCTTGCAGAGTCATGCCGTGACAGGGTTCTATATGGTCGAATACCCCAAACTCTAATGCCATTGAGCGCTCCTTTGACGAAAAGTCTTCAGCAAAATTTTCACATTGTGCCTATTTTACTACCGGTATTGCGGTATAACAACGTCGACGTAAATCCCTGGCAGTGTGGTAAGACAATCGTGGCGGACCCTATTTCCCCTCTTTTATGAGGTCGGCAGCACGTTCACCAATCATAATGGTGGTGGCGTTGGTGTTGGCCCGGGTAATTTCAGGCATTACCGAGGCGTCTATGACCCGCAAGCTCTCAAGCCCGTGTACGCGGCAATACTGGTCCACCACTGCCATAGGGTCCGAGGATGGCCCCATCTTGCAGGTTACGGTGGTGTGCCCGGCGATTCCCGAATTTCGTACCAGCCAGGCGTCCAGCGCAGCGTCGTCCGCCAGGTCGGCGTCAGTCGGGGCGAGGCGTTCGCCCAGCAGTCCCTCAAAAGCGGAATGCTGAAACAATTCCACGCAGCGTCGCACGGCGGCCCTCAGCCGGGAGCGGTCAAGAGGGTCGGTCAGGAATCTGTAGTCGAGGTCAGGCTGTACCCTGACGTCATTGGAAGTCAGCGTAAGCTCACCCTGGCTGAAGGGCAACTCCAGCCTGCAACCAATGCGAATATCCGGCGTAACCGTACTTTCCGGATAAGAGGTCGTCGGCTGGACCTGAATGTCGTTGCGAGGGCTGGAAGGCTCAGAGGTAAATCGAAGACCCACCTGGTTACGAGGCGCGTCGGAAGCTGGCCGGTTGCCTTCAATCAAGCGGAAGCGCAGGGATGCTGAGGGATGGTTCTTCATGTTCCTTCCCACGCCGGCCAGATCGTGCAAGGGTTCTATGCCCATGTCTTGAAGGTGCTGGGCCGGGCCCACGCCGGACAGCATGAGCAACTGGGGAGACGCGATGGCGCCGCCGCTAAGGATTATCTCGTCTCCTTCCGCAACAAAT